CCTTCTTAAAGTTTATATATTACAAATCCAAACTAGAAATGAAATGTAAAAAAGAAGTATGAGAAAAACCTTCAATTATAGAACAAGAAATTGGCAATTAAAATTAGATCAAAATCCTTTTGTAACAAGACAGAATCACTACAATCTTACAATCTGACTCTTCAATATTGTGCACTTAATACTGAAAAAATCAACAGAAAACTCTACACATGATCAGATATGAAGCATAAATGTTGAACTTTCATCAACCATATTTTGGAAGCCACAATTTTAGCACCTCTTCTACAGGCATTATCACAGAATAAAATTATTACTGTAATATAATTCTGTACAGTTCATCACAAAAGTTCAACATTTATTTTCTCCATTACAATGACTTATTAAACCAAAATACCATGGAAAGATCTAAGTATAATCGTTTTGTGTTATGTTCCACACAATGATGTTAGGAGAATGAACATATGATGAGGCATGATTTCCAAAATGTTGCAACACCTCTGCTTCAAGCAAGTCTAATCTACAACTTCTGCATTTCATATTATTTCTTACAGCAATATAACTATCTGGCAGCTATGTTCACTTAAATAATATTGAGAACTTCAGTTCCTATCTCAAAAAAACACCATGGGTCAGCATTAAAAGAACCAATCAGTTAATTCTGTTCATGGAAAAACTTCTGTTTATTCTGAGAATCATATAAAATCCATGAATGCATTCCATGGGCAAAATGCAGACTCTCTTAATGCTAAAGTAAGTGGTATATATAGTTACCACTATGTTTTAAATGTTAACTGAATATTACCCAAAGCTATTCATAACAAATGGTGGGCACAGTACACTTGAAGCCTTAAACTTGAGATACTATTATCAGTTCAGAATTTCAGCTTTGATCTATAGAATCACAACCTGGATATAACTGTTTCAAAAGAACAGACTTACTAAAACTGTCAACAATTTGTGCATAAAATTAGTCTTGTAAATAACATCCATTCATATGTGGAAGATAAAATTAATTCTTCCTGTGAAAAGAATTACATAAAGTCCTTTCCATAATATGTCCTAAAAATCTGATTATAAAAGCAGTGATATTGATGTCAGGTTGAACATTTTACACTACTGAATCTGAAATTACATTACGGTACATAACACCGTACTTAAAAATGGTGGACACACCTTATTTTATCTTATAACTTTAAAAGTCTGACAGTAGATGAATGTTCTATTAAAAGTGAATGATTCTCAATATTCAAAATTGCTTACATTAGACAGCTGTCAGTCTTCTGGGTTCAACATGCCACTCCCCCAAAAAAGTCTGTCTGTGTGTATGTGTGTCCATAACCATCCAACCACACACACATGCATATCCCACCAACTGGGATATGAAACCATACTCTTTGGTACACAGGTACTATTTGAGAGGAACCTGCTCCATTTATCTAGTGCATGCGTGTATGTGTCTATGCATCCCATCTATTTGCTTTTGAACAATGTGAGTAATGTTTATGAAATATCTATGAATATTCATGTTATTCATGACCACTCAAACGTCATACTTTTTACCTTTCCTTCAATTAGTAATAACAACGTGCTGGACAAACAAAATCATGTTGTTGGATTGCCTCTCAGTGGGATTCAGAAACAATGTATGGCAATGGATCTTCAAAAGATATTAAACTCTTTTCCATGATTTTTTAGAGCGTAAAACAGCACAGCAGCTGCATGAAATCTGTTTCGCTTCCTGTTTGATGGAAATAACTTGAGTAAATGCAGCTAGGAATTTTAAATCTGGTATGGTGATGATAATAAAAATTCCTATAAATTCTACATCACATAATGTTTATAAGTTAACAATAAAACAAAAAAAAAATGACAGTGCAAAACTTTGAGATTATATCCAACAAATTCAATGTACAAAAATTATCCCCCCCCAAAGTAATAAATATAATAAAAAAACATGATGATGATAATCTATAACGAATTTATAATAGAAAGAAATGAAACAATTCTGACCCAAGATTAGCACATGATCAGATGTTTATAGCCACACAAGCCCAGCATGCTAATCTCTGAACTCAACTGTGCATGACAAATCAATTATGAATTTACAGTACATATGATATATGCATTGGTATATGGCATAAAGGATCCATTTTAATATTATTCACACACCTACATTCTGGTCTTCCAAGTGGTTTCTTTCCTTCTGGCTTTCCCACCAATCTCTTATATGTATTTCTCTTCACCAACATTTGAGCTAGATGCCATACCCATCTCATTTTCTGTAACTGCTCATTAGAGTTAAGATACTATAAATTAGCTTAATTAAGAAAGATTAAGCATAAGTTATTTTTCCTTTTTTTTCTTTTGGTGCTACAGCCCTCATTTTGGCCTAGGCCTACCTCCATGAAACTCTCCATTCACTTCGGTTTACTAGATCTTAGACATTTGGTAGGACTACTTGGGCGGGTGATCAGCTCGTCACAAGGCCTCTACCTGTACACAAACACAGAAAAACACACACAAACATCCATGCCCTGGGTGGGGTTTGAACCCACGATCCCGGCTTCCGAGCAAGCAAAGACAGTGCATGCCTTAGACCGCTCGGCTACCATGACCAGCGAAGTATAAGTTATACTTAAGATAAATTAGGACTTTGTCCGAATTTTGAGCTCAAAAGTGGACAGGATGTGGCATTCGCTATGCTACATTCATGAGTGACATGGGTTCATCCTTGATGGATGGACAGGAGGTAGCATTCGCTACACTTCCTGAATTGTGCTGTTGAACTAGAGCAGTATTCCTTTGAGAAAAGGAGGGTTGACAGTTACTGCTAGCTCTCATTCGAGTGGAAGGGGGTCCAAACACCCACAATACTGGGAGGTATTTATCATCAAACTATCAACAGTTGATGTAATTAAGAACTAGGGTCATTTTCATTGGTAAAGGTAAATTTCTGCAGAACTCCCAGAATTTAAACTGGGCCAATAAGGCTTGTTTCAGGAAGGAGCTTCCGTTTTTAAGATTACAGGAACTTTTAGAAAGAACAAAGTTAATAATAGGAATTGAGGATACCAAATAAACATAAAGCCCAGGAGGTATAAGTTAAGTAGGGTTCTAAGCCATGCAATTTTTATTACAAGCACAATGAAAAAAATAATTAAATGTCCTGGTGTAGCTAAAGCATTCGCCAAAATAGTGAACATCACCTTCCTGGCCTGCTGGGGTGAGGCCCGATACGTCCTAAGAGGGAGTCCATCTCTACCTGAGCAAACAGGCTGGAACAATTGAGAGATAATCTGGAATGTAATTTCCAGAAGTCCAAGTACAATACTAAGAGAAAAAAAAATTATATATCCAGGTATGTAGGGCAGCCCTTTTCCAGAATAGTGTGTTAAACAAGGCAAGTAGATTATATAATAAATTACCGGAAAGAATAAGAATTTTACAAAATTTCAAAAGCTTTAAAAAGGAGGTAAAATCATTGTTGATCTCAAATATCTTTTACTCGGTCGATGAGATTTTAAACTCCAACTTTTATTAAAAATCGTCAAATTATGTTGGTGTTAAATCTTTCATACACCTTTCCTGACAGTAATAAGGTTTAAATGACGCAATCAGAAATTGATGTAATTGTGATTATGTAATTGATTGTATTTGTGTAATCAATGTGACTTGTCTTGTTCTTATTGACTATTTCTGGATACACCAGTGTTCCAGCCATATGGGGATCCATGGAAATAATAAAAATAATAATAATATGTACATAATATACAACTTTATATACAGTAAACCATCAGCAGCAACAAGCTAACATAAAACAAATATGTAATAATATCCATTTTTAAAAAAGGAACTTGACTTATTAAAGGCTGCTGTTATTACACAGCCTGTCTCAATGAAGAATTCTTCAATATCAGCTACTGATAAGTGAATACATAGAATATGTTGTATTTATAATCATTACTGCATTTCAATAACTGTACAATATTAATGACATGTCCTATGTCAATGTAATTGATCTAAAGGGCGAATAAAAAACAAACAAACACACAAACAAACTTGATACTCACCTGCCCCGTTATCCTCCCAGTTGTAAGCTACGCAAGTACACTTATTGGCACCCAAATTTCACTCCCTGCCTTCCCAAATTAACGTATCCGTTATATAATGAGCCTGCAGAAGGTGGTTGGAGTGTTAAGAGGAAGAGATCTGGAGGCAGGCAGCAGTGAAAGGTGAGAATTGTCACAACAAAAGTGGGCTAGTTACATTAAGCAGCCAATAGCGCTTGGCAAAGACAGCTTGCGGCCACCAGTGAAGGGGACGGGTATACTTCCTTGACTTGATCATTCTAATTGTACTTGGCAAAAAGTATAGGTTATGAAGCTCCTCATTATACAGTTTTCTCCAACATGCTATCAAACCTCTTTGATTCAATTATTCTCCTCAGCATTCTGTTCTCAAACAGCCTCAGTCGATGTTCCTCCCTTACTGTCAGGTACCAAGTTTAACACCCAAACAGAACCACACACAAATTTATAGTTTTGTATATTCTAAATTTTACGTTTTTAGACATCAGATGAGAAGACAAAATATCCTGGACTGAATTGTAGCAAGCATTAACCAAATTCAATCTACTCTTAATTTCATCCTGAATCAAATTTTGATTTCTTACTGTCGTTCCAAAATATCTGAATTGTGCCACATTTTCACAGGATCTAACTATCCCAATGTCATGATTTTGGCCTGTATTCTGGTGATGAGACAGCAACGTATATTGAGATTTCTCCGAGTTCACTTCCAGGCCAACCTGCTTACTAGCATGGCATGTTTTCCAGTTGCAAATGGAGGAGAAAGACTCTCCACATATGGAGAGTAGCTGCGAACATATTGAATAAGCAGTCATGGACACCTGATCAGCAGATTGTGTTTCACCATGGCACTTGACCTTATTCATTAAAGCAACTCAAAAACTTGCTGCTCATAACACTGCCATTTCATCATAATGCCTATTGTGTCCACATTGTAACAGTGTCAAATGGTTTAAGTTCTCTTTGATTTCATCCACTATGTCCACTGCATAGGAATTGCACAAACAACATAAAAAAAATTGTGTAAAACACAACAAGCCAAGACAATGATCTCTAAGCGATCTAATCTGAAATTCACTGCAGTGTGGAAAATGTGGAATCTTGAAGCCATTATTCCAAATGTGTTTTCTATAACCCTCCATGCTCATGACAAACGGTAATTAAAAATTCTTTGTTAATTAGTAAGTTCTCTTTACTGAAAGTTTTAAGAAGTCTTTACGTAATGCAAATGCCTCATCCCCAACAAACACGTATGGCAGTTCATTTGTAGCACCTTCAGCTTTCCTAGGCGAGGGAAGATTGAAATTTCCATTCAGTAGTTTATTATAAAATGTCGTGTTTTTGATTCCCCCTCTGTCCAAAACTCAGCCGCTTGTTCCAATATCACAATATATGAACTCGCAATTAGCATTCACAATTGCCATTAAACCAAACTGTTAAAACTGTTGAAATTAAACAAATGCATATTCATTGAACTTATTTCTTAAGAAATGAGTAGCCCCTATTGAAACAAATTGACAGATGAAAATCATCTTTTGTTTGATGTAGAAAAATGTGCAGAGAGCATATTTCCAATTAGTGAGCTGCTGCAAACTCAGAAAATCACATTTTCTTCACACTTTGCTTTAAACTATAAGCAAAAATCAGTACTCTTTACAAGATTTGCTTCATATTTAAAAAGTTATATGTTTTAAGTTATATGGTCAATGTATAAGTTTAATCTCTAAACACAGCCACAGAAAATGTTTTCTTCAGAGCAGCTGACACAAATATCATTCTGCAAAATAATTATCACCTGACCATTAAAACATCACTCACTGTCCTCATCTAAGTGATTCAAGTTTGTACCAAAACTCCGCACATCTACTCCCAAATCCTCTGGCTCATGGAAGATGTTGTCTGGTGTCTTCATACACTGGAATATAAAATTATAATTAAACTCATTACAATTTATAGATCAATATTAACTGCACTTTTGGAAGAAGTCTGAAGGAACAAGCAATACATGTACCATGAAATGATGTTAAATAAAGCACTCAGTGAGCAGGCTAGCAAAGTGGTAACAGTCCTGATTTGTGTTTGGGAGGTGACTCTCAAGTATCATCCTAGACATCGATGATCTTCCTTGGTTCCTCCAGGAACATTCTGGGACAGGGCCTCAAATGTGGGACAGAAGTGTTTCCTTCCACATCCTTTCAAATTCATTAAATCAACCTATAATTGAATGTTATAATCTGAAATACTGACAGCATCATTACACAGTTAAATGAATAAATGGAATAAAGTACTGAAACCAACATCATGATATACAAATTAGCGCTCCAGTGGCTGTGCGGACTAAGGCATGAACCGTCATTGCCCGCTCGAATACCAGGATCGTGTGTTCTAATTCACTCAAGCCATGGATATCTCCGTGTGTTTATTCTGTGTGTAGGTAGCAGCCTTGCGACAGGCTGATCCCCCATCCAAGGAGTCCTACAGACTGTGTATATATTAAGAAACTGAAAAAGCAGCCAAGTTCCACAAGGGCTCTAAAGCCACAGACAGATAGATGTACATAGCTAGTTTCCATTCACCTGGAAGCAAGCTGTTCTGCAGCCCTCCTTAGTCTTTGCAATCACATTACAGAGAACTAAGCCAAGAAATTCCATATAAGTCACAGCAATTCTTCTGACTTGTTCTAACCAGATCCAGGGATTCTCATGTTTCCTGTAGAGGTACGTTCCAAGGCATCTAATATCATTTCTGTGTATTTTATACATTCAAGCATATTTGAATACACAGTAGTGGCTGATCTTTGATCTTTGTACAAGGGCAAATACATAGACACAAATTTCACACCAGGCCACCATCTTCCAAATAAGGTTTACAGATAATAAAATATAAGAAGTGTAATGCAGTAACTACAATACAGACATACCAAAAGTTGGAATTCAAATATTATCAGCAGAAATGGGAGAAGAATGCCTACAGTGGCTTAGCCATGTAAAAGTGACAGAACAAGGACACCAAAAGATGCACTAGAACTGAGCCTCAAAGGAAGAAGACTAGCAGCCATGACTGGCAATGATCTAAGAAGCATGCAGATTCCAATATACATGTGTTACAAATCTTGAGAAGAGCAGCCCATCAGACAATACAGTTTTGAAGCAGAGGGAAGGGTAAAGGCCAGTTTCCAGCACCTTAAAACTTGAACATTTGGCTAGGGGAGGAACCCCTGACAGAAAACAAGGGCACACATGGCTCATATGACCTGTAGACAACTTGCACAAGAGATGGAAACCTCTGACATAAAAGCCCTGACACTTAGGCTGGAGGTTTTGCAGTAGGATGGCAGTCTTCCCCTGTAAAAGGACTGTCATGTGCATGAGCACCTATAAACAGGGTTTAGACTGATGGCTGATTTACTGAACACCTACAGAATGTAACTACAAATAACTATAGCACTAATGCTAATTCACACATTCTGCAGTTCAGTACAGCATGCATTATGTCTTCTCAGTCTGCTGTATCTTCACTGGTTGTCACCTGGTAACGGCTTCCAATGCCGTAACACCCTCAGCTTCTGTGTTCACATCCTTACTGGCCAGCGACTGTCTCATAACTTACTCCTACTTTTCTAAGTGACGTCTCAAGACTCTAGGTCTAGATTCTCATAATCGCATCTTCTCCTCACTATATAGCCTCCACACATACCACATAGAAAGCACCTCTCCCAACATCTTTTCTATAGTTGCATCACGTAGCTATTGCTCAGACCGCATAGAGAACACCATGCCTGTGTAAACACTAACACAGGCATAGAGAACACCATGCCTGTGTTAGTGTTTACAGCTATTACCGAGCAACGACAGTTGTTTACAGAGTCATTACTTAGCAATGGGTCTACATGCTAGTACAATGCTCAGAAGTAAAACAGTAATAAGCAAGTTGGATTTACAGTAGACACAACACAGACAGTGTTAGAGTATATGCAAGAATGTGCAACTGCAAAGATGTATTAGCAATTTGGAACAAATTATTCATGGTTTACCAAACAGTGCACACAAAATGATGTATTTAAATATGGGCAGAAGAGACAAAGCACAAATGAATATAACTGAGAAGTAAGAAGCTATAAAAATCTGTGGCATGACCTAAATACATTACTAAAAGATAATGTGGAAGACATTACTGTTGATCCTATAACTATAGAAGAATTAGATCAGGCATTAAGATAAAGGTAAACTTGTCCCTATGCTTAACTAATTAATCACCACACCATGTATACATCCACATTTACTTGACCTCAGCACTTATTGCAGATGAGCGGTCAGCTTCACGCCACAGCCACTTCAACCCAGAGTAAAGAGCCTCCAGTACCCACAGTATAGGAGGCTAGGTGGGCTCCAGAGCCAGTCTGGTCAACATTAAGAGGAGAAAATTCTTGACCCTACCAGACATCGAACTCCAGCTTCTCAGTTGTCCAGCCTGTAGCCAGTCACTATACTGACTTCACTTTTCTGCTTACAAGAAATTAAAAAATAGGAATGGCATAGGGGCAAAGGTCATCAATCCAGAACAATGTTTCCAAACTGAGTCCCATGAATTGTGCCTAAATGGTCCAAGAGTTGAGTGGACTCTAGTCAGTATCACATACAGCCCCTCTTTCAAGTATTTCCTCATCTTGTGGTTAGTTTCAAATTACTAGACAAGATGGTATCCCAGGTTAGAAGTATCTTAGGGTCAACACCAATCAGAAATCGTATTTTGTGTACGTGCAAAAATTGGATATTTCACAGTAAAATTTATACCAACTTCTGGTCACAGAAATTAGATACTCCCAAAGAGTAAATGCACTGTCATTATACTGTTTCTGGCTTCCCACAGCAACACTCAGGCCAGGGATAGTTCAGGAATCCAGAGGAAGGGAATGCCCACCATTGGAACCTGTTAGCCCAAGACTGGTGAAGGCACAGCAGGCCTGGAACACTTGAGCGTGTGCTCTAGAGAACTGTAAAGTGTGTGAATTAGTGCAATGGTTATAAGTACTTGTAGTTACAAGTTTTCATTTCTAGGTACCTTTAATGCTCACCTTTCGGTAGATTAATTTCCTCACAAAACTGAACCAAATTCAAACAATTTTATTTATTTATTTAAAGACATAGCATCTCAGATTATACTGAACCCAATGATAGAATGGTCAGTGAATTATGAACGTGAAGTATATGGAATTAAGGAGCCATAACAGAATACAAAGTACTATCCCATCATTTATGTGGAGGTACAAAGAGAAAATTAAAAAAAAAAAAAAATTAGCCAGCAAAGCTGCTCTCTGGTGCAAGATTTGAACCCCAAACCTACCAAATATGAAGCAGGAATGTTACACTGAACCTTGATGTTTAATAGCAAACAAATTAACTCACACTGAAACCAGCTGCTACAGAACCACACACGATGAAGAGGCAGTATATGTTACATGTCTCTGGTCAAAACTTACATCTTGAATAGTGATGCGTGGAGCAGTCATTTGTTCAGGGTTGTGCCATGGTTTCCAGTCTGGACTGTTTTGTTCCTTCCACTCAGGATATGCCTTGGAAGCCTTCAACAGTTTCTTCACCAACTACAACAAAACAGCAATGTTTATGTACAGCACAGAACATAAGAAAGCATCATCATCATCATCATCATCATCATCATCATCATCATCATCATCATCATCATCATAATCATCATCATCATCATCATCATCATCATCATCATCATCAGTAATGTCAGACGACAGGTCCACAGTCTCTTCCAAAACAATTCCTCCACTTAATGCGATCTAGAGCTTTCTCCTTCAAATGACAGTATCCTCTTCTGTCCCCAAGGTCATCCAGCATCTTCTTATGTCTTCTTGTCACTTCTATCCGCCCCTCTATCTTTCCTTCAATAACTTCTTTTAGAAGGCAGTTTCTGCATAAAACATGACCAATCCAATTACCCTTCCGTTTTCTTATTTCTACAGGTCAGAAATCTCAGAAAATGATAAGTGGAAGCTGTGGGTTGCTAAGCAGATCACTGACACTGCATAATCCAAATACTGTACTAACTTATCAGATAAGAATACGAACAGAGTGTAGGAAAGAGAATGACACTATAATCAGAAAATGCCAATTCTTAAACACAATTCTTAGTCGTCTGCCATATTCAGATGATTTTCTCTCCTTAAGGGAATAATGTAGGTTCATGAGATCACCACACTGTGTGTGTCTATTTTCCCCCTTCCCACTTTTAAAACAGTTGGCCAAGTTTCAAGAAACTCAGTAAGCACATTATGCCACTGGAGGACACCTCAACATATATTTTAATATCCTCACGCAGTAGTGTAGCTGGTTGAGGCACTATGCTACAAGCCAGAAGATCACGTGTTCAACTGCCAAAGTCAGTGGGTTTTCCAATTGACCTAATCCTTCCAGCTGCATTATGACCCTGGATTCGACTTAGCCTCTAAGAGAAATGAGTACCAGGAACCTTCTTGAGGGTAAAGGGCGTCCAGTGCGTAAAGCTGACAACCTCACTGTCATTTGTGGGCCAATTGTATAGAAAATGTCACAGCCTCAACATCTCACAGCTCTATGGGCTTCCACAGCCTGTTACAGGGATAGCTTTACCTTTTCTTTTTTTCCGCTTTTGAACCCACACTGTTAGAGGCAGCTGCAATATTGCATCTTTGTTACATCAAACTATCACTATGAAAGTCACTTTAAAACATGAATCTCCTAAAGCAATGTTCTGAACATAATGGTATATACTACCATGTAACATGAAAAGTCACGCCTTGCTGCCTTGCTTTCCACCTGCTTTCATGCTGGTTTTTTGCTTGCCTTATTCATCAACCATGAACTTAGAAGCAACATGTTTGTTCAAAATGTTGGTCAACTCTCAGCAGACTATACAGTGTTATTTTCCACAAGACAGAACTCTTCATAACCATCGATGTGAGAACCTAAAATCCTACAATCCATATAAGGGCCTGTACATGAAACACCACAACCATCGCACACTATATTAGGAGGCAGAATATAAATTGTTGCCAATTGGTGTCCAGTACTGGGAGATTAAAATTACTTACTTTTGGAGCAAATATTTGGGTAACTTTGTTCACTAGCCATGGAGGTAATGTGCCATGAGGATCAGTCTGGGAGACATAACCAAGCTCGGAGCTTGCAGAGCCTGAAGGACGGATCAGGAAGCCTGCCAACATATTAAACCATGATAACCAAACGTTACTTATGATGATGTTTGGCATTACCTAAAGTATAAATGAAATCCTTGCCAGTATGGTTTCATTTAATCTGAATCTGCCATCACCAATTTGGTTAACTTACCCAAATTTCATTACCCCTTTGGTCAGTTCTTGGAGACAAGCTGATGCCAATTATTTTGATCTTAGCAATGAATTTGATCTTGTGCCTCATACCTGTTCCTTTGTAACTATAGTGCTTCTGAACTTTAAGGGGGTTATATAAACTGGTTTTGTAGTTACCTAACCGAGAGACACTCCCAGGTCTGTGTTTCTGGAATTATTCCTTTACCTTTTGAAGTATTCTCCAGTGTTCTGAAGGAACTGTTCTAGGCCCCTTGCTTTTCAGTGTATTTAATAAGACTTATGGGACACAATTAACTACTCTAGGTATCTACTACCTGCAGATGCTATCAAAGTCTACTGTCCCATTAAATCTCCTAAAGAATGCAATCTATTAAGTCTGTCACTGATACTACACAGGTTTAGTGCATTTCTGCTAACTACATGAAACTCAGCATAAGTAAATCTAAAGATATGCCCTTCTCAAGAACTAATCCACTGATCTTGTCAATCCTCTATAACCTGCTCTGACTCTATGAGAGTATATGTCTGGAAGGCTGCTGAATAACAAAGAATTTAGAGAAAACGTGGAGATGAAAAGTGAACAGCCGCCTTTCAAACTTCAGTCAATGGAGAACACTTTCATGAAATATGGTAGTGTAATGGGCATAAACATTTCCAAGGTGACATTTCTCAGACACTATGGTGCCATAACTTAAATATGCCTAAAATATATACTATAAAAGTTTGAACTTTGATCACATTAGCATATGTTTTCCTAGCACAACATTAAGTTGGTTTGTCTCCTGTGGAGAGAAATCTCGTTTCCTTTGGCTAATTAAGAATGACCTGCGGGTGAGGACCCCAGTTGTACAAAGTATCCCCTGTGAGTGAGGTCAGGTCTAAATTGGACAAACACACCATTCATTTGTGCAACACTGAAGAAGCACCACCTGGACAAGAGAGCTGCCACAAAGCATGGCATCCAGTCAAGTAACACCAGCATCATCTCTACCAGATCCAGTTCTATGGGTCGTATCATCAGGGAGGCAACTGAGGTTGAGCTCCAGCCCAATAATACATATGGGGTGGACTGCTTCTGCCTGAGCATGCAATCATCTCATCTGCCCCACAGAATTCTCTAGATGGCTGTCCACTGGGCCATATGCGTCTGTGTGCACTGCTCTTGTCAGGGCATCAATCCTGCCTTCAGCCTTTCCTCCCTCCCTCCACTGTTTTTGCTCTTCTTACCACCACCATATGCTAGCAACCCTCACACAACCTCCTTCCCAGTGCTACCCCCATGTTTAAATGTCGGCACAGTCAGCCCTTGTTAGGGCACCACCTGGTTACTCTTTTCTCGTCTCCTACTGGTTCACTCTGTTGCTCAGAGAAACAGAGAGAGAGTCAATGGGAACTGATGGGTTGGCTCGCAAGTTCTTTCCTGGCTCAACGAACACTATATTCTGAAACAGCTTAAGCTGCCTTCCTGTGCACACTGTCCTTTTGCCCCCTTCCCTTCCTACCCACTGTTTTCCTATCCACCCCCACTCCTTCTTGCCTGTCAGGGTATTACAGGTAATTTCTCTGGCATTCATTCAAGAACTAGACTTTGAGCTGATTGCTGGTTTGGTTGCATCAGAGTCCTTGCAGGTCGATAGATGTACGTTTTCTTGCTTATAAACAATGAGGTGAGTGTGTGTTTTCTGAATCTGGTTTGACCTCTGTTTTCCAAATCTCTGTCTTGAACATTTTCTTTAATTTACTCACCTATGGTGGGTCCCCCTGGTTGGTATATGTATCTTTCATCTAGGCTTACCTCTTGGGCTGACTGCCATATCTTCATTTATTCATATTGTAATGTGGATGGCGCAACAGGAAGTAGGGGTGACTTGAACTCTGTTTCCATGAGTGACGTCACGTAACCCCACTCCTCCCATCATTACGCAACGCTCAGTAAACACCCCTCCCCACTAGGCTGTGACGTCATGCAACAGACCACTCCATGCAGTGACTATCACTAGGCTATACATAGGTAGAAACACCTGACAACAATACCTGATATCTTTTGCCAAGCAGCAAGGTGTTCTCTATGTGGTCTGTGCCGAGCCTAAATAAGGAGCAGCGAACACTATTCAGGAGTAGTGAGTATTGAGTTACTAGTATTCAGTATGAGTGGAAGTCCAGCAGTCACCAAGTGGAGTTGCATCATGTGCATGGCAGTGACTACAGCAGGGGAAGTAATTGTGATACTGCAGATGGCAGTAGTTGTGAAATTGTAAACTGTGTAAGTGTAAGAGCGAATGTGGAATAAATGTGAAACATCCAAGACAGTGTGAAGTTATTTGTCGCGATACAAACACCCAACATGTGACAATATTGTATTACTCATTACTATTTTAAGCCTTAGCCCCTGTAATCAACCACACCAATATCAGTGACCACATTTGTTCAAATGCCATGGCCTGGTTATTTGTGTTGTACTTATTTCTTAATTACATGTCCATTGGGCCCTACTTCTACAGTACCATATCTTTCTTACTATTATGCTTTCATAATCACAGGACATCTCAAGTGGCAAATAAAGAGGGTCCAGGGGAGGGTACTATTTACTCTCCTATTTCTATCTAACTCTTCCTCCCTGAGAGACCTGTATTACTGCTTCTGTATAATCCCATATTCTTCTGCAAGTGACTTTCTGTATTTGCTGCCTGCTTAATGATGGTTTCTTGCTTAGACGACGCTTCAACTCTGAAGATGGAAGCAATATGTTCCTCCAAAACATTGGTTGACTTTTACCAGACTACATGGCAATATATCCCAGAAGACAGAACTCTTCAAGTACAAACTGACACATGTTTACCCACATCCTTGTGACAAATATTTCATTAAAAGACATTACATATATATAATGCTTACTGAACTGTGGACTGTGACATTCAATTTCACCTGTCAGGTAGGATGTTGCACGAATAAAGCCTCGTCTTGGGGGGAAATCCTGGTGAAACACAGAATGGTTAATGATGAATTGTTCTTGCCCTGTGTCTAACCATGATCGTTGTAGTACGAAATCTCTGTTCCGTAATGGTGCTGGGCAGGACACTGCAAAACAACAAAATACGTATGAGGTTAACGGCAGAACTTTTAGCGAGTTCAGTGTATATAGGATGGGCTGCACCTATTATAACATGATGTATTCTCTTCTTATATTTGTGCCATCTGTTCACTGTACCTGACAGGGGTGAAACAAAAAAGTACTGAAAATGAATGATACAGTTTGGTAAGAATACCCCCCCCCCAATAAAATCAAATACAGCACATTGTGTTCTAGACCTGAAACACAATGTTGAATTGAGATCAGCCCATTCTTGTACCCTGAAGAGATTAAACTCATACACTGAATAGAATGTTATGAGAAAGCCAGTATCTGTTCATGAAATCTGTTTGGAAAGGGATGCTCTGGGGGGATCACAAAAAATTTGAGTCAACGTACTTTACAGAAGGCCACTCTACAGATGGTGAGGAACAAATGGACAAAACTATGGAAACACCCAACAAAAAACACATTACCATGAATAATATGGTGTAGGACAACCTCTGGCTTGCAGTCTCCTTGGAATGGATATACAGAGGTCAAGTATGATTTGTAAGGGAATCTTGTGCCATTCTTCCTGCAAAACATTGGCAAGCTCTGTTAATGATGATGGAGGTGGAGAGCACGCACAGACTGCTCTTAAAAATAGACCACAAAGGCTCAATAATATTGATATCTGTTGATTGTGGGGGCCATGGCAGATGTGACACTTCATCTTTGTGCTCAGAAAACCAGTCCTGGATGATGTGAGCTGTGTGAACACAGGCACTGTCATCTTGGTAAATGGTATCACCATTGGGGAATAAAGTTTGCACCATGGGATGGACCTGGTTGCCCAAAATGGTTACATAGTCATTGGCAGTGACGTGACCTTGCAGGGTAATGATGGGTCGGACAGAATACCATGATATGGCTGCCCATACCATGATCGAACCCCCGCCATGTTTCACTCTTGGCAGCAAACAATCTGGATTGTAAGCTTGGGATGGTGTTCTCCAAACAAACTTGGCCAGAAGTCGGAAACAGTGTGAAGGTGGACTCATCCAACCAAATGACCGTCTTCCATTGCTCCATAGTCCAGGTTTTATGACTTCAGCACCATACTCTCCTCTTAGTGGCATTTTGATCACTGATGAGTGGCTTTGGAATTGCAGCTCCTCCAGAAATACCCTGCTTGTGGAGCTCCCTTTGTACTGTTTTTGTGCTGACAGGGTAGTCTTCTTATTTTTCGTCATAATCCTACGCAATGTTTGTCTGTCTCAATCACTCAACACACATTTCCGTCCATGCTGGTGTTTATCGGATGTGGTTTTCCCAGTCCTCCTGCATGCAGTCATAATCTTGGCTACTGTGCCTTGCGAAACACCAAAAACATCGGCTACCTTGGTTATGGAAGCACCCACCATATGGGCCCCAACAATTTGCCTGCGTTCGGATTCTGTTAGCTCTGACATGATGCACTAAAAACTGCACAGAACACTGTCTCAACAAGAAATGAAGCTTGCAATGTATTGTGAAGGTGGTACAGGTAGTGGTATTGGGCAGATATGACAGCGTGACCTACAAACGTCGCTAAAATAAACACTTCAATTCAGGCATGCATTTCACGAGGTGTTTCCATATTTTTGTCCATCCCCTGTATGTAAGACCAGAAGGATCACCATACAAACTAAAAAATTAGACAGAATTTAAAGACAAATATCATCATCATCACTGGCACGACAGCCCTTTGTGAGCCCTGGCCTTCCTCAGGATTGCTCGCCATTCTTCTCCATTCGATGCTACATTTCTCCAGTTCTTTACACCCAAAATTCTTATGTCCTGCCACACACATTCTTCCCATCTTAATCTTGGTCTTCCCACTCTCCTATTTCCTTCTGGTTTAGTATTAAGAAAGACAAATATACTCTGGAATATAAATAAAAGAATAACAGAATAAGAAGAAATGGACATGTTTTAAGAATGAATAAAGATATAATCACATAGGTTTCGAACATGAAACTAAAAGGAAATCAAAGAGTACAGTCTTGTGGGTTGTAATGCTACACAATTTGAATACAGTCCAACATTTTGGAGAATATGATCTCCTTCTCAGGCTCAAAGAGTAAGACAAGCAAGACATTGACGAAAGCAGGGAGAAAGCTGAGCTTCGCTTACACTTTCACCTTGAAGATGGAAGTTATATTTCATGTAATATTGAACTCTCCATGATGACATGACACTAAAACCCAGAACACTGTACTCTTCACAGCCATTACTGTGAAAACGTGAAACCCAGCATAATAGGAAGATGATTATGAGGAAGGCTGGCTCAAAATGGGAACAACAGGATAAGGAAGACATCACACAGAAGGAACAACATGGGAAAATACTGAGGGTGAGGAGCTTTCAGAAGAACAAGACAGAAACAGAGATGTGGCTGGTAGGTGACCCACATCAAATGGAAAAGGTTCACAACAAATATGAAATTTATAGTTGCTGAGGAAAAAAATATCATTAAACTGGTAGTGGTATTTTCAATTTTTCCAGCTGCACTATGGCCCTGGGGTTGACTCAGCCTCTAACAGAAATGAGTACCAGGAATCTTCCAGGGGGTAAACGGCGGCTGGTGCATAGGGCTAACAACCTTGCTGCCATCTATGAGCCGATTGTCTAGAAAATGTGTGAGCCTCAACATCTCACAACCCTACGGGCCTCCACGGCCTGCTGCAGGGATAGCTTTACTTTACTTGATGGTCTGTGAACACTGTGACTTAATCCTATAAATGGTGTTCATTAAGACTCTGGCGCTATCTTACTTGCATAATACCCAACATCATTGTTTGGGTTAAGGCAGCCAATGTCATGTGATTCAATCATATGTTGGTCCCACACTTTCCTGTAATCTGGGTCATGCAGCACATCATACACTTGCTGAGGACTTACTTCAGCAAACACAGTATGAACCTGAAACACAAAAGCTCAGTTTAATACAATTAAATTCATCATACGCCAGCCTTTGTGAAATGCACTAATGCCAAAACACTTTTAAATGCAGCTGAGGTGAGGTTTCATTCTTCTGGGCTGTGGCACAATGTCATCTGAAAGAACCTCCTCTACCCTGAAACCAGAGTCAGTACAGTCCTCTTCAACAGTGACATCCACCTACCAGACTACAAGGTGATATACCCCATAAGGCTACATTATGGAACTTTATAATGTAGTGTATGCCATCAAAAAGGGAACAGCAAAATAAAAGATTCCACGTTACTGTAGGTTTCAATAGCTAATATAGCATAAAATTATGTTTCAGCATCCAGCTGAAATAATTAGTCACAATTTATTATTTACATAAAATTCTGTCTTTTTTCTGGAGCTTCTGTTGAAGTTCAGTGGTTGTGTGGCTGCTTCTCACTGCCACATTACAGCCACTTGTTTCTCTCAACATGAGTGAAACAAAGTGAAATAACTTACATCATATAATTAGCATACTTGATGTTGGCTGTTTGAGGATGAAAACAATCACACATCATTAATGAAGGCTGCAGAAAAAGATAGAACTTTAAATAATAAAAATCTCTCTTATCCAGCTTGTATGGGGAATGGGGTCTGCCAGTTATATGAATTTGCTGGTTGCAAGAGAACAACTCTTACAGAAATCCAATACAAAGTTAAGACAATTTTTTTACTTCAGTTCTTGCACTGGAATCTTCCTAGGTGACATAGCGGATTGACAGATGAAAGATTTCAAACACATATGCTATAATGTGATCACAAATTTAATTAGCCTCTTTTGTAATGGCAGCTGAATGAGGAAGGATGATGGGTGGCACTTCTACTGGCAGCTGGGAGAACTAATGTGTGGCAACTGTACACATGCACATAAGAGAATTTGTTTTTGGATAAATTTATAAAAAACTTATTTGATATTTCTGCTGGTCAGTTGAGAATTCCGGAAGCTGGGATACCAGATAACCAGAGTTGATTGTATTTTGATATATGGGTACCAATGTTCTGGAGGAACCAGCTGCCTCCATCTTCAGGATGGAAGAGTAAGCAGCATGCAGACAACCATAGCACTCGCAACCTCTCCCACTTGCCACGTGCAACAATTTGTGGTCACATTCACAGAAAACTCATTGTATAATTATTACCACATATACAGCACATGAATGCAGTAGTTTGGTACCTTTATCATTTTGAAGCTTGTGGTCGGTATAGATTTTGTCCAAACTTTTGTTGATGACTTGTTATAATCAAGCCTCCATCCTGTGTGATCATCTATTAGTTTCTTCAGCTTCTCGAAGTCCTGATCCTCAGCAACTTTAACTACTCCAACATCCATTTGTTCTGAAATGATTGTTATAAAGTAAGAGCTGGTTTGGTAAAACAATGAACAAGATGGATCACTTTACAAAGCAAGGGCCTGTGGACACTCAGCCAGGAACTAACGAGACACTGTGACAGGACTCGCAACGCACTTCATGACATGAAACTTGTGATTCTCATAGCAGTGAACAGTAACAGTAGTCTTATGGAATGTGGCATTGTGTGGTTTGGTAGACAGATGCTATCATTTGGATGAACATATTGCCTCCAACTTCAGCACAGACGTAAGGATAAAATTCTGGTGTCAGTTTCAGGATGTTACAGTTCTACATAAAGAAACTATACGCTGAAAATGGAGGCATCATCATGGTACTTACATACTAAACTATAAGGCAGTGGTTCTAAACCTTTGTGAGACTGTGGCCCAGTACATTTTTTTATAAGGGTCCGGTATAATTGATGCCAGGGCCCAGCAGTTGAGAAACACTGCCATAGGGTGTCACTTACCAGAAGACTGTAACCCTATCATCATAATATATTAATGACGTGGGGGTTGCACTGGCATTCTCACTCTACACATTCCAGTTTGATGGGAAGCCCCAGAACCCATTCCTGTAAGGCTATCCGCTCCCTTCCAGCAGCACTGCTACGACTCTACCAAAACCAGTCACTACCACCTTGCTGTTGCCTCTTCATATTGGGGAATGAATATGGTTGCACTTCTTCGTCGCCCATTCACAGCATATGGTGCCCCAAATCCACAGATGCATCGTGGATGTACAAGACATCCAGTCCCAGGATAAACTCATTTGTGACACTGGTGATGAACACCCAAGCTGTCAGTGGGTGCTGCCTCAGATTTAAAGTTACTACGACTTCCTTCAAGATCTCATCACAAATCTATATAAGATACTCACAACCAGGGGGAGTGGCACGCTCAATGGGGCACAAAGCAGCTGCAATACGGGGATAGGAGGAACAGAAAGCAAAACATATAAATAATAATGACGCACATTAAGAATACTACTGACAAAGTGTACAGTGCAGTAGATTCCTTAAAAAGTGTGTTGCCTGAGGATGGCCCTGTGAGACCCAAACGTGTAGCACCTAACATATAATATATTGTAGTGGTTGGAGAACGGACAATGGGAAGAAAAGAAACACTGAGCCAGCCAAAAAAAGACATTGCAAGTACATCCTCGGAAGGAAAGGACCAGTGATGCACTGTTAAGCTATTCGGGATGAACAGCCTTAAGGAGGGAGCAGTGTGATGTGTCAAACCGTTGTTGTGCAACGGGATATGGAACAAGTTACCATGAAGACAGACTCTTGATAAACAGTCGGTTGCCAAGTTACGCAACAGTGGAACGAGGTTATGCAACAATAAGGAAAGTAGTGTTTCTCTGTGCTGTGCTGACCCGAAACAACATTGGTTGCTATGCAGCAGTAAACAATTCTCAGTAGCACTGCCAAGCAATGCCTCTGTAAAGACAGCGTCATGCAACAGTGAAGCAAGCTGCATTTTCTGCCTGTATGAGTGAGGATTTATAAGAGAAACTGGAATAACTAAGGAGCCAACCCTGCAAGTCGTAGGATGCGATGAAAAGAGAAGTCTCAAATCTGAGACAGTAAAATATGGTCGCAAATCCCAAGGGACTAAGATTGCGCTGACAAAGGGTAGGCATCATATACAAAAGACAGACCCATCCTCTCATCAGAGAGGGCGCCCCAGAGAAACAAGATCATAACTGTCAAATGGTAGTAATTAATATCTGGTCATGAGCCCCAGATGGGGCTAGACACCAAGACTTACTGACTGACTGACTGACCGTCAGTCGCAGTGTGACTCTGACTTTGACTAAGAAGCCATTATTCACCAGTATACAGCAGAACAGAAATCAGGCAGTCAGTCAAGACAGCCGCAGGAAGAACTGAACGCGTGATTAGATTTTATGTGTGATCTTCAGTGATAGTTTGTGATAACTGAGAAGGCACTGGGTATTGGGAGTGTGTAATTCAGTCACACTTGTATAGCTCCCATGTTATACTGAAAATAAGTGAAGGCTACTGAAGATAGAGTGAATAGATTAGTGTGTAGGGTTTGTAAATTGTGTAAACCTGCAACAGTGTTATAATTAATTGTAGTTATGACTTGTAGGTTGTTAATAAAAACAATTAACAATCCAAACAGTGTCCACAGTAGTCCAAGCACATTACACTTTGTTTGTCCTTCCATAATCTTCATCGTCTCTTGAGAAGATGTCCGCGTACTCAGCCACGAGTTCCTCCAGCTCTTGAAATTCTTTGGTGTTTAGGTGTGGCTTGGACGCTGATGTCACATCTGCTAATTTCGGTTTTAGGTCTGGTATTTGTGGCTGCAACACATTGGGCAAAGTCGCTAGAGTTACTGGCTCACAGTGCACCAGAGGGGATCCTCTCCTGAGCTTCTGGTCCATGTGGGTAGCATTCATGACCCTCACCGGTACCTCATGACAGTCTTGAACTAGGGTCCTGGCTATGTAGATTCCTTCAGGCGGATGGGCCTGTGGGCTTGGTTCTACTAGACCATTCTCCACTCCCAGAGAGTTGTCCATTCTAGCCATCACTACTCCCTCGCACTGTGCGAGGGGCATGGGCGTTCCACATCCACATCCTGTTGCCCAACAACAGTTTGAAATATCACAATATATATATATTAATGATATTTTAAACATTCTGACAAACATTTTAGTGAGTTAAATGTGGATTAGTGTCATCTATTTTATTTTTTTTTATTGCTAGTGGGGTGGGACTAAGTCGCTTGTAGTGCAGCCACTTCTGGCCTATTGTACCAGCCCCAGATGATAAGTAATGGTGATTGTGGAGCAATTTGTGGACTGAAGATTGGCAGGGGAAACCGAAGTACTCTGAGAAAACCTGCCCCAGTGCCACTTTGTCCACCACAAATCCCACTTGACCAGACCCGGGATCGAACCTGGGCCGCTGCGGTGGGAAGCCAGCTACTAATCGCTTGAGCTATGGTGCAGCCTAGTGTCATCTAAGTCTACATTAATATTAAAACGTCTATGTATAACACAGTCCATCAATAATGCAACAAATTGATCATTTTCTTCCACTTATACTTTAATGCAACATGTTTCGGCCTTTGATGGCCATCTTCAGGTGTCTTAATATATTAAAACTGCTACACTGCATTAATATGCCCTAAAATCACATGCTGTAGTGCACTTAATGAAATAAAATAAAATAAAATCCATTACAATTTTCTATTAAAATTTTCATTACTTTGGTGAAATTGTGTTCCACCTCACAAGGGGTGTCGTCCATTTGTTTAGAACTATAAGGTTCTGTCACCCCTTGTGAGGTGGAATACAATTTCACCAAAGTAAGGAAAATTTTAATAGAAAATTGTATTGGATTTTATTTTATTTTATTTTATTTCATTAAGTGCACTATAGCATGTGATTTTAGTGCATATTAATGCAGTGTAGCAGTTTTAATATATTAAGACACCTGAAGATGGCCATCTAAGGCCGAAACATGTTGCATTAAAGTATAAGTGGAACAAAAAGGAACAAGTTGTTGCATTACTGATGCAGTGTAGCCATTTTAATATGGCTTCAACAGTTTGCTTAAATACAGAACTATGCTAATATTGTTGCATTATTGATGGACAAAAATCTGCAAATGATACTTCAATGCAACAGGATGCTGAAATATAATAATATGATGTTCCTGTATTCTTGTCTCCTGTCCATCCCTTGGCATTCAGCTGTCATGGCCCTGTCTTGCCAGCATGATGAATGTGCACCAAAGAGGTAGGAGTGATAGCACTGGTGCCGTCTTTATTTCTTCCACTCCTTTCTGTGGTCTTGGTAAATCTGCTTCTGGGAACACTGTTATCAGCAGTCTCTTGTCAGATGGCTGAAGCACCCACATTGCCAGTATGTAAGTTTCTGATCCCCACAGCATTCAGTTGTGGTCACCTGGTTCCTCCAGGTTGCCCTGGCTTTCACTTGTCGGAGCATGATGAATGTTCCAGCTGACATCTTGGCAGCCTCCAGCTGAAGGGCCTGATTGAGGCCTCCCGTGAATAGTTGCTGTTCCATGTCTTGAGCCCTTATCACACTCATGAATGCGTGGGCTGCATCCTTACAGATGTAATGTTCAGGAAGTCCTACAAGGGTGCAGTGGACCACCTGCTTAATGGTGGTGGCAAACTACTGCATGGTCTCACCGAGCTGGGTGTTTGCTTTGAGTCAAGAGAGGTGTGCTGCAGTCAGCTGGTGGTCCATGTAGGGACTCTCCAGTGCCTCATATGGTGCTTCTGTAGGGATGCCATGTAGAATACTGGCCCACCCCTCCATGTTGGCAAGCAAGTGTATGGCTTTTTCAAGGGATCCCCAGTTGTTTGTGCCCTGTCATGACCTCGAACTGGTGGCATAACATGGCCCAAGAAGCCGAACTGTGAAACCTGGGTGCTTTTACTATGTCTATGCCACTTCCCATGCTCAGCCTCAGTTTAAGGGTTCTCCTAGTCTTGTCTAGGGATGAGGAACATGTTTACTGAGAATCTGCCTAGTGATGAATGCCTTCTCTGGCCAATGCTCTGGTTGAGGCATCATGTCACTGATTAAGTGCCTCAAAGTTCATGTCATGAAATTACAATTATTGAAACAGCAGTTTATCCTGAAATATAAGAAATGACTGAATGCCCTAATAGTGAAGAAAGGCTGATTTAAATCTGAGCAGACTATTAACATTTTACTGTCATTACTGTAGAGAACTGCTGAGGAATAGTGTGGTTGTGTTGTTACCAACAGGCACAAGCAGCTGCCTGACCTTATTTACATGGCATACTCTTTACAACTTTTTATGCACTTCACTGAATGCATAACACAGGCAACCATACTAAATTTAAACAGATAAGTTACAGAAGCACTGTCACACTCTATCATAAAATGTTTAACATTATGTTAAATGTGAGTTACACAAACAACTATAAGTTACAGTTTCCCCACTTTATCAAACAAATGTTTGAAAAACAACCGTGTCTTGCACACAGAAAAATGTGCATGGCTAAACTGAATTTTAAACTCTACCGTTATTGCAGATAATTTAATATGGAATGAACAGTGTTTGAAAGAAACTTAAAATGTCTTGAAATTATCTGAAACCACCCCTTTAGCAAAATTGAAAACGTGTTACTACACAAAGGGTAAATATAGCCATTTTATGCCCTTCCATTCCAATGATTTAAATATATATGACATTTTCAGCCCTGAAAGTTTATCTTCTACTAGGGAACAGCTTGTAAAATGAAAGAGAAAACTGCAGATTGTAAAAGACTGGCTCCAATAATTCTTACTAACATTTCTTGAAAACCTGGACAACTCTATCTGCATTCACATGCCATGGCACAATTCGGGGAGCAATTTTACACTTTTGAGAAAGATAAGACAATTCCAGATAGAAGGGCCACTGATAGACCATAAAACCTTGATGGGATACAAACATTTCAGTACAATTCCTTCACATCAAGTATGGATCACTGAAGGCACCTTCATCCAGCATCACATGGTAAAAACTTAGACCAGCATGTAATTATCATATCACATGATCTATACCCATAAATATTGTAACAGAAGGAGAATAGTCACTGCAAGGAGTAGCCGAAACAACAGGAGACCCACCAAGCACATCCTTGGAAGAAAAGGAATGAGGGTGCACCATTAGGCTATTCGGGACGAACAGCCGTAAGGAGGGAGCAGTGTGACGTGTTGCGCTATGCAGGACACCCCTCCCCCCCTGCCAGCGGTGACGTAACACCATCGGAGCGCTGTCATTACTAGGGTAATAGCCAAGTCAACACTCCTTCCCCTACCCCGCCATCGGTGACGTGGCCAAGGGATGCCGCGGTTGCTATGCAGCTGTAAACAACTCTAGGCAGCGTTGCCAGTAACACCTGTAAACATGGCGCCAGACAACAGTGGTGCCTATTACGTAACTGTTTTCCCGTTGTCCGGCTGAGGGTTTATAAGAGAACTACACAGCCGCCAATGACAGTTCTCAAGGCAGCAGTTACGAGTTACAAGTTAGCCAGCAGTGAGTCACTTAACCAGTCATTAGCTGTCTATCTTTCATCGGAGTATTTGTGATACTACCAATGGCAGTAATTGTCAGATTGTAAATTGTGTGATTGTAAGATTGATTAATTATATGAAAATCTTCTACAGGGTTCTGACAACCTATTGTAAACAACTGTAAGTATTGTAACTTTATTCTCTTATTGTAATCAGCCAAAGTACAGTAACTGACTTGTCCTATATCATGTAACAATGATCTATAGAGACAAAATAAATAAATAAATAAATAAATGGTATATTACACTTGGGACTACTGAGTTTCTGGTCTTCTTCCACCATCTAGTATTCTAAAAGAACACAATATTCTTTCCTTGTCTGTGACCAGTGTCTCCCCCTTCCCCCTTTGGATGGAAGCACACAGTTTCTAAAACAGTGTTCTTTCAAATATCTGATGAAAAATATCAGAAACTCCAGTAATCCAAATATTTAAAACTATACTGTGAACTACACTATACTAACCAATTCCCCTTCCCTCTTTTATTGTTTAATATTCTGTAATATTTTTGGGAGAGCAGTCAGTGATAGGGGAAATCAAAAGTCTGATTTGTCTTTTAACATATTATATTACACATATTGGCTACGCCTACTGTGTTCTGACAAGAAGCTGCAAAATTCCTAAGTTTATTCAGAAACATACGATATTTCATTACGACCCCGCATGAATCATAAAGTGACTTCCCTTATGTTAATGCAACAGTATTTACTAATGCATTAAATAATGTCAAAATTAACCAACACGTGTCACATTGAACTATGCGCACAATTTTATAAGAAATTATACATAGGGGCGGAAACACGACAATAATCAGAAATATTTTAAAATATTACCCCTATAACAAAACTCACTTCTGCAGTCCTTTCTAATAGTGTCCTTGATATTCTCACTTTTGGGCATATTGCAGATTACATACCATATAACATGATTCAAAATCCAATTCGTGTCCACAGCTACAACACTAATTCTTCTCTTTACTAACATGAGTCGTATACACCTACATTGTATGCGGTAAGAACCGTCGGCCTTTGGTCATACCTCATTTTGAAAAGCTTTTTCAGGATACAATGCTGATAGTTCATTTAAAATTCAGATAACTCTTTATGAAGTCTGTCAATTCTGATCATACACTTTCACTCTAAACTACACTCATTTTATACGAAATTTCAACATCAGTAAAAGACTCGTATAATATTAACTTAATTATTTTATTATAGTATGCTGTCCACACAATTTTCGCTCACGAGCAGTTGCATTAAATCATTACTCCGAATCAGCCGAATCAGCTGACTGAAGTTTCCCATGTGATCGAGGTTACGGTAAGGTAACGTGGTAACGCGTGCGGTAGAGTGTAATTCACCAGTATACGGCTACAAACATAACAAATTAAATACTGGATAAAAGAAGAAATAGTTTACAATTATTACATTATCAAAGCATTGCGTCGCGTAATATAGCTTACATAAAAATGTTGGTACGCTTTGGTGTACTTCAGAGGTTCAGAGGTGCCGGTTTTAACTGACCTATTTAAACTGCCCTCTTCCTCTCTTTTCAAGTTTTCCAAGTTAAATTTTTTTTTATATCCAGTGGTTCACGTTAACTTATATATTCTGATCTGTTGTCGAGAAACGGAGGTAACGTCGATGACACGTTTACATTTTGCCACAAACGCTTTATCTGTTATCTTCTTGTTACCCATCCTTCCAGTTTACTGATAAAATGTCTTGTCGTTGTAATTTAACTCGCATCAATCTTCTTATGACTTGCAGTCTGTCTGTTCTGAACAGAAGTATATGCTTTATTCGCTGTACTTATCCCGAAAACAAACAATAGCCAGGAATAATACGTAATCTGTGGTAACGTATTTTATTCAGTTAGGTTACTGTAGTAAGCCCAAGGTTTTATATTCCATTCGTTACAGAAAGAATGACTTTCGGATAATCAATTTTATCTCTATACCAAACATGGTAGTCAGCTTTTCTGACCCCTGGACAAAGTGAATGTCAAATATGGGTTCTATTGGTACCATCTTATAGATGCTGCAAGATTGGTAATTCCTGGCCATAGCCTTTCATGGCCTCTGTAGAATGTGCGGTAGATGAATGCTCACTGACACCAAGCATATGGCATCAATAAATTCAAACCCTAGCAAACATTCACACTTAACCATATTCATATTCATATTCATATTTATTTCAAGTTCAGTTGATCCATACATGAGTTGAAAGTACAAACTGTTGGATATAGAACGTGTCACAAAGTAAATACTAGTCTAAGTTCCCAATCATTGGAACAGAGTCAAAATACCCGATAAGAACGATATATGATACAGTACACACATTATTAAAATTTCATTTAAATACAATAAGATAAAACCATAAATTAAAAGTACCAGTAACATATGTATTCAACAATGACTTTAACATGAAGTATAAAAAAAAAAACAAAAAACTAATTACCCTGAGGAAAGTGTCACAACCATCACTTAAAAGCTACAGTATACCAAAGAAACAACCTATGACCACACTTCACATAACCATACCTGTATTATGAAAGAAAAAGTCAAAATAATTATGCATCTGCACAGTTTTAACTGTGATGATGTATATAAACTAAGAAAAGACTGGTTGCACCTCTTCACCTTCAACCCTTCTTCCTAATTACCTGGCCTCTTGCACTGGATAGCACCACACTTCACACCTCCCACTCCCACTGCAAGACCTATATGAGGTCAATTTTCTTCTTCCACCACATTCATTCTGAAGATGATGACTGCAGTGTATGTTGAAACACTCCAAACCAAAAGGGGAAAAAGAGGGAAAGATAGTCAGTCATAAAACAGAAAAGCAAATGAATGAATGAAAAATATATGTGAAACACTGAAACAACCTCAGTATACAGCTAAAAATTGAGAGCCAACATTTAGAAATGTCTTGCAGTTTGTAATGGTATATTTTTACCTCGTGTTTATTTCAGTTAACAGGGCAACATGCAGGGTGCAATGAATGTTGAGTTTCCACTGGTTGGTGATGCAGAGATTGATAAAAAAGTTAACGAATGGCAGCAGTGGGATAAGGTATTATACAGATTTGTCAGTTATGTTTATTAGTTCCCAAGCTTCCTCACAAATACACGTATGTGGCATGTTGTGCTTTTCAACCTTGATCTTGATACTTTCATCAAACTGACAACTCATAAGTGGAAATGTGTAAAGATATTTCTTAGTACACTGCAAAGTCTTCTAGTAAAGAAATGTATGATTATTTGTATTCTGCACTTACTAATGTATAGATATTTGTAAATAGCAAAAATTAATGAACAGGTGCTTAATATGTAAGATATATGGTTTTCATTTTGTGGCCATCTGAGTTTTCACACATGTAATTTCGGTATGTGGGTACCACTCTGAAGATGCAGGCACTATGTTCCTCTGAAGCACTTGTACCTACCTACAGCTCAGTGTCATAACCCAGAAAACCATGTCAGTGAAAGTGACAAACAAAGTTGAGTGTTGAACTGAAAATGCGTGGCTTCGCTGTGGAGTCAACAGTTGCATAAAGGTTGAGGAATTAGCAACTCTCTCTCCCTGGGAACAGAATTTGAATGTACCAGGCGGATTGGTGTAGGGATAATGCTCTGGATTTGTACTCTGAATGTGCCCAATTCTTATCTCAACAGGGATGCTGACTGTCCTGTGGTATTATGTGGTTTTCCTCAGTCCCTCCAGGCAAATTCTGGGAATGTACTTCAATTAGGCCAAGACTGCTTCGTTCCAAATCATTTTGAATTCATCAGTCATCCTACTGTGCAGTACTGTCAACTTGAAATCCACAAGAATAAGAGCTTATCTCCCCCAAGATAGTCACACTGTATACACTATTAGTCTAAATCAAGGGTCTCCAAACTACAGCCCGCGGGCCACATCCAGCCCGTGAAAGAATTGTGCAGAAATGTGCCGGTCTGTACATAAGTGTACAAAGAGCACTGTGTGTAGTGTAGTTGATGTGTAATAAAGTAAGTGATTATTAAAAGTCAGTGGTTACAGTTACATAATATTCAATTTGTAACTGAATAAATTTATTCATATATTTGCTTGTACAGAGATCTTGTAATTTTAATAATTTCATAATTATATATACATTTATTTATTTAAACATTTTAAATTAACAAGAGTGTACATAGTAAAATTACTAGAATATTTGTTGTTTTTATTTAGTATTCATTTTATTATTAATTTTTGTATTATTATTCTGTTTTCAAGTTTTAACATGGATGGAAAAAAGAAAAGAAAAATTGACGATGAATTTTGTGCGTTTAATGACGAATGGGGCATAAAATATTTCTTCATACAATCGAATTCAAAGGATGAAGCTTATGTCTGATATGTAAAGATACTGTTGCTGTGTTGAAAGAATACAATATACGTCGTCACTATGACGCAAAGCATGCTTCAACGTTTTCACAATTTAAAGAAAAGCAGCGTTCAGATAAATTTGAATCATTATGTCGTCTGCGTTGTCAGCAAGACTTATTTATGAAAGAAATATCAGAAAATGAAGTCTTAACCTTGGTAAGCTATAAGGTTGCTTATGTGTTGGCTAAAAAAGGAAAACCATTCACTGATGGCAATATCATCAAAGAGTGTATGATGGAAGCAGTGACTGAGTTGTGCCCAGAAAAACTTAATCTTTTTAAAATGATAAGTCTTGCGCCAAATACTGTTGCTTGTCAGATTGAAAATATGGGAAATAATATTGTCCAGCAAATTGTAGACAAAGCACAGTGTTTCAGTCGGTATTCTCTCGCGCTGGATGAATCAACTGGTGTTTGTAATACCTCTCAACTATTAGTATTTTTTCGTGGCGTCAACAGTGAACTTAATGTCACACAGGAATTAGTGTCACTTCACAGTATGCATGGCACTACAAAAGGAGATGATATCTTCAAAGAAATACAAAAACACTAACAGAATATAATTTGGGCTGGAACCATCTGCAGTGCGTGACAGTTGATGGAGGAAAAAACATGTCTGGTATAAAAATAGGTTTGGTTGGCCAAATCACAAAAGCATGTGAGGATGCAGGAATATCAAAGCCAATGTTTCTTCACTGTGTTATCCACCAATAAACACTTTGTGGAAAACACGTTGATATGAGCTCTGTTTTAAAACTTGTTATTTCTGTCGTTAATTTCATTCACTCTCATGCACTTAACCATCGCCAGTTTCGGTCTTTTCTCGAGGAATGTGATTCCAAGCTTATTGACCAGACATATTATACTGCAGTTCGATGGCTTAGCTGTGGAAAGGTTCTTTCGCGCTTCTTTCAGCTCAGGAATGAAATTGATATATTTATTACTGAGAAAAACCATCATGAACCACTTTTATCAGATACCGAGTGGCTTTGGAAATTAGCATTTCTTGCTGATCTTGTGAACCATATGAACAATTTGAATTTAAAGTTGCAGCGTGAAAATAACTTATTCTGTGATTTATTTACACTTATCAAGGCATTCAGAGCAAAGTTGATACTTCTGGAAAGCCAAGTGAAAAATTGTAACTTTGTTCATATGCTATACTGTGCAGAGTTGCATAAAAAGGGCGAAGCAGAATTTCTTTCCTCGTTTGCAAATTTAGTCATTTCAGATTTGAAAGAACAATTTTGGAAGCGATTTGCTAATTTGGATGCCAGCGCTCAGGAAATTAGATTGTTTCAAAATCCGTTTGACTGTGATGCTGCAGATGTCCCAAGCCAAATTCAAATGGAAATTATTGAACTTCAGGAAAATTATCATATTAAAGACAAATACAAGGAAGGAAATTTGATCGAATTTTATAAATTTCTGAACTCTGAGCAATTTCCAAATTTAAAGAAATTTGCTTGTAAATTTATCTCCATTTTTTGGACGACATATCTGTGTGAACAACCATTTTCCCAGATGAAGTACATCAAGTCGAAATACAGGGAAAATTTATCTGATGAACATTTAAAGTCGCTACTTGTGATTAGCGTTTCAAAATTTGAACCTCAATTTAATCAGATTTTAAGAATACAAAAAGATTTCCATCATTCACATTAATTGTTTAATTATAATTTGTGATGAAAGTATGAGCATTTGCTGCTACTGTCTGTTGTCATTAATATACGATAATTTATTCTCATGTACTTTGTATTTAGTTTATGAAATTCTGTGCTTTCAATAAAACTCATATACCTAGAGTTATTAATTTCTCATTTTATCCGGCCCATTGAAAGTGCTGAATTACCTAATGTGGCCCGCGTTTCGAAAAGTTTGGAGACCCCTGGTCTAGATACAAACAAACAAACTCCATAGTTTTAGTCCGCAAGCGAACTATACCGACTGAGCAACCACCGCTTGTTGGAGAAGTTAGTGCCAACTTTTGCAGATAGAGGGTGTCGCGTGGTCAGTTCAACGAATCCCCAAGCCATTTATTTCGGTTTTCTAGACCGGAGCCACTATTCCTTGAAATAGCTCCTCAGTTATCATCATGAGGCTGAATGGCCCCATTCCAGACCCACTACTTCTCAGAAGAAATCTGGTAGCGACAGGAATCGAAACCAGACCTCTGGATCTGTAGCCAGGAACTCTGACCACTAGACTGCAGAGGCAGTTAGTCTAGATACAGCACTGAGAAATAAACACAAACAGAAGTCCTAATGTGATATAGGTGTTCTCATGAAGTGACTCTGATGATTACTCTCTTTGAGTATGTGATGTGTGGTCTGGTAGATTCTTATACCCTGACAAAGGCAGCAGTTTCATCTTAAATAATGGTACCTGTCTACCAAGCTACACAGAATTGCATCCCAGAAGACAGCAATATTCATAGACTCTGAATGTCTAGGTACCATTTATCATCAACATCACTATCAGTAATGAGGTGGAAACGAGATGAGTGTCATCAATGTAAAAGGTAGTTGTCCCTGAGCTTAACTAATTAATTACTATGCCATGAAGGTGGATGGGGGAGTGGATGTACAGGTCCACGTTTTCTTGACCATGACAGTAGTTGGAAGTGAGTGGTCAGCTTCACGCCCCGGCCGTTTTACCCCTGGGGAAAGAGTCCAAGGTACCCATTGAACAGGGGGTTGGGTGGACTCCAGAGCCAGTCTGGACAAGATCAAGGCATGAAAATTCTTGACCCTTCCAGGACTTGAACTCCAACCCCTCAATTGTGAAGCACATAGCCAGTTGCTATACCAACTGCTCTATCCTAGCTCTGTGTCATCAATGTAGGATCTTGAAATTTTGTATGGTGATGGCACTTTGAAGTGTATGTAACTTTCAATAGTGTAATTTTGTAGGGACAGTTGAAACTAAAACATGGTGTCTACTCTGTATACAATATTGTGTTGTATTGTGATGTGATAGGTTAACCGACATGTCACGTTTGTGTGATAACTTTTTATAAACGTGCCTAATATTATGACTCATTTAAAAGTTTTACAATTTAGAAATGAATGACAGTGGTATATTAATACAGTTACTGACTTCTTTGACAGTACTCATTGTCCTGTTTTCTCTTTAAAATATTTCAGAGACTGGACCCTGCCCATCTTCAGGCAGAAAGCCTATCCAGTTGGGCCCAGTTAATAGAGTTAGCCCCTATCATCCAGAGATAGGGGCTAGCTCTATCGATAGGGCCCAAATGAGTAAGTTTTTATACATAAGAGCAGAGGCATAGTGTGGTCTCAAATGTCGTTTTTAAATAAGAAACAGGATAATGGTTAATGTTGAAAAAGTCAGTCAACTTCTTTAGCTCAACAAGGATAAAGTGTGTATTTTAGTATATGTTATCACAAAGAACTTACGACGTGTACAGATCACCCACTATTAGAGTGGGGTACTCTACAAGGTTACAGTGCACTGAGCAGTCAGCTTGGGTGGGGGACACAAATGCATACAGAATTTTGGTTGGGATACCTGTTCAAAAACAGAGCAACAAGAAAGATAGAAGGGCCTTATGGAGATGGGTTGAAAGTGACTCAAGGTAAAATGAGATTGCAGACTTTGGTGAGCAGGTTCTGCTTCCAAACAGTCAGTTGCTTTGTTAGAAAGACACTGATTTGTTACACTGACAGTCTCGTAGAATGCGGTTGTCGAATTTTTAAGGGCGGAAAAATTCAGGGAACAAGTCCTCCGGGAGGGACTTTAAGCCGTGGATCCCATATCATAGCTTTACGGCACGTAAAAGAACCTCATATCTCCAAAGGAGGTCACTGAGCCAAATTAACAGACGTTTCCCGCCCAACAGCAGTCTCTAATACCTCTGGTAGATGGGGGAAGCATTATAGATACCTCTCAGCTAGTAGAGCCGGTCTCGCTGGCTGGGCAGGACTGATGGTAAGCACCAGTACCGGTAGGATATAGAGACTGGTAGAAATCATAGAGGGAAGCATAATGGACCAATATAGGTCTCAGTGCATGGGGAAACCCACCCTCTCCAATAACTAACTACACTGACAGTGATGTTTGTTGCATGAGACATTTCTGTTAATGTCTTATTCATCAGTTGGTAGTGGAATTTGAACCCTTCAGTCTAATGTAACAGTGGCTGAAGAGTGTGAATATCTCTGTGTTCTGTAGAATGAGAAGACAAGAGGAGACATATATTCCCTTTGCTTGTCCAAGGACATGGATAAGCTGAGAAAACTGTTACTGTCTCGACTAAAGTTTGGAACAGCAGGGTTGCGTGGTCAGATGGGACCTGGCTACTCCCAAATGAATGACCTTGTCATCATTCAGACAGCACAGGGATTGGTGGTTTACCTTGAAGAAACTCTCAGGGATGTGACCCACAGTAACGGTGTTGTAATTGGCTATGATGGCAGACACAACAGTAGGAGGTGCGTTTAAAGAAACTTTTCATTACTAGGTATATGCTTGAATATTATTTGCATGAAAGGATCGATTTCTCAGACATTTCAGGAAGATAATCAAGGAGCTCAGTTTTATTAGCAGATTTAAGCCGCTGAGCTAGGTTTTCAGAGTTTTGTTGTTGGACCAAGACTTAAGGAGCACTTGTGTCACTCTCATTTATATACTGCTGTGATGAAAGTTCAGTGGGGAGCAGGAACATCAAATTCAGAACGGAGAAAGGCTAAGCCTCTCTGTCTACTTACAGCAACAATTAAATGAGAGCAATATAATGCCTGCCTAAGTTGCAACTGCACAGCCACAAGAATCTCAGACCTCTCAGTGAGATCATTCGTGATAGAGATCAAGTCTTGTAGTTTTCTCTTCGCATACATTCGTTATTGAATCCCTGTACTTGGTTAATATTCTGTACATTGCACAGTGGCTGAACAGGTTGTTGTCATAGAGGACTCAGCTGGTAAACTCAATGGATATTTCTTTATTCATAACGAAAGATGAATAAATAAGTAAACCAAAGAGTGAGTTCTTGCTCAAAGTTTCAGCTTATATAAACTCTTGATAGATGTGCTACCATCTTATGAGGGTAGTTAACCCTCTCATAGTTATTGATACATTCATTTTCCACCATGTTTTCCTCAGCGTAACTTGTGTCTTCATGTTCATCTACTCTGAAAGTGGAGGCAGCAGGTTCTTCTGAAGCATCAGTAACCATTTACCAGACTACACTGCATCATACCCCAGAAATCTGTCATCTTTATATTCACTGCTGCGAGAACCTCAAATCTCAGAAATGGAGAACATGCATATATAGTTAATTTTATTACCGATATTTAGCACAGATACTCTCAAATTGCGTTTTGTATGCAAATCCATAAAGTGGCTGAACACAGCCACAAAGTTAAAATTCAGGGGAACCTGCAGCCTGCGTGTAGTATGGTTGAAAACTGAGAATGAACTCATAATGCTAATTGAAGCAATATTACCCCTGTGTGGTGTTGTGTAGCTGTAGTCAGCGAGCACTCACTTCAAGAAACGTATGACTATCCTCTGCTGTCTTGATGAAAATGAGCAGTTATCATGTTGAGATGTTACTCATTTGATCAAAGAGCTGTTTTCAATAGCATGTAATTTCCAAGAACAGCTGTAAATTACATGCCCCTGACAACACTTGTCAGATGGGATGAGTGAAATGTCACATGACAGTTAAATATTTGTCAAAATATACAGTGAACAGCCATATTGATTGGAGTGAGCATTCATGGGTGCACTTTGCTTATAACTTGCAGGTGGGCTGAGTTGACTGCGGCTATTCTATTGAACCATAACATTCCTGTGTACTTGTTCTCGAAACTGTGCCCAACACCATTTGTACCGTTCACTGTCCTGCATTACAAGTGTGCAGCTGGTGTCATGGTGACGGCATCACACAATCCAAAGGAAGATAATGGCTACAAAGTTTACTGGCAGAACGGTGCTCAGGTCAGTGGCCAACACTGGACACGCAGTAAACTGAGAGGCAGCAGTACCTATTTCTGTCAATACCAGACACTGTTAAAGTGATCAAATGAACAAAAATAATTTGATGGGCATGACATGTAGCACATCACAGTTGTATACAAAATTTGGGTCAGAAAACTGAAAGGCAAAGACCTTATGTAAGAACAAGCTATAGATGGGAGGATAATATTAAAATGTATTGCAGTAAAGTATGGTGAGAGGGTTTTGACCAGGTTCATCTGCAATAGATGCTTCTTGGGTGATCAGCCATGTCACTATAGAGTTAATATACAGCTCCATGTTGACATGGCTGATAACCTGACAATATTTCATTGCATGCTATGGATCACGACCCAAAATTGGGTCATGGGAAACATTCAGATGGGCCACAAATATATCAAAATCATTTTATTTTTCACTTTAGCAGACAAACCATAATAAAGCTGATAACAATTTGTTAGGTGGTCTTCACAGCTGTGATCAGACTGCATTGTTCATTATCATTGCATTTACTGTCTTGGTCAATAATTCTTTATATTTGTCCCCACACAAGGCACAATCCAGTAATAACTGTTATAGCCCTTGTACTATTTTTAGAACTACTGGTTCAGACACTATTCTCCAAGCTGGAAGGTCGAAGGTTCGATTCCTGATGATATCATTGGATTTTTCAATTGACCTAATCCTTCCAGCTGCACTATGACCCTGAGGTCAACTCAGCCTCTAACAGAAATGAGTATCAAGAATCCAAGAAGCCACTCTGTTGCATCTCTGTGCAACATAAATTCCAAATGTCCTGACTTGGGATCAAACCCATGCCACTGTGGAGGGAAGGCAGTGATGATCTGCCTCAGTTATGGCACAGCCATCTGTGATATGGGAAGGTGTATGGAACACATACACAGGAATCCTTGCTTGGACATTTTCACACTGTGCGGTTCATCAAACACTCTTGTAAGCATGATTATACCAGAAAGTTGATTCTGTACAAAACAGTGCTGAACTTGTGAGACAGTCCAGTTTTGTAGATAATAACCAGCTCTCTAGTTACAGTAGTGAACATGCTGTTATAATCTAGCAATCAGACCTCATTCATGAGACACATTTAAACATAACTATGAAGATGGCAGCTGCTGTGTACACTGAAACTGCTTTAATATATGTTGCAAATAAACACTGAAAGTTGAAATTACACATTAAAAGTTAAACTGCAACACAGTTCATGCACTTAAAACAGTTTAACATTATTCTTAGAGAGAATGGTTCCAGCAGATCAAGTCTCATTGCAGAGACCAGCTATTCTGACTAAATTGCTTTGTGGTTTTCCTCAGTCCATCAAATACAATACAATACAATACCAGAAGCCACAACTGCTTCCTTCAACATAATTTCCAATTTATTATTCTCTAATAATGCCACTATTTAGTACCGTACAGTCTGAGCCACTGACAGGATCATTCAATATAATATAAATGCATGAAGTTACGTGTAAAACGGTACTGGAACGCAGGAAATGCACATCTTATATAACACTCTACTCTGTGATGTTCAAGTTGGTGTTTGGTATGTCCTGAGCATGGGAAATGTTAGTGGCCATGGGTTCTGTGCAGATACAATTAATTCTGAGAGGTATTCAAGTGGGTCAGTAAGCTTCACTCTGTCAAGTTGCTGCAGTGGTACTGTCACTGAAGCTGACACTGGGAAAGGTGGAAACTGACATAGTGGTCACACATAACATAAGGGATGTACCTCCCAGAATACAGAAACTTCAGTTTTTAGATTGTTAGATTATGAATTTGTTGGTATGCATTGCCTTTAATGCACTATTTCAGCATACTACAAGAGAACATATTTCCAATTATTTCTATTCAGATAATTCCACCACATGACAAAGGCATCCAGGAAACAATTTTGAAGAACTTGCATCCATGGGACAAGTCATGGGACACATCCATTCTGAGCACCAGTGAGCGTCTAATAGATCCTCTTCATGAGGCTATGGACTGCTACATGAGAGCCCTCGCACGGGATATGCTTGAACCAGAGCTGAATTTGAGCAGCAAAATTGAGATTACATATTCTGCAATGCATGGTGTAGGTTACCCATACATGGTACAGGCATTCAAGGCTGCAAATTTTAAGGTACGGTAGTACTTCAATACTACAAGTGGCATTCTGCTTGCCCTTGCAGTGACATTTGCATGGCAGAAAGCCCCCTCCCTCCCCCCCATTATAGTGTTATAGTCTCTTGACAAAGTTAATTCATTCTTTGGTCAAATTTAAAGACCACAGAAGAAGTGCCAACTGTTGATGACAAGACAAAAACCACAATCTAAGTGCATATTTAAGAAATGTCTCAGAGATGTGGTGTTGCTGTCTGGGTACACCAGCTGTCCACATCTCAGAAATAATGTTAATTGACAGTTAGCTGAATCACTGTCCATGGTATTTCCTATTGCATTTTGCATTGCTGTTTATACAAGTTACTTCTCAAGATGTTATGTGAGTAAACTCTATATAACTGACTGGAAAGCAAGATGTGTGTCCTGTTATTTCAGTGAACATTTATAAATCATCTTATATTCAGAAATGAGCAAAATGTGGAAAGAAAATCGAAGGTGATTCAGTGATACCTGGCAAGTGTGGCATACTTCTGAACTCATAGCCATTATGTTTCCATTACTGTTATCACCATGCATTGATTCTTTAGCTGATAAAATATTCTCAGGCTGTCAGCTGTGTCACTTAGTTAAAATCACCTTCATTTCAGGGACTATCCATGTCCCCAAGATCAGACTGATGATGGAGACAGAGATGGTCCCCGAAAGATCGGCGATCTTTAACCAACTGACATGGCTGATAGCCCAAGAAGACTCTATCAAATACAGCTGGTGCTAAAACTTGAGATCTTATATGGATTCCTTGCTTTGGGAGCCATTAGGAATGAGTTGCTCAAACAAAGAGCAGAACACTGGCTTTGGAAATTTTCATTTCAATACTCTGTGCACATCACTGTTCTGAGGTACATTAGATTGCCAAATGTTTCTTAGTTTGGAATACACAGTGATCTTTCTGTGTTTGTTCTTGAGAAATGATTTAAGGTACATTTTATAGTACTAGTGCTAATATCAAATATTATACATAACTTATGTTACATATTTTTCTGATTATTTATGATCATTGTACCTAATTAAAAATATACAAATATTATACTTGTAAGTACAAGACACTAGAATGATCTTTGTTGACTTAGGGCAGCAACACTTCAACTGCACACAGATGGCATGGCAACAGGCTGCACTCATTTGGATCACCAAACTTTACATGTAATGAAAGAATACAGAGATAATGAAGCCAGTCACAGATTTAATAGAACATTAAGACCTAACCAGAAATTCCATGTTATTTAAATGCCGAACTCAAGAATCACATTTGAAATGCCTCATTACTAACTGAAAATACAAAGATCTTTGGGGAGATCCTGTGAATGTAGGTATGAGATTGTAACAGGCCACTAGGATGAAGACATGTGATGCCACTGATGACTTATGAAACAGAGGTTTACTAAGTCAGTTGGAGACCACATAAAAGTAAGAGTGATTTTCACTGTGCAGATTTCTTTATTCCTGTGAGCTACTTATGATGCCAGTTCTAAATTAATGCTTGTTGTTGGGTATGCAGCAGAAACTGTAATGTTAAGTTAAGCATTTCGGAAGTCAGTGAATATTTATGGAAAACAGAACATGAACTATTCAGAACATCAGTGTTGAAAACCGTTTTGTCAAGGTGAGGTACAAATTGTGTTCACTGTGAAGAGATGAACAGATTGTGTAGGAGAATTCTACCAAAGAAATACATCTAAGTGAATACAGCAATGACATTATTTTTTCTAAAGTTGTCTCTCTAAAAATAGGGATCTTGAATTTCCAAGGTCATGAATGGATGAATGAATGAATGAATGAATGTTTTAATCAGTAAATAATAGCTAATCTAGAATTATCATTAAAGGGATTTATTGATCATATTACAATAGAAAGCTCAGCATGAGATAGCTGACTGAATTAGTTTCCTAACGTTCTTCTTCATTATTGAAGTAGATAGCACTGTGACACTACCAGTTGACTAAAACACTTCATATATATTTTTATTGTGTTTGATTATGCAGCCTTTAAATCACATGCTCTATTCCAAAGTCAAGAGATGGATTGCAAGCAGTGTTCCTTCCTTAGGACTTCAATAGTAAGGCAAATTCTTATTGTGTAACATCAGATCACATACATTACTTTTAAATCCCTTGTGATTACTGGGTATCTGGACTTTGTCAGTTGTCTAGTATTCAAAAGAACTTAACAATTCAGAAACTGAACCTGTTTCCATCCTCAGGCGAGGGGGTGGGAGGCACTGTCTTGGGTCCATTAGAAAGAGCTAATCTCAATTACTGTAGAACCTAACCCAACAGAGTGTGTCTCCCATCCTCTCGCCTGGGGATGGAAACAGATCCAGTGTCTGAAATGTTGCATTCTTTTGAAGAACAGAAGATGGACGAAGTCCAAAAACTTAGTAGTGTTATCATCTTCAGAACTCCTTGTGGATGAGCCCTCCTCAAGAAGCCACCAGCTGTGCAACTACTCACAAATTTCCCAAAATTTTATGGAACCCGAAGGTTCATTACCATGTTCACAAGAGCACTCCACTGGTCCCTATCTTGTGCCACATCAATCCAGTCCATATCACCCCATCCCATATCTGTAAGATCCATTTTAATATTTTCCACCCACCTACATCTTTGTCTTCCTAGTCGTCTCTGTTCTTCTGGCTTTCCCACCAATATCCTATATGTGTCCCTCTTCTCCCCATTCCTGCTAGATGCCCTGCCCATCTAATCATTCTAATTATGATGGCAAAGAGTACAAGGTATGAAGCTCCTTATTATGCAGTTTCTACAGCCTCCTGTCATTTCATCTCCTTTGGTCCAAATACTCTCCTCAGAACCCTGTTCTCAAACAGCTTCAGTTTATGTTCCTCCCTTGATATCAGAGACCAAGTTTCACACTCATACAGAATCACAGGCAAAATTATAGTCCTGTATATTCTAATATTTACGTTTTGTTAGCAGACGAGAAAACAAAACGTTCTGGACAGAACGGTAGCAAGCATTACCTGAATTCAATCTCCTTTTAATTCCCTTCTGAATCAAATTTTGATTTATTACTGATGTTCCCAAATATTTCAGCTGTGCCACATTTTCAAAGGATCTGTTAGCTATCTACATATCATGATTCTGCCCTGCATTCCGGTGAAAAGACAGACATATACTCAGTTTTCTCTGCATTTACTTTTAGACCAAATTCTTTACTAGTGTCAAAGATTCTATGTTTTTCTTTACGGAATATATGTTATCTCCCAGTAGATTCACATCATCAGCACAGACCAGCAGCTGATGTGTCCCATTTGATTTCAGTCCCACATGGTTTTCCTGGAACTTCCTAGTGGCATATTTTAAAACACAGTTGAAAAGCAGTGGCACTAAAGCATCTTGTTTTAGACCATTTTAGATTGGAAACTTATCAAATGTTTACCTATACGGACTTTATTATAGGTTTCATTTAAACATATTTTAATCAGTCTTAACTAGTTTCATGGATTCCCCAAACTCTGAGGGCATATTGTATAATACTTCCCTCCAAACCCCTTAGAATCTACTTCTTCTAAATGTTTGATTATAACTTTGGTAGAGCTGGAAAATAATATTAATCACAGAAAAAACTTTCAGCCATTTGTGGCCGTAGAAGAACAGAAAGAACCAGATGCAGATTTTCCAACTGTAAGATTTCCAAATCCTGAAGAAAAGAGTGCTCTTGATCTGTCCATAGAGACAGCCAATATGAACAACTCAACGGTCATCTTAGCAAATGACCCTGATGCCGACCGGCTTGCAGTGGCTGAGAAGCAGTCAGAGGGGTGAGTTGTAGAGATAGTGTCTGTAATGTTCTTTTGCTGACTGACCTTGTGAGTCAACAGAAACACGTACAGACATGTACAAATCTTCATTTGAAGGCTAATGTCAATACAAATCTTCATTTGAAGGCTAATGTCAATTGCACATTGTGAAAATTAACCTTCAAACACTAGAATTTTGAAATGATGGTAAGCTTGAGCTGGCCAGAGTTTATTTAAATGCCCACTGCTAGTGTGCATTTAAATGCCCGTTGCTACTCTGGGTTTAAATGTCCGTTCCTGTTAGGGCGCTTAAACAATTTTAAGCATTGTGTTTAAAAATGCTGTATCTAACACAATTTTTATGATAAATGGATGGAATTAACTTTGATTGTATCAGCAAAGAACATAGTGTTGCATATTATAACGGAAGATTTGAAAATTTTTATACAAAGAGTTATACGCTATTTTGAATATTTTCTTTTATTTTGATGCGTACTGAAAAAATGGTTTCCCAGTTCTTCACAGAGTTGTACTGCATTATAAATTCATTTCTGTTTGTAACCCTTGACACATTTTAGTAGTCCCTGGTGTCATAAAACAGATGGAAGCAATAAAATCATTTTGTTCTCTGCTGGAAAACCTTACAACTTTGTTACACCCTTCAGATTTTCAAATCTTTTGACTAAAGGACAAGAATGAAAGCATGGCTATTCAAGAAACAGAGCTAGAGGGGTCTCTTCTTCAGTGCTAAGACCTTTCGTTATAGCTGCAAGAGATTATTACCCTTCCTATGGGCCTGAACAGACAGTTGCATTGTGGCTGAGATACAGAGTGTGATCTGTTTTCTGTGCATTCATAGTGAAATCAAGTACTGTAGTTTCATTTCAACCTCTATATACATCAAGCAGATAACAACAAAAAGGCTATGCACATCGAATTTTACTATATATTTTTAATACATTAATCTGCAGAATCTGCAATAAAAGTACTGGCTCGTGGATAAGTTTGGGCATAACTCATACGTATACTCCTTTTTGCTGTTGTTCACTTCGGTATCATTTTAATTCCTCTATTAGGGTTTTACTCAAGTCTGTCTTGTAATTACTACATTTAAAAATAAATATTTAGGACTGTGCATGCACTTCTACTAGCGGTGTGTGCACGCACTTCCACTAGTGGCGTTTAAATGCCCGACTGGCCAAAATGGGGTACTTTGTCCACGATGACCATAATCATCACTGGCCCAATTGGGGCACTTCAGAGGTTAAAGGTTAAAGCCTTTGCAACTGGACTTACAAAATGCACTATAAAATTAACCTTACAATCAAAGAAGGCAAGCCTGGTTGTGATTCATTGTCATCTTAGCTGGCCATGTGGATATTTAATTGCTACCCTTGATATTCTGGTTACAGTTAATCCAGATCAAAATATGAAAAATGCTGTTGAAAGACATATGGCGTTTAGGAAGGCAGATGCGTCACTTGTCTGTTCAGACAAAACTTGAGACAGTTTCTTCAAACCAGCATCATTACATTCAAATAGTACAACTTCTGAGTCTTCTATAAATGAATAAATATATTGTCTTTTTATAGTTTTAAATAAAGGCTCTACAGTGATATTTTTTTATTTATTTCATTAGCACTACTTATATCATTAAATGTTTTCCTTTTATTTGTGTTGTAAGTTTTTGTCTTCTAGGTCTACCTTTTGTTTCACTAATCTGGATTATTGCTTAATCCACATGACCTCTCCCCAAGTTACTCTGGATTAGCGATTGATCTGAAAGATGTATGTTTGTGGATGAGATACTATACTGACACGTTTCCAAGCATTTAGCAGGAGTGTAATATTTCTGGTCAGTGAAACCTTGATTCTACGCTTTTGAAGGGGATGTACAGTCAAGGAAAGTGTGAAATTAGAAATGTAAAGAAATGTGAGGGTTGCTTTCTACCATAAATTTGCTAAGCCATTTAAAATATACATTTGAAGACAACAGTGTACATGCATATACATTAACCTATGTACATGCCATGTTATTTCCTCAACCTTTCAGGTGGTCCACTGTTTCATTTTTCTTAGCTCTCAGCCTGTTTAACCCTGTCACATGAGGTTCAGAAACTGTCAATGCAAAGATATTCCTGTTATACTAGAACAAACATGAATGTGAGTTGAAGGGCTTTGGCATTTCTTTGTATTTTCTGAAATCAAATTTTGCAAACATAAATTCAATTTCCAGAACTCAAAGATTGAAATGGAAAATAGGGAAAAGCGTGAATTTAAGAAAGCACAAATTCAGTTAACTGAAAATTTTTCTTGTGTGCATTTGGCTCAAAACAGGAACAGTTTTTTTGTTAAAATATGAGATGTTGGTAACAGCAGATCAGAAATCAATCTAACTTTCCAATTGTTGCAGGGATAATGAGTGGTATGTATTTTCTGGAAATGAGCTGGGAGCTCTTCTGGGCTGGTGGTCCTGGTATAGCCATCGTAGGCGCAATCCTGATGAGAATCCCTCTCAACTTTATATGATGGCTAGTACAGTCTCCTCCAAGATTCTCAAGACCATAGCAGCTGCTGAAGGCTTCAATTTCATTGTACGTGTATTGGATTGTTTCACATAATCAAGGTCATTTTGTTCCTTTAAGTCAGTTACATTCAATATTTCCGGCACCACAGTTTTTACAGATGTAGTTTTCACTAACACAATGCAGGATGATGAATACACTCGGATATCCTATTCACCTACCATCACTATCCTCTTTATCCTTCATATTGCCTTTACTGTTAGTATGTAGACCAACCATACTTCTGTTTGCCATGTTGTTCCTTACAAGGCACCCTCAGTGTCAGTAACCTGACAGCTTGTTCAATGCCATGTTCTCACACTGAAGTGGCACACTTCCTGGCCTTGGAAACCAATTTAAGTGATCAGACAGGTAAAACTACTGGGAAAGGGCAAAGCCTCACACCTGTGCTAGGTCTTTGTGCCCACAAATGTGGCTCATAGTCAGTACACAATGAGTTAATATAGCATATATATATACATTTTAGCAGAGGAATAAATCTGACCAGTTAAGTTGTGCATAAAAGAGATGACAAGAAATTGAAATACCTGTACTGTGGACACTGAAAGAAGGCCTATGGACCGACCCGGTATGCATCTCTCTTGCCCTCCAGCATGTCTCGCCATATTACCCTGCAGCTGTGTAGCCATTCTGTTCTATCATGTGTTGGCAGTGATACTTTTCTAGAGACAGGCAGTTTCAGCATGTTGACTGACATAAGCCAGAGGAAGCTGGATGGGAATGCACCTTTGCTGTTCACAATATCCACAAAACGTCTTTCCATGGCCTCAATGCAGAACACATAAACAGAAGCAGAAAAAGTGTTCCCCTCTTTAAAAACACAGTATCACTGCATATTGATAGGGACAGGGACTGTAGCACACCTTCATGATTAGTGCATGTGAGGGGTCAGCACATGGAGCAGTCCGCAGCTGTTCGACAAGACTTCACTTGGACTGTGTGTGCAGCGTACATGTTCAATGTGCGAGAGGGTTTCAGTGCAGTGAGTTCCATTGAGGGTTGTCATGCATGCATGGTGTCAGCATGTGTATGTCCAAGGAGGTAGTGCCAGTATCTTGGCAAGCTGAGGATAATGTTTTTGTCTTTCTTTGTGGAGATGTTGTGCAATCATATGTCTGAGCAGAAATGGGAACACTGACTTCAATACCTACACTATTTTGTTCTTTTCCTATTTTATATGAGAATAGACAAATTGTCTCCAATCTTTTCTTTCTTCCTACAGTCTTTCCTTCTCAACTCCTTGCCAGCTCTTTCCTCTCTTGCTGTATTCCAGAACTTCTCTTATCCCATAGATGCCCTTCTCAGTATCCTTGCTGTCCTATCCATATGGGTGAAGGTTGAGCAATTTGCTACTATTGAATAAAAGTGATCAGTGCTTTCTGCAGTAATTCTGTCAACACATCAAAGGATGGGGAAGTCTTTATGACTTTGGAAACATTGATACGTGATAAGCAGCACACCCACTATGGACAAGATGCAGTGTCCAAAGGCTGCAGTCCTGCCCTGTAGTGCAGATATCTGTTCAATACTGTCACTGAGCACTGTCCTTTGTGAGAATGTTGCCAAAAAACTAATGCTGTCTCCTGTTAATCCTTTGAAGCATAACTTCATATAAACAATATTTAAAAATTCAGTTACTTCATCACAGAGGCCAACCAATTAATGCTGTTTAGGGAAGTAATCACCGTTCATTCTGAAAATCATATAAAACTCACAAATACATAATGCAGGTAGAATTTCTGAGTATTAAATAGGGCGAGTACAATGACTGCCATTCTTTGAAAGACTAAAATGTTTTTAGCTGTTTCACTTATACATGCTCTTGTGTGTCCAGGAGACCCTGACAGGCTTCAAATGGATGGGCAATATGGCTGCAGAGCTGCAGGGGCAAGGCAAGACAGTTCTGTTCGCATTCGAAGAAGCAATAGGTTTCATGTGTGGAACTGAGGTCCTAGACAAAGATGGGGTTTCTGCCGCCATTCGAGTAGCAGAAATGGCAGCATTTCTCAGCAACAAAGGAATGACATTAAAGGGCAAACTACATGAATTATTCTCAATGTGAGTACAGAAAAACTGAACTGAGAATCTGCAAAATAGGGAAGATCTCCTGGTGTCATGGGTTTCTGCATTAGATACATTTCACTATAATGAAAGGAATTTGATATGGGCATAAATATATAAAAGTAGTTGTTTTATGTCTAAACAAGAAACATGGTAGAAGTTCCTCATACTATCACTCCAAAAATACCTGCAATAAAATTTTATTTGCCTCTTATTACAAGATGTGCCTCCATGCAGTCTTGTAGAAAGATACAGTTTCAGGGAACCTGTTATCTCCATTTTCTGCTGTGAAGATGGAGGCAGCAGGTTTCTTTGAAGTGCTGGTACCTTTCTGTGAGACTCCATGTAGTGACATCCCAGAAGACAGTGATCTTCATGTTCACCGCCATGAGAAACTCAAATTCTGTTAGCTTTAAGAAAACATTTTCTCTTTCTTAGGTATGGGTACCACATCAGTGATAATTCATATTTCTTGTGCTATGAGCAGCCTGTCATTGAGCGTTTGTTTGGAAGATTACGTACATTTTCAGGTTCACCAAACACGGTATGTATGCACCAAAATATTTTGGCATGGTGACAATGATGATAACTGACAAGCCTTTGTAACATAACATGAAGTGTGTACACTGACATGTTTCAAGTATAGCTGCTGTTAGTGTGTTTGTTGAATTGTTCTCCAGAAATGAAAAATGTACTGTGAAAATAGCAAGTTTTGTTAATACAGGGTGGGGCACAGAAATTTCCTTTTTTTGAAGGTGAATAAAAGAAAAATTATTGCTGATAGACAAAATTTATGTTTAGCTAATGAAGAACATACTTTAAAGTTTTAAATCATGTAGTTTTAAACAAAATATCTTGAAGGTGGTGGCCCCGTTCTCTATGCACTGATGCAACCGTTTTCTGAAGTTCGCCTCTGCACATTCCTGCATGTGCATCACAATTTGGGCTACTTCCTGCCGAATAACATTCTTCAGCTGAAGTAGGTTTGTGGGGTAATGTTTAAAAACCTCTGCCTTGAGGTGTCCCCATAAAAAAAATCACAGGGCGTTAGATCAGGTGAGTGCGGTGCCCACGGGATGTCACCTCAAAGCGAGATGAGCTGTCCGGGGAACTTTGCCCTCAAAACTGTCATCGAAGCTTGGGCTGTGTGCGCTGTGGCACCATCCTGTTGGAACCAGACATTTCCTAGATGCATTTCTTCAAGAGCTGGTTTGAAAAAGTTTTTAGTCATGTCCACATACCGCTGTGAATTGACAGTACTGCATGATTGTCTTCTTAAAAAAAATAAGGGCCAATAACTCCAACTCTCAACAACACACAGCATACTGTCACCTTAGCACTGTGAAGTGGCCTCTCATGGAGCTCTCTCGGATTGTTACTACTCCAATAGCGCATATTCTGCTTGTTGACATATCCGGATAGGTGAAAATGTGCCTCATCACTAAAGAAAACAAGTGCGTCAGGGGGTAAAGTTTCCAGTAACAATTCTTGCACAATAAGCATCTTACAGGGATAGAAATGAAGATGTTCGTGAAGAATTCGGTGCATTGAACGATTGGATATGCCTAGGGTGACTGCATGTTTGCGAGCGGAGCGTCTTGGAGATTTCAAAATCGACTGTCAAACTGCCTCCACATTTTCTGGCGTCATAACGGTCCGTTGTCGTCCTGATGATTTTTTCACCACACTCCCGGTTGTCCTAAAGTTCTTTACCCACAAAACAATCGCTTTCCAGTCAGGAACCGGACCTCTGGGCTTAATTCCGAAGTGAATATGGAATGCATGCTGCACCGACACATAGGAATGGTTGTTCGAAAAATAGGCTTCGACAGAAAATGCACGCTGCTCACTTGTCCACCTCATGTTTCCTACTGAGGGGTATTAGACAGAAACTTCCACGACTGCTGCGTTCGCCGAGCCTATCCCGACTTTTCTGCAACCTCCCCTCCCTTCACAATGCATCTTCACAAAAAGGAAGCTTCTGCACCCCACCCTGTATTTATTCACTTGTTGTTCTAACATAATTAAATATTAATATTTTGATATGACTTCTTAGGATTATTGTTCAGTTTTGTATCATACAACAGAAGTACCTGGTCACTTTCCTTCTTCATATCGCAATAAACAGTAGCTAAAACTTTAGAGAGAGAATAACAGTGATAAATTGAGGACTACTGAGTTTTTGGACTTGTTCGTCATCCAGTATTGTAAAGAACAGAACATTTTGGAAGGAGGAGCAGTCTCCATCCTGAGATGAGGGGGATTGAAGACATCTGCTTTGTCAGGTCCTCAATCACTGGACAACCTATGTCAGTATAACTACAGCTGCATATACACCTGAGGTCAGGGTTTTATAATAGGAGATAATAGGAAAATGTATAATAAGAATTGTGATAATGCATGTACAGTGAGCCGTGTCCCTTCACCCTGTGGGTCGAGAACCCAGTTCTCCTACCCACTTAGACCCGTGAACTCCTGTTCAATATGGGTAAGGGACAGGCTCATAAGAACGACTTGCTTGCACGTGATGTACTATGCCTCCCCAAGGTCGAGTAGGGGATCTCGGGAGAGGAAAACCGCTGACGGCACTATGGGTCAAGCTGGACGGATCTGCTAGTCCGAACTGGTAGGGAATACACAACCCAAGTATACACAAATACGACTGGCGTTTCCAAACATATAAATAAATGTATATATTGATAACATGAGTATACAAGTGTACTCTGCCTGATGGGCAGGGACTGGTCAGAACATAATAGACAGTTGATGCAGAACTACTCTGTGCCTAGCCGCACAGACTCAAATATAGGCACGCCTCATGGCATCGTTCGACTTCTCTAGAAGAAAACCTGTACTTCGGCAAGCCTTAAGGGCACACAAGCCTGTACTTCGGCAAGCCTTAAGGGCACAAGGAAATATACACAGGTTACTTGCACGCCTGAGGGGCGATCGGCTATTCAAGCCAACTCAACTTCAAGCAAAGTAATTAACTTACGCCACATGGCGTCGTGATGAAAAGGAAACCATCTACAACAGTAAGTCGCTTACTGGTGTTTCCGAAATTACAAACACAAGATTAACCTCACGACTTGATGCAACCTCGATCACGTCGTGAGGGCACTCTTCCCCCTTCAGACACTGCATAGGCCGAAACAGAATTTCAGAAGATCCATTCAACATAAACGAAACTGAATTTAGAAGCAGCGATGTTACCTTGCTGAAGTTACGGGAGAGAGAGGACAACGCATTCATTCTGCATAAGCAAGAAACCTCGCATTTCGTCCAGGAGGGTGGGGGACAAGGTCAGCTGACCTGACGTCAGCTAAGACTTTAAGTGGAAAGAAGGAGGAACGGCTCGCATCCTGGCATTTCAGGGGGGGGACTCCAAGGAACTTCACGGAGAAGAACCGTTGCACGGTTCAACAGTCATGAAACTAAGATGGAAAAGGAAGTGCATGTGGGGTTTTATGTCTTTGTTGTTCGTCATTACTCCGATGACAACCCACTTCTTCGGAACAGTTTGTTGGTCCTGAAAAGGACCGTGGTTGCTGAGATGTTTGACTGGTGAGGTAGCGCGGCGTGCGCCGTAGGGAGAGAGGTTAGTTGCGGTGGTTTGACTGGCCATAGCGCGGCCGTTGCTGGAGGTTGCTTGATCGCTGTGTGGCAGGTGAGTTGAAGTTGCGTGGTCGCGCAGCGCAGTCGGAGAAGTGATGAGGCAGTGGCTACGCCAGATGCCCAGTGGGTCGGACAGGGACACGACCACCGGCGAGTCCAGGTGAGGTGCCCCAGTGCGTCAGGTGTGAGAGCCGGAGGGCCGAGGCAGTCGGCATCGGCAGCTTGCCGATGCCTCAGAAGACCGAGCGCTGGCGACGAAGCCTGCTGGCTGATGTTGCTTGGTGTGGCTTGATCGTAGACTGATGATCGACTGATGACTGATCATGCCGGTTTGCGGCTGCTCCTTTTTATATACTGCTCGGTGGGCGGAGCGAAACTTGAAATTGAGGAGGAAGAATTTGCAGGGCGCTGATTGGCCAGCGTGTGTGATGATATAGATGCGGGGCTAGCAGCAAGCACAGTATAAATGCGAATGTTTGGAGCAATTTGATTGGTTAGCGCGCGTGATGGTGAAAACTGATGTGAAGAGTGCGTTGCAGAAAATGCGTGATAATGTGGGATGTTCCCACATGCATATATGCAACAAACAAAATCCAAAAACACAAGTGCTTGAAATAATTTGAAGATTTCTGTGCTCACTACATACAGCTGTTGAAATCCATTACTCTTCAAAGTCTAGATAGCTTCATCAGATTTGATGTTGCTAGTCTTTTGATTAATATTACAATAATTTTGTGACATGATGACTGAAACATCACTTGCTGCTGTGCGTCATGGCAGTGGATATGCACGCAACAATAGGGACACTGTTGGAAGCTGTGTCTTCTGTGTGGACTGTCCAGAGGTTATTGCAAGGGTCATCAGGGAAAGTTAGCAAGTGATAGCCAGTGATGAGTGAGAGTGAGAGCCAGCAGAGTCATTCCTCAGTAGAAAAGGAGTGACTAGTAGTAGGCAGACCCTCCTCTCACTGAAGCGGAGGCCCCACTTCAGAAGACATAAAGGGCTTCAAAATAACAAAAATATGGTCATCGGTCCTGACAGGACCCATGCCAGGACTATGCTGGGAAGTCCAGGAGCAATTTAACTGACTGACTAAGAGTCAGTTGCAGTTGAGTGGACAGTCATTAGTTGTGAGTCAGTCACCATCTGGTAAGATAATGAGCATGGAAGCAGAAGAATATATATTATTAGGAGTCATTACCAAGCAGCAACTAGTGAAGATGTAGAAATCTTTATGTATGCTGTAGTTACATTGATCTTTACAGTGTGTAAATTAGTGAGGGCATTATAATGATTTGTAGTTATGAGATATAAGTGTTCAGTAAATACAACTATCAGTCCAAAGCCCATGTCTAGTCACAAACATGTGACAGTGTCTCTGGGTGTCCTCTTTTACTTGTGGAAAGAAACAGGAAACAGAAGTTACATTTTACACTTACATTAGATATTCTTTATCTCTTGCATTACTTGTGTATATTTTGTGATCTTTCCCAAAATTCATCTTCACAGTTTGTTTAATGATATGACCGTGTCAGTCAAATACATTGTATTTTCCTTATCATTCCAGTTTGTGATCAATTTTTCTACTAATTATGACTGGAGCACTCCAGAAAATTTTATATATATTTTCTTCTACTGTTGTTGATTATGTATTATATACATAACATCATCATCATCATCATCATGATCATAGTTCTGATATATTTGCAGTATCCCCAATTGCTGCTGGGTGGAAAATACAAAGTGACATCTGTACGTGATCTAACAAGTGGCTATGATTCTTCACAGCCTGACAGAAAGGCAGTTCTGCCTGTTTCTCGATCCAGTCAGATGATCACTTTCACATTTGACAATGGATTAGTGGCAACTCTGCGTACTAGTGGTACAGAACCGAAAATAAAGTACTACACTGAACTTTGTGCACCACTTACAGAAAAGTAAGTCAGATTCTGATAACTTATCTAACTTGAGCTTCATGAAGAGGAACAGGTCCAGGAACTGCAGGCTGAGGTTGTCACAGCAGTGAATATTAGGATTGTGTGAACTGTTGTCTTCCTAAACATGAGCACTTATCTACCAAATGACATATTGTCACATCCAAGAAGACTATAACATTTCTTTTCTGTTATAATTGTGGGATGTGCAGGACCTTACAAAACTACAAGTAATTCTAGACATTAGGTTGGCACAGCTGCAGTATGGAGTTCATGGCGTTGTTGCATGCTCACTTCAGTGTTCCTATTCTGTTTAAAATCTTGTATTTTATTTTATTTTTCCTCATCAGACATTGTACATTTCTGAATTCCTCATCTTCCTCATTTTTTTTCCCCTTGGCACTACAGCCCCAGTGGGCCTAGGCCTACCTCCATGAACTCTGTTCACTTCGGTTTTTCTAGATCTTACACATTGGGTAGGACTCCTTGGGAGAGTGATCAGCTCGTTGCAAGGCCTCTACCTGTAGACAAACACAGAAAAATGCACACAAACCATGCCCTGAGTGGGATTTGAACCCACGATCCCAGCTTCCAAGCAAGCGAAGACAGTGCATGCCTTAGGCCGCTCGGCTACCATGACCGGCCATCTTCCTCATTAGCACCACAGAAATATTGTGGCCTGGCCTCTAGATGGTGTTTTACTCCACTTGCAATAACATTTCAAAGATGTCTACAAATATGTAAAGTATTGGCATACTTAAAAGAAACTGATAATGGAAATTCTTATTATCCTCAAGCTCTGAAATTTGTTACTGTGTCTAGGTGGAATAACATTTAATTTATTAGCATCCCATGATACTGCTGTATAGTAACACGAGACTTGGTCAGAAAGTATTCAGATTTAATTTTCAGCCATTGGTTTGTCTTCTGCCACTTCACACCATATTGTTCAGTTGAACTGTATGTTCATTGAATACACTGACTGGAGGGCATCTCCTCCATCCACACCCTGAGGACGCACCATGCCGTGGTGACAAGGGACCCACCTAACATGGCAAAATGTACAATGTTCCCACATTGTAACATTCATAAATTTACTTGGACATCTCCTGATGGGAAGATACACAATCAAATAGACCATGTTTTGATACACAGGAGACAGCACTCAAGTATACTTCATGTCCGATCATTCAGGGCAGCAGATTGTGATACTGACCACTACCTGGTGGTGGCAAAGGATAGGGAAAGGCCACCAGTGAGCAAACAAATAACACACAGAGTTCATATGGAGAGGTTCAGTCTCAAGAAATTAAATGACGTAGAGGGTAAAGAGCAGTATTGTGTTGAAATTTCAAATAGGTTTGTGGCTTTGGAAAACTTGGAAACTAAGGTGGATGTTAATAAGGCTGGGGAAACTATCAGAGAGAATATAAAAATGTCTGCCAAAGAGAGTCTAGGTTATTATGAACCAAAGAAGCATAAGCCATGGTTCGATGAAGGATGCTCAAAATTATTAGATCAAAGAAAGCAGGTCAAACTGCAATGGTTACAGGATCCAAGCAAGTTAAATGGGGATAATCTGAACAATATAAGACGTGTAACCAGCAGGCATTTCAGGAACAAAGAGAGGGAATATCTGAAAGACAAAATTGATGAGCTTGCAATGAACAGTAAGAAGAAGGACATTAGAGACATGTATAGAGAAATAAATGACTTTAAGAGGGGTTACCAGCCTAGCAGTAACTTAGTGAAGGATAAGAATGGTGATTGCTTGCAGATTCCCACATTTTGAACAGGTGGAGGAACTACTTCTCTCAGTTATTGAATGTACATAGGGTCAGTGATGTTAGGCAGACAGAAATCGATACAGCTGAGACGTTAATACTTGATCCTGGCCCTTTTGAGGTTGAAAGTGCTATTGCAAAATTGAAACGGTATAAATCGCCAGGTAGTGATCAAATTCTGGCAGAACTTATTCAAGCAGGAGGCGAAATATTACATTCTAAGATCCACAATCTAATTACTTCTATTTGGCATAAGGAAAAATTGCCTGATCAGTGGAAGGAGTGTATTATTGTACCAGGGTGATAAAACTGACTGTAGTAATTATCGAGGGATATCATTGTTATCAACTTCATACAACATTTTATCCAATATTTTTCTCATAAAGTTAAGTCCATACATAGATGAAATTAATGGGGATCATCAGTGTGGGTTTTGACGTAACAGATCAACTACTGATCAGATCTTTTGCATTTGTCAGATACTGGAAAAAAATGAGAGTACAGTGAGACAGTACATCAGCTATTTGTAGACTTCAAGAAAGCCTATGATTCAGTTAGGAAGGAAGTGTTGAACAATATTCTGTTAGAGTTTGGGGTAGCCATGAAACCAGTTAGGCTGATTAAAATGTAGTTAAACGAAACGTATGGTAAAGTCCATATAGATAAAGAATTGTCTGATAATTTCCCTATCCAGAATGGTGTAAAACAAGGGGATGCTTTATTGCCACTCCTTTTCAAATTTGCTTTAGAACATACCATTAGGAAGGTCCAGGAATACCAGGTAGGACTGAAATTAAATGGAAAACATCAGCCATTGGCCTGTGCTGATGATGTGAATCTACTGGGTGATAATGTAGATACCATAAAGAAAAACACACAGACTTTAAATGACACAAGTAAAGAGGTTGGTCTAGAAGTAAACTGAGAAAACTAAGCATATGTTGCTGTCTCATCACCAGAATGCAGGGCAAGATCATGATATAAAGATAGGAAACAGATCTTTTGAAAATGTGGCACAGTTCAGATATTTTGGAATGAGGATGACAAATCAAAACCTGATTCTGGAGGAAATTAAGAGGAGATTGAATTTGGGTAATGCTTGCTACCATTCAGTCAAGAACCTTTTGTCTTCTTGTCTGCTGTCCCAAAACATAAAAATTAGAATATAGAAAACTATAATTTTGCCTGTGGCTCTGTATGGGTGTGAAACTTGGTCTCTGACATTAAGGCAGGAACATAGACTGAGGGTGTTGAGGATAATATTTTGACCAAAGAGAGAAGATGTAACAGGAAGTTGGAGAAAACTATATAATGAGGAGCTTCCTAACTTGTACTCTTCTCTAAGTATAATTAAAATGATAAAGTCAAGGAGGATGAGGTGGGCAGGGCATAGAGCACAAATGGGGAGAAGAGGAATATATATAGGATATTGGTGGGATAGCCAGAAGGAGAGAACCACTAGGAAGACCAAGACATAGGTGGGTGGACAATATTAAAATGGATCTTAGAGAGACAGGATGGGATGGTATTGATTAGATTGATCTGGCTCAGGATAGGGACCAGGGGAAGGCTCTTGTGAACACGGTAATGAACCCTTGGGTTCCATAAAATGCTGGGAAATTCTTGAGTAGCTGCAGAATTGGCGGCTCCTCAAAAAGAGCTCAGTTCTATGGGTAAGTAAGTCAGACATCATTTAACATGTTACAAAAAGACTCTAATTCTAAACGCTGACTACAGAAGGCCGAAGGAAGCAATGCAGTGAACTGTAAACACATCATCATGGCATTGAGACCATGAACAGTGAAACAATCTAGATTCTTTATGATCAGACTATGTGGGACTGCATAGTGACTGTTACATGGCACTTCTACAGGTAGGGTGTTTTAGGCTGTGCCTTGGCACACTTTGATTTTATTGTAATGGACATGGAGACAGATAACAATGGTTACTGGACCATTTTACACATGAAATTCCACTCCATGATGTACAAGTTGGTGTTTGATGTGTCCTGACTATTCTGATCTTTGTGTAGAGTTCCATAACCAACTAACTATATGGAGCTGAGTCCTTCATGAAATACCACCATTCACTCAGCTGTTCAAGAAGTTCCCAACATTTTATGGATCCAAAACGTTAACTGTCATGCTTACAAGAGCCTACCACTGGTCCCTGTCCTGACCCAGATGAATCCAGTCCATAGCACCCCATCCTATTTCTCTAAGATCGATTTTAATATTCTCCCGCTGTCTAGGTCTTCCTAGTGGTCTCTTTACTTCAGAATTTACCACTAAAACCCTGCATATATTCTTTCCTGCCCCATGTGTCCTACATGCACTGTTCATCTAGTCCTTAACTTGATCATTCTCATTATATATGGCAAAGAGTACAAGTAATGAGCTCATTATGCAGTTTTCAGATGCATCACAAACATAATTGCAGCAGTGGCCCAGAACATGTTGGGTCTGACAGGCTGCAGCCCTTGTATGCTATACCTATACTAGTGTTGCTCCCGACAGACTACAGCCCTTGCACCCTGTACTACTGTTGTGCCTAACAGACTGCAGCCCTTGTATGCTATACCTATACTAGCGTTGCTCCCGACAGACTGCAGCCCTTGCACCCTGTACTACTGTTGTGCCTAACAGACTGCAGCCCTTGTATGCTATACCTATACTAGTGTTGCTCCCGACAGACTGCAGCCCTTGCACCCTGTACTACTGTTGTGCCTAACAGACTGCAGCCCTTGTATGCTATACCTGTACTAGCGTTGATCCTGACAGACTGCAGCCCTTGTATGCTATACCTATACTAGTGTTGCTCTCGACAGACTGCAGTCCTTGCACCCTGTACTACTGTTGTGCCTAACAGACTGCAGCCCTTGTATGCTATACCTATACTAGTGTTGCTCCCGACAGACTGCAGCCCTTGCACCCTGTACTACTGTTGTGCCTAACAGACTGCAGCCCTTGTATGCTATACCTATACTAGCGTTGCTCCTGACAGACTGCAGCCCTTGCACCCTGTACTACTGTTGTGCCTAACAGACTGCAGCCCTTGTATGCTATACCTATACTAGCGTTGCTCCTGACAGACTGCAGCCCTTGCACCCTGTACTACTGTTGTGCCTAACAGACTGCAGCCCTTGTATGCTATACCTATACTAGCGTTGCTCCTGACAGACTGCAGCCCTTGCACCCTGTACTACTGTTGTGCCTAACAGACTGCAGCCCTTGTATGCTATACCTATACTAGCGTTGCTCCTGACAGACTGCAGCCCTTGCACCCTGTACTACTGTTGTGCCTAACAGACTGCAGCCCTTGTATGCTATACCTATACTAGCGTTGCTCCTGACAGACTGCAGCCCTTGCACCCTGTACTACTGTTGTGCCTAACAGACTGCAGCCCTTGTATGCTATACCTATACTAGCGTTGCTCCTGACAGACTGCAGCCCTTGCACCCTGTACTACTGTTGTGCCTAACAGACTGCAGCCCTTGTATGCTATACCTATACTAGCGTTGCTCCTGACAGACTGCAGCCCTTGCACCCTGTACTACTGTTGTGCCTAACAGACTGTGGCCCCTATACCCTGTACTGGTACCAGTGCTGTGTCAAGCTGAATGAATGAAGCTTGTGTTCGGTTAATTAATAGGAACTACAAGATGTGTGGGTGATGTAACTGATCCTTTATTTGTTTATGTATTCATGGGTTAATTTAGCAAAGCTGTCAGGACCTCTTATGGCATGATGATTGGTGACAGTGAATTGGATGGGATATGGTAGGAATTAATCATGATCTAATCTGAGATACTGTCTTGACATTAACTTGGAAGGGCTGGGTAAAATCATGAAAACCAGTCAGGATAGCGAATTTCTAGGTCAAGATTTGAACCTGGATCATCTATAACATGAAGAAGTGCTAACACTTAACTGTGACATTTAGTTTTAACAAAAATTGCATATGTAACATAGCCCTGTGTCCCTGTCAGTGAATGAAGTTTATTATTAGTTACTCTATTTTCTGGTTACAGAAACCTGAAAGTGATACAAGATACACTCAATGAAATGGTGACAGAAATCATCAGTGAATTCCTTCAGCCTGATATAAATGGACTTATATCAAGGAGCAGCTAGTCATATTATGTCATATTGACTGAAAATGTCATTTTCTGTTCTCTAAATGTGCAGTGGAACCTGCTTAATATGTTTTAGTGCCCAAGATTCACACTTTTAGTCACAAAGATTTCCCAGTAGGGCTAATGTATTTTCAATGCACTTAGTGTGTTGCCCACATAAGAAGCATCAGCCTAATGTTATGAAATAACATTTTATAAATTTAGTGTCTATTTCTGTGTAGTTACTTTTTCCCAAGCAGACTCATTCATTACAAAATTTACCCACTTCACACATCTTAAACTGACTGGAGCTTGAGGGTCAGTCACATGTGACAGCTTGTCTCTCACACTTTGCTGGTGTAGAAAAGGAGCTAAACCTATGCAGTCAGACATTTTCTGTATTTCTGATGAACATTTTATAAATCTGAAGAGCTCTGTCTTATGGGATATAATGCTGTGTAGTCCACTGATATTCAATCACCATTTTGTAAGAACATACCACCTCCCTCTTCAGGGGGTGAAGAGTTAGCTAAGTAAGAATCCAGCATGTGGCAGGCAGCAAGTCAGTTGACTTTCAGCGGACTACTGTTGATCCCAAATTTAAGATATTTCTGGATTATTATTTTTAACTTAATAACAATTTTCACCAAGTTAAAGAGAAGTACTATCAAGAAGAATAAACATCACTGTGTGCGCACACACACATCTGTAGTGTCATTGCCCATACAAAGGTAATAAGCACACTTATTTATGTGGTAATATTCCACCAACAGGAAGAAAAAACTTGAATCTATTTCATGGTTCTGCCAAACCGCAAATATTCAGTGCCACAGTTTTCTGTCAAAATATGGTTGTACTTGCGCATTTTCATTCACATTTACCAACTACAGCTGTTTTATTATTCCATTTGGCAACACAGTTTCTAAACTGTGGCCATTTGCACTGCCCCTTGTTTTAGACTTTGTGGTAGGTAACATCCATCATTTACACCTTCTTCTTCATCGAGTATATGCTCAATAGTTTTTTTATTTTGCTTGATATTACAATGAAAACAGGCATTTTGAGCATGGATATTATATACATACGAGATTTGAGGCCTTCAGGGCGGTTATGATACATACGGTTGTCTTCTGGGTTGATACTGTAGCCTAGGAGGGTGGGTACAAGATTACATGATGTCATAACCCAGAAGACAACAATATGAAGGATATTGCAGCAGTCAGTCATTGTTTTATTATTACATACAAACTATTGTAATGAACAGTGAATATGAATATTATTTTGAGCTTTCATTTTAAAGAATCATTTTATACACCAGTTTACTCCGAAAAGGGTTTGTATAGGCATATGTGTCATTGTATGTTAATTAAAGTATTCACATTCCTAATACTGCATTTGTTAATTTGAAGGCTGAATTAAATCATGTAAGTTAAAGATCTTCAAATTTTGTAATATTTTAAATATTTGATATACAAGATGAATCATGTTTTTGTTATGAGATCATCAAAATGTGCAAAAACAAATAAAATGGAACTTCAGTTATGGCAGATCATTACCAAAAGATAAGAGTTTAGAACAGAGATTTTCGGTTTCAGCCAGTGAGTCACTTGTTACTGTATCTGAAACAATTTAAATATTTTATCTGGCCTACGGAAGTACCAAATACACTATGTATTGACAAACACTATAATTTATAAGAAATCTTGTAAAAAATCCAAAGTGAACATATTATGTGATGTATTTCTTCACACTGAAGTATAAGACATTAGTTTGGTGAAGCCTGCCATCTGTCTTTTGTGGTGTTGGAGTACTTTCCCATGATTCTTATCTTATTCTCAGTGGGCAGAAGGCTGTCTCAATTGTGCTACAACTACAACAGCACTAAGATCTGACATCAAACACAATGTAGAAACTACTGCCTCATTTCAAGTGGCAGTTATTATAAAGTTCCACACTTATTTAGCACATCAAGATTACATATTTAGAAATGATAGTATCCACATCTCTAGTAGCATGTAGCAGGTTATCTTTCAAATTCTAGTTTTTCCTCAATGGAGCAGCCTTTTGTTTTGGAATTAGTTTCCAGGTACATTGTAAATTATATGTCTGTAGTTCAGTATTCACAATGCACATTTAGATTACATACAGTGTAATATATATGAGAAACTAAATTAAACAGAACTGGTTATGGCTCTTATCTTAATAAATCTGAAAAACAATGATGAATTTGATGTTTTCATGGTTGTTGGTGTGAAGAGAACAGTCTTCTGGGTTGTAACACCATTCAATTGAGAGATAGCCTGATGTTTTGGAGGAACCCCTTGCCTCCATCTTCAAGATAGAAGAGTAAGTCAGGCAAGAAACTAGCAGAAGCAGGTGGCAAGTTAGCGTGCTTTCTCTGAACTGCATGGCATTACGATCCAGGAGACTGTACTCTTCATCTAGATGACTGCCTGTGATATTTCAGATATTGCATACATTCTCTTAAGAACTTTGAGAAGTATCTGTGATCAGGGCCACATTGGGTGAAAATGGACTTACACTTGTTTCTCGTGTAAAAAAAAAAAAAGAAAAAGTTATAACTCAGTTTAGTTCATGGGAAAAGTGTGATGAAAAATGAGGGTCATATTTATGTCAACAGCAGCATGGTATCATAGGGTTTTAATTTCTCAAGAGGTCTTCCCAGATGTGATGCTCATTTTTGTTACTCAATTAGTTTAAACACCCTTAATTTTGATTCAGAAATATATAATGGATATGACCTCAACATCATTCATTTTAGTCACTTATGGATAGTATTTTTTTTCTCTTTACAAAAATACTGGGGCACATGGTAGCATGGTTGAAGCACTGCTACAAGCTGGAAGATTGCAGGTTCGATTCCTGATGAGGTCATTGGATTTTCCAATTGACCTAATCCTTTCAACCACACTATGGCCCTGGGATCAACTAAGCCTCTAATAGAAATGAGTACCAGGAATCCTCTTGGGGGTAAACGGCAGCTGTCGAGTAAGGCTGACAACCTCACTGCCATCTGTGAGCTGACTGTCTAGAGCAGGGGTCTCCAAACTTTTTGAAACGCGGGCAACATTAGGTAATTCAGCACTTTCAATGGGCCGGATAAAATGAGAAATTAATAACGTAGGTATATGAATTTTATTGACAGCACAGAATTTCATAAACTAAATACAAAGTACGTGAGAATAAATTATCATATATTAATGACAACAGATAGTAGCAGCAAATGCTCATATTTTCATCGCGAATTATAATACTCGTAAAACAATTAATGTGAATGATAGAACTCTTTTTGCATTTTTAAATCTGATTAAATTGAGGTGATGATGATCTGTTACAATTACACTGCACCACTACAAGAAGTCCTGTGCACAAGATAGCTAGTAACANTTCCATGTCACTCCCTTGTCTAATATTAGACCAAGGCACTTGACATCGCTGGAGAGCTGGATTTTCTTATTGAAGAGAATCGGTTCCTTAAGACCCATTACATATCGTGACGTGTCGCGCTAGCTGGACCCCCCCCCGGAGCTGACGCGCCGAGCGGAGTCGAAGTTAGCCGAGTCCCAGCATCCTGGTAGCTATGCAACGCGAGTCAACAGCGGTGACATAAGACGGCGTGAGGTAACAGCGTTGCTAGGCTATACACAGACACTGTTACGTGGCACGCAACGACGCTGTTGACGCGGGCAACAGGTAACAGCGAACGGAATATAAGCCGGCTGAGTGGCAAGCGAGAGCCAGTGTGTGATCAACAGTTCTCCAGTTAGCAGTGAACGATAAAAGTATGATAATCAGTGACAGTTTGTGATAACTGAGAATTAATTGGGAGTGTGTAACACAGTGACACTTGTATAGCTCCCGTACTGTGAAACGTGTAGTCTACTGACAATAGCGTGATTTGATTTGCGAATAGGGTTATAAATTGTGAAACCCCGCAATATTGTTATAATTAATTGTAGCCGAGATCGGTGGGTTGTTAAATAAACCAATTAACAATCTCTACGGCGTCTTCAGTGACGAAACATGTTACAATATTAATATTAACATAATATGGAATATCAATATATTTTAAATACAATCTTAATTAATGAATTTGAAATCTATGAACAAGTACTTTTTTACCAGTACTCATTGGAAAATTAGTTCAATTGGTCCACTTCTGCACAATTCTTTCGCGGGCCGGATAAAATCACATCGCGGGCTGGATGTGGCCCGCGGGCCGTAGTTTGGAGACCCTTGGTCTAGAGAATGTGGGAGCATCGCTATCTCAGAACCCTATGGGCCTCAGTGGCCTGTCACAGGGATTGCTTTACCTTATACAAATATTATGTTACTTTGTGATATTCACTAGAAAAGTTAAATTGACAGCAACAGAAAATCATATGAAAACATATTAATGCAAAATTAATTCAATCTGAAACTGTGTTACATTTGAAGATGCCTGTATGTGGCGTTCTTATGGCTTAGTTTTGAAAATTTATACAGCACATATGATTATTAAAGCAGAGTCAAATTAATAAATAAATCCTTTTAAATGGTAGTTTTAGAAACCAACCACTGTTTCTTTATGAACAGGTATTAACTGTGCAACAGGAAAGGATGATATACGGTTACTTAGGACTTGGCACGGCACTGAAACAATTGTGGATTGTCCATGATTTATTCTGACCGTCTTACAGTGCATACATTTATTCACCTTACTCTCCTCTCTTGCACTACATGTTTCAGCACCAGAGTGCCATCTTCAGGTGCTTTTCTATGTACGTTGAACTACTTTATTGCATGCCCTGTTGTCCTTATACTAAAATATATATTCGTCATATATGATAATTTTAATATTTAAATTTATCATTATATATGATGAACATATATTTTAGTTATTTTAGTGTAAGGACAACAGGGCATGCAATGAAGTAGTTCAACGTACCTGAAGATGGCACTCTGGTGCTGAAACATGTAGTGCAAGAAAGGAGAGTAAGGTGAATAAATGTATGCACTGTAAGACGGTCAGACTAAATCATGGACATAAATCAGTGCAACAGGACGCTAAAATATAACACAACTGTGGATTATTTAATTTCTGAAAGGCTGACCATTCTGTTGTATTTATGTTGATAACATTTTATAACTGTCATTACTATGTAACTGTAGAGATTAGAAATGATTTTAAAGATACAATCACAGCATTTATAATTAGCAACTGTGAAAACTGAGAAACAGTTGCATCAGGATATTCTCACTGATTTTAGTTTTAAGTTGTTCATGGTTCATGTTCAGATGTGTGGTCTTCTGCATTGTGACACTCTGTATCTTGTAGTACATGGATACTGAGATTTTGGAGCAACCTGTTGCCTCTGTCTCCAGGGTTGGAGTGCACAGGGTGAGGACCTGGTTGCTTCATCTGGGCAGGCTGTAAGGAAAGGGAGGGAGGCCTACACACTTCTCAGCCCTTAAAAGCATTGACATCCATCTATAAGACTATGCACTGTCACAACGCAGAAGAATACAACCAGTATTCTCACTAGTACTTAAGTACCGTAAGAGATTTTTCTGTCTGAGTGGGAGTTAGTGCATGTGGCATGAATGGGGGAGACGAGGAATGTGTATAGGATATTGGTGGGAAAGCCAGAAGGAAAGAGACCAGTGGGAAGACCAAGGCGTAGGTGGGTGGACAATATTAAAATGGATCTTAGAGATAGGATGGGATGGTATGGATTGGATTGATCTGGCTCAGGATAGGGACCAGTGGAGGGCTCTTGTGAACACGGTAATTAACCTTCGGGTTCCATAAAATGCTGGGAAATTGAGGAGCTGCAGAATTGGCGGCTCCTTCAGAAGGGCTCAGCTCCATGTCCAACTTCAAACAGGTTGTGATCGACTTTTTAATGTCAACACTGCCAGTGATCTACCACCCTCTCGTATCATCATATCTCGCTTTAAGCAAAAATACTGGTAAAAATAACACAACACATGTTTGTTGTAAAAGCAACATACATTGAAAGTACAGACTACTTTAATACATATTTTCCCTTCAAAATCTGAATATAATCATATTATATTACAAGTGAATTTAATGCTTTTCACATATAATTTCTTTATAGGCCTATGAGATTGACCAAAAATCGTCCCACGATCGCGATCAATGCGTTGGACATGCCTGCTCTAACAGAATGATATGCACTCACATTATGTGACAACTGTGGCCAGGACACAGCTCAGCTGGTATAATGACTAGGGTATGGGCAGGATCACCATGGAATTGGGATTTGATTTTGGGAAGATGTGTAAGAGATTTCTCTTCTCTCCATAGCATCCAGACCAGCTTCAGGGCCACCCAGTTTCCTGTCGAAGGGGTACTGGGGACTGTTTCCCTGGAAGCAGTAGGGCCATGAAACTGACAACTCACATCCATCTAGTGCCAAGGTTAAGAATGGTGGAGCTATACCTGCACTCCCACCCACATATATTCGTGGAGTAGTGTTTAATTAATTGAGCACAATGATAACATTTCTAATTACAGGAGAATTGTAAAATGCTTTTACACATGCATGTCTAGTGGCTTTGTAATAGGGCACACAATATCATACATAAACTGCTGCATGACAAATAAAGAGAGGTTTAGTTTGTGCTGTATTTCCAACATGTTAGTTCTGGGACATCATTGTTAAGGTTTCATATAAATGTATAATGAGCACAACCTGTTATGAATAGGCTAGTTTTAGCCCTCTAAAAGTGATATACATATATTATCTTTCCAAGTTTAACAAATTATTTGTAAGTTTCTATTATCTTCATGTGGACTTCTACTGAAGAAATATGGACTATTTGTGACTATTATCATATGTATTGTCATCCAAATGTTAATAAAATAGCTTAAGTCACCTGTTCTCTTTATATGGCAATAAACTGAAGTTTTATCACAGTTCTGTAGAAAGTTAACCTTATCAAATGGTCAATTACAGAGCATATCTGTGAACACAGCGACTACATACTGATCCAGCAACTGGTTGGAGAATACAAGAAAACTTGTCTCCTTCCCTGAAACGGGGGCAAGCAGTAGCATGGTTGGGGCACTATGCCACAAGCTGGAAGGTTATGGGTCCAATTCCTGATGAGGTCACTGGATTTTTAAATTGACCTCATCCTTCCGGGCGCACTATAGCCCTGGGGTTGCCTCAGCCTCTTAAGAGAAATAAGTACCAGTAATTCTCCTGGGGATAAAAGGCGGCCAGCATGTAAGGCTGACAACCTTGCCTCCGCCACCGACACCATCATCATCCATCTCTTATGTAACAGTGTCTTTACAGGAATGGGTTACCAGCCAAATGCACAACCCGTCCTGGGGGACCAGGGTACTTGTGTCATCATTTACGCTCCCTTACATAGGTCATTTTATCTATGTATATTAAGAAGCAACTGAAAATACACATATACATATATACTACAGATACTACATGGGATGTTGTCAATCATGCTTCAGTCACTGCTCACAACATGGCAGACGTTCAGTCACCGGCTTCCCACCGTGGCAATGGGGTACGTTTTCACTCAGTACTCTGGTTTCCCCTGCCAATTCTCATTCCACTGACTATTGCACACTCCTCATCTATCATCCGGGGCTAGTACGATAGGCCAAGCAATGGTGGACATACCAAGTGGACTCAGTCTCACCCCACCCCAAGAAATTAATTAATTACCATATAAGATACTAATTAATGTCATCAAGGACTATAAATTTTGTTGATACTTTTAAATGCTGATGATATAAAGTAGCCAACCTGATTCACCTTACGATTCAGATTTTTCAGTTTACTAAAAATTTACATTAACACTCTTAGACTTGTATATGAAAGGTACTCAGTTCAAATCTAAGCTGGGCTACCCAGTATCTGGACTGAAGTTTTTCATCACTACCTTGTCTGTCAAAACAAATTTGTAGAAAATCAGACTAGAACTGTTGCCTTCCAAATCTCTAGCATCTGTAGGACCATAGTCGCTGTCATGTGAATCACCATCTACAAGAATATAACTCTTGTCATTTTCATCCAAAATGTCTTCAGTAATCCTTCTCAATCATTGTTAAATATTTTACTAAGCAAACACAAATTGTAACATGAAGAAACCACACTATAAACCAATACATTAACAAAGCACCTGGAAAAATGACACTTGTTTGTTGACTGTTGATATTTTGTAACATCTGGTGGTAAGCAAGATGCACAGGAATCAGAACTGATCAACTGAAGCAGCAATACCATATCCGGACAGCACTAACATTGCTAAAATTTGAGCACTGTCATATTACGATGGTCACACTTCTAGCCTGCTCTGTCATGTGATAATATTATGGTGACCATACTGTAAGTATTAGTCAGTAGTGGGATGTTTTAATTCCTCTACTTTCAGATGATAAAGGCCAACAAAACATTAGAGAGATCTGTTCTCAATTAATAACATTTATTTTTTAAATACACTCCATTTACTGTATAGAAGATGAAGCTCATATACGAGGGGGTACCCAAAAGAAACCGAACTTATTTTTTTAAAGTTATTTATTCAAATTTTAAGCACAAACCATCAATCCCCTTCAAAGTACTCTACACTTACACTAATACAGTTGTCTAGTCTTTTATTCCATTTTTCAAAACATTGTCTAAATTCATCTTTTGAGATGCTTGACAGCGCATCCATAGTTTTTTTTCCTTCACCTCAGCAACATCAGCAAAACGCTGGAAAAAAGTTTTGATCATTTCGGGATTCTTCTTTCAAAGCACAGCATGCTTCCACGCTACCTTGTTTTTGTTTAGTAGTCAGCAGTCATGGCACGAATTTCGCAGCCACCCTTTTCATTCTCAAATCTTCTGTCAAAATTCGCTGAACTGAGCTCCAAGTCACTCCCGACAGCTCCACAATTTCTTCAATGGTCCGTCGTTGATCTTCCTTGATGATTTCACGAATTTTTTCAACATTTTCATGTGTTCGGGCCATTGCATAAACGACGATCACACAAAACAGTTGTCACTATAATCTCTGCCGAAACTAGTCCTTACCTTCTGAAGCAACGGTAGTCGGCTTATCGACTCAGGAATGTTAGCTCTATGCGCTCATAGCGACAAAACGCGGTACTACAAAAGCTCTGCCCACAAAAAATTAGTTCGGTTTCTTTTGGGTACCCCATCGTATATGAAACACTTTGAACCTCCCACTTGAAATGGAGGTAATATACACTCAGATTATTGACATGAAATTGAAGGTTAAGAGGGAAAACCTTCAACTATGGAACACCCAATGGCGCTCTGCTATAATTCCTTCTCTGTCCATTGCAACTTTGGTGTCAAGTAATTCATACACATAAAGTAACTGAAAATTAACTATTAATAAATATGTAAGATATAATAATCCAATTCTTGCTGTTCTTGAACAAGAATATTAATTATCAGAGTTTTGAATATGTTCATTTACTTTGGCCATGAATCAACTGTGCTCAAGCTTAAAAAGGAGACTACAGCATCTCTTCTTCAATACAGTGAATCACACACTTCACTCTTCCGCATTAATGTTGTAATTGGAGCAACCAAGCAACGATTTTATGTGCTTCTCCAACCAAGCTACAAACTCTGTCATCTGCATATGGACCTACAAACAACAGAGTTCATTAGTGATTTTAAAGGATTCATTTTTGCTTCCTGTGTAAATGGAAAAGGTTTTGTCAGACACATTTTCATATGGTTCATGCTAAATAACTTTACTACTTGATAACATTTCTCTCAACAACATATCACAATAAAAGCACTCCATACCTGGCATGCCAGTGGCTTCTATCACATGTCGCCAGGCTCCGTACCCGACACGCATATTGCACCTTTAAGTTTCAGCTCTATTTTGAACCATTGTTTTTCATGTAAAGTAATTCTTTTGGTATGAAATTAAAGGAGGAAATTTCAGGCTATCATTTTGTATATTCACTGTCCCACTTTGAACTTCCTGCGGGAGTTGTAATACATTTTAATTCTTTGAAAAAGTTTTCAATTTCAACATTTGGTGCGCTTGTTACCACACAAAACTACCTCTGCCTAGGGGAATTCTTATGAACTAAATATGTCAGATCGATACTGTGTACTATCCTCTATCCTGATCAAATGAAATGTCAATTCTCTTGAGGCATATTCTGAACTCTGCTGCTTCCACACTGGTATTTGTAACTACGAGAAGACACGTGGAGAAACTACGACTTTGAGACGCAATGTTGACTCTAAGAAGTGTGTTATGACTACCACTGTAGCAAATGGTAAACGGTTCAGTATATGAATGGTACTACTGTAATTCCCCTTTGTTCTATAAATACCATCATGCAGTCTGGTGAGCCAAGGCCAGCCGCAAGGAATGAAGTGGCCAGCTGTGTTGTGTCATGACCAGTGGAGAATATATTTACTTCAAACCGAATCAGAATAAAGTTTTATCAGATTCTGAATTAGACACTGAAAATGGATGTTTGTGCTTTTCTTGATTCTTTGGCAAATCACAGAATCGAGAATAGCACAAACATCTGTTGGGAGAATATGCAAAACTATAAGAGACAAAAAGAAAATTTCTGAATGGGATGACATTATGTAGGAATAACACAAGGGAAAGAACAGATCAAGTGTCAATCAGAATTCAGTTAATTGAGGGACTCTCTGTGAAATATGCTAATGCTGTAGAACACAAAGAGCAGGGTCGACATTCATCCAACTAAACAGTGCCCTGTCTAAGAGAAAGAAATTTTATAAGCAAGATTCCACCAACTGAAGAAATCAAGACAACAGAAGCGTCATGTTGTGTCAAAAACTGTATGCAATATTTTCATGACTAACATGCCCAGCTGAACTTCTAAGGTAATATGATATATGATACACTATCATTCATAATGTTTATAGGCTTACTGTGCCAAAAACAATTTTAAAGTAGTGTGGATGTATACACCGATTCTGCATACATTTCTGAACGTAGTGTGAAAGTTAGAAAAACAGAACTCCAGTTTTTCCCAATTTATTACACTTTAAGTGAAATGTTGCACCCTCTGATTTCAATTTTAAATATCCTCCGGCATAGGAGTTGAGTAGGAATATCGATGCCCGCCGGCAGTGAAGGGTTAATGAATTTAACATATAATTACTACAGACAACTACAGCTTCTGAGGGACCTGCTACCTCCTCCTCTTCTACCCTGAAGATGGAGGCAGCAGATCCCTTTGGAACACTGATATGTACCTAGCAGACTACAAGATGTCAACCCCAGAGGGTAATCTTAACCATTATGTGGAAATGCCAAGTGAGACTTGTAACAGGTAATGACCATAATAATTTGAGCCGTCAACAATCATCCCTGGCACATCATTTGCATGGATGGAGCCACAGAAGTCAAGCTGATGCAACTGCTTATTAGTGATATATATATAAATACACTCTGTTTCTCTTCTTTCCCATCCAACCGCACATGCTAATGGTCTACAAAAATGGCCCATAATGCAGATATTGTAGGGGAACTCCACATGGAAGAGCACATTTAGATGACCATATTAGGAGTTACAATGAATATTCTTGCCTCTTAAGTTGTCAAGAGCATTCAGAAGCATTTGCTCAAGCTAAAGTTACTCAACTGTGACCAGTGGGTTACAGTTTGTACAGAATGTTATACAAGACTGTCAGTATCTCGTTATAGAGCATGGAACGACACAATGATTGGGCAGTAATCAATAGGAAATGATTTGAAATGAAGTGGTCATAGCTTAATCAAGTTATTATCCCAGCATTTTCCAAGAGAGTCTGAGGAAAACCATGTGAGAAGGGTCATCATGATTCATGAGGAAATTAATAGCAGATTAAATCTGGATAATGCTTACTATCACACAGTTCAGAACCTTCTGTCTTCTCAGCTGCTGTATCAAAAGGTAAAAATTAAAATATAAAGACCTATAATTTTGCGTGTGATTTTGTATGGGTGTGAAACTTCATATCTCATATTAAGGAAAGGACATAAACTAAGAGTGTTGAGAGTTCTGACAAGAATATTTGGACACATGAAATAACAGAAATCTGGAGAAAACTGCACAATGAAAAGCTTCATAACTTGTGCCCCCCTCCAAATATAACTGTCGATGAGAATGAGATAACCAGGGCACGTAGCATGCATGGAGAGAGAAGAGGAATGCATACAGGGTTCTGATGGGAAAAACAGAAGGACAGATCACAAGAAAGATCCAGATGTGAGGATAATGTTAAATTAGATCTTAGAGAAACAGGATAGACAGGATAGAGTGGTATGGACTGGATTCATCTAGCTCAGGATAGAAACCAGTTGTAGGCTCTTGGGAACATGGTAATGAACCTTCAGGCTCCACACAATGTGGAGAAACTCTTGAGTAGCTGAGTGACGGTGGCTTCTCATCGAGGACTCAGTTCCACGAAGTTACCACCACCTTTTATCAGAGGGGTAATCCTGATACTTTCCCCCTTGAAGATGGAGTGAATCCCACCACTCAGGCTTCAGGACTACAGTATTCCTTTATCATGTGCAATGTTCCCTTGTAGTGAATCTTTGAGTGGATTCCTGGTATTGCTTCCAGATATTTTTTAGTCCCTTGGTTACAATTCCTACACTCCCAGAGACTTACTGGTGTGACAAAGCATTTCATGTTCCACAGTCACTGAATTTCATGTTTAAGTTACTATATTCAGCTTTCATTTGTGCTACATTCCCATCCAAGCATGTTGCTACGTCTATTAGCATGCAACTCTTCCTTCCTTGTTTTTAATTAATGCATCTGGCCTATCTACCTTGACCTCTCTGTTTGTACTCCCATAACCCACACAACTGTCACACCCTCATGTTGGCATGCTGGCTGTGATACCTATCAATACCTGTTTTCTCTTGTTCAGTGCTGAATTTCCTGCACATCCTGTAGTGTGGATGCATACAGACTTCATCATATCTTATTATACACTCACTTTTCTGTCAAATTGGGGCATCCTGATGTCAAGTGCTCAATGGTTTCTTCATATCCCTAGTATACATGGCATTCACTCTGTTTCTTTCTTTCAAAATTTATCTTAAAATAGATTGTACGGAATGCCTGATCCTCAGCTGTCACTAACGTACTTTCTGTTTCTCCCTTTAGCTAACTAACTCCTGTCTACAAACTTCAGCCACCGGTGAGACTGTCCCCTGTCCACCAATTTTATGTCTAAACTAGGTGGAAATTGTCCCTGCATCCTTTTGTCTTCCTATTTTTCCATTATATTCAGTACCAACACATCTTTTATTTGTTTTCTTTCACTTTGAAAAGATTTGTTGAACTTTTAACTTTTGGAAAGAATGCCAAGTCTATATCATGTAGGCAAGTCTTGACATTCTGCACCAATGATCTTATTTGTTGTGTACATATTCAATTAATTTCATAACTTCTGCTATGTAGGCTCCTTCTGCTGGCATCAAGCCCCTTGTTCCCTTTTCTTGGAATGTATAAATGATCAATTTCTCCTCTTCGGTGATGCTGTCAACAATGTCGTCATGGAGTAGAAAATGTCACCAACTCTTATTCCATTTAAGGTGGCTGGGAAGAGTTATGAAAATCAAAATCAGGAAAGTTGACCTTACATGCAACCAAATGTGACCTCCCAAGTGCAAGTACTAAACAGTGAACTGAACAGCCCTTCTTCAGTGTTCAAGAGAACTGTCACCTAACAAAATCTGTCATTTTTACAGTAACTGCATGTGATGAAGTGTACCCAAGTGAACATCCATGTGAAAACATAGTATCCAACATTTTGGAAACTGTATCTGCCTCCATTATCAGGAGTTAATTTGATGAATGTGACATTCAGATGTTGTATTTGCCCGGCACAGTAGGCTCTCAGCTGTCCCAGTAGAGACCACAGTGGATACCTTGTCCAATCTCTGGCCACGAGCAGACTCTTGGGAGAGAAAAAATTGCCCAGCCATGACACTCAATATGTAAACCCCCGATCCTGGAGACAGACTCCATTGTCACATGATTTTTCACCTGAGGATACATCATCATACAAATTAATACACTGGAAGTGGTTGAAAATTACAAGAAACCCTTGTCTTTCATTTTCTGTGGCATAAATCTGTTCTTTTAAATAACAATGCATAGGAAATGTTATGCAATTCCTAAAACTTGTAACAGAGGGTATCACTGAGCAATGTGGCTGAAACAGTATTACTTCTGGCTTACAAGTATATTCTAGAAATAACCAGTTCAAACCCTGGGCGTGACATGACTATTTTGAGTGAGGATTCTTATGATTTTCCTCAGTCCCTCCATGTGAATGCTGGGCTAGTTCCTTGAAACAGGCTATGACCATTCCCTTCAACATCATCTCCAATTCATTATTCACTAACCAACCTGCTCAGAGCATCATGAAATTAATCATAAATAACTGAATAAACAATTATGAATCTCATCAAATGACTGTATTCATATATTCTCACGTGCATTAGTGACTTTGCAGATGGAGTTTTGATGGGCAAATAGATTTATTTGATACTCACAAGTCATAACAAGAAATAATTATATCTAAAGAGTCCTGCAACTATAGCCCATAAAACAAGGTCCAGTGTCTGCTTAGTAGTCATTACTTGGCAACACTTCAACTACTGAATTTCCTTGAACATTGTCTGAATCTCTCTCAACTGAAATCTCCTGGCAAGAACTCTCGACTGAATTCTTAGTTATTCTGGAACTTTGTCATATATCTGCGGTGAGGACCACAGAGAAAACACCTTCTATTATTGTAGAGAGGTACAACTGTTAGGCAACTGCCTAACAGTCTCGGCATGTATTGTTGAAGTCACGTGTTCACAGCTCTGTTGCCNGTTACACTCGACGGACTTTCTATTAACTTTGTGATTGATAGTGTAACGGACCAAAAATGAAACAATTCAAAATAGGTGTAACATGGTCCACAGAAAACACAACTCCTATTGTGGCATGATTGCTGGAACATGTATACTGAGCCACTGCCTAGCAATAGTCACATTCGTTACAATATAATGTTAACATGATCACAGAAAACGTTCTTGTATATTCTTAGTTTACACCCTGTCTCATAGGAAGGCATGTGAGCAGGCACAATGACTTAGGTATCTCAGTTCAGTTGTAGTAGTACTAGTAGTTTAATGACACTGTCAGACTAAGTAGCAGTGATGACTGGATGACAATCAACAAAAAAGCCATGACCTGATTTAGGGTACTATCCTCATATGAGTCCAAAGGGGCTGAGGAGAACCATGAAAAACCTCAGTCAATATACTCAGTGCCCAAGCCAAGATTTGAGCCAGGCACAAGTCAAAACTGTTGCCACATGAGCCAAATTGCTCGATCTGAGCTCAGACTTGGCTCCAAAATTGCATTTTATCAATCTTCTAACAAACATTTAACTTTACCTGAAGAGGTAATGAGTTCACATCCAAAAGTTTTGGTTGAGGTGGTGGGGTGACATAGTAAGAGCCAAATAATGTCACCATTGCCGTCTCATAGAGGCACAGCACAGCTGAGACATCTTCATAGTTTACCTCGTGTCTCATGGCCAGCCGGGCATGAGCTTCTGATAGAGCCGTACTGTGAAATAACATGAAATTCATGTCTGAATAGAAGAGACAAATTAAACAGAATACTTGTTCTTCTAGTATTTTCCTTCTGAAATGAACATCATCCCATACCATGTGGGATATATCAGAAGTTGCCTGTACCATGGCACTAGTGTCTAACGGTTTGTACATGAGTTGACTAGAGCTGACATTGACTGGATGTAGAAGGTAACATGCATGACAATTTTGCAAGCAATGGGTCCACAAAAGTGAGTTTCAAGCATATGAACATGGTCAAGCTGCATGTGCTGAAGGAAGGCTTAGCAATTACAACAAGTATGTTCCACATCTTTACCAAACACCCAGGGAAGCAGACGACCTATGCAAAGTTGATTCCACTTGTGATAAACAAGGATTGGTGTATCCATTCGTTTCTGCTGTTGGCAGAATGAGCAAAAATGTTTGGTACTGAGTCACTGATGCATTAGCTTGACTTGAAACTGAAGCAGCCAAGAGTACAAATGGTGGTCCCTCACTTCACCATGGAAGAACATCTCAGGATGCATGTGTCCTGTCAGAAAGCCTGTGCTCAACAATTTTGTGTCATCCTGTCCAACTATTAATGAAGAATATTATTTGAGATCGTTACATGATAAGGTGTGACCTGCCTTGCAGAGAAGACTTATTCTGTGTTGTAGCAAGCTGCAGAGTGTGTGAATTAGTGATAGTGTTACAGTTGCTTGTAGTTACGATCTGTAAGTGTTCAATAAATTCAATTACTAATCCAAACCGCATCTATAATCACCCATACACATGATCACATGAATTTTCTACAGATAAAACTGGCATGAGGAGAAGCTATGTAATTTATACTCTTCTGTTATGCTTAGGATAGATCAATCAAGCTCAGACAGAGAGAACAAGAAACATACAGAAGACAGAACCCTTTCCAGTCACTGCTGTGAGAAACTCAAATGCAATAAAACATAACATAATTTGGGAAGTTGCAGCTCGACCTATAAAGAAACAGATACAAAGATTAGATTAAACTGAACATTAGTAAAACTGGATAGGCTGTTGTGTAGAAGAGGTTTTGTGAGATGATCTGGAATAAGCCCCAAATGGTGAGGTCTTGTTTTGTACTGAATGTTAAGTTCTACAACTGCAGAATTATGTCTCAAAGACTGTGAGTTAGTATATTGCATTTTTCATCATACAGCTTTTCATTAAACTTCAACAGCCATGTGTTGCAATATTGTGACAGTATATGCGCATGGCCCAGCATATCTAACATCCCATTTCTCCATCACAAATATCAATACCCTTGAATTAAATTGCGGCTGCCAACACAGCAGTAGAAACAGATTTAACTTCCTCATTAGTGGATAAAAAGATTAAAAAAAATGACACGTAAATTAGTTTGTGACTCAAACCCGGTTACTCACATGGTGGCAACTGCCCCGACAGGCAGGCAGTGGGACCTGAGCCTTCGACTTGCTACAAAATAATCATGTATCAGTTGACTGGCTTTGTCTCCAAGCTTCACTGGTTGGGCAGAAACCACTGCCAAGAACTGCAGAACAAAATCACAGACACTACAGGATGGGAATCAGTGGACTGAACTGATCTGGTTCATAATATGGACCAGTGGTGAGCTCCTGTGGACATGCCTTGCAAGTTCCATAAAAGGAATTTCTGTACTATCTGAAAGACTATTCAGCCTCTAAAGCAGGAATCTGTTCCATGGAGTTGGTTAGACAAGACACTATTCAAATTTGTACAGTCAGTCAGATAAGGGCCTATCTCACAACATATAATTTCCTTGCAAAAGAATATTCGAGTGTTGTCAATGAGCCTTATTATACAGCAGCATATTACAGTAGCTGAAAGAGGTGTGGCAATAGTGGTGCATAAAAGTGTAGTGAGGAGTGTTGTTAAGAAGATTGCTTGTAATGACAGAATTATTGCTCTGAAGTTAAAGGCGGAACCGGTAGATATACTGATTATACAAGTGTACATGCCAACATCAGAGTATGAAGATGATGAAGTGGAAAAAGTGTATGACACAATTGAAGAAATTCTTCAGGAAGATGGAAGAGGAGACACAAACAGCATCATATTGGGAGACTGGAACAGCATTGTTGGAGATGAACCATATCAGAATATTGTTGGATCACATGGACTAGGAAGACGGAATCACAGAGGTCAAATGCTTATTGACTTTTGTGAACGAAATGGATTGATTGTTACCAACACTTGGTTCAAGAAGCCAAAGAGAAGAATTTACACATGGAAGGCACCTGGGGATTGGAAGAGGCATCAGCTGGACTACATCCTTGTGAAACATCGATTCAGAAACAGTGTGAAGGATGTGAAGACGCTTCCTGGGGCAGACATTGACTCTGACCACAACTTGCTGGTTGCCAAGTTCCGAACCAGGTTGAAGAAAATTATAGGATTTCGAAAGCGCAGACCCAGATGGGATTTGGAGAAGTTATATGCTCAAAGACAAAGCGTGCAAGAGACTCTAGAAGAGAAACTCGGTGCAATTGAAGGTGAAAGCGGAAATGCTGAAGCGCAGTGGAACGATATAAAAGAATGCATGTTAGATACTATCAGTGATTTGGTAGGTAAAGTTGAGAAGATAGCAAGAAAACCATGGGTTACACAGGAGATGATGAGTAAAATGGAGGAGCGAAGGAAATGGAAGAATGTCAACAATGAAGAAGGCAGGAGGAAATACAGGAGACTGAGGAATGAATTGAAAAGAGCCACGGACAGGGCCAAAAAGGAATATCTTGAGAAGATATGTAATGAGATTATGGAATTTCAAAGAACAGGCCGTTATGATTTGATGTACATGAAGACAAAAGAACTAGGATGGAAAGAGAATCATGGGATTCAAAATGTTGGCATCGAAGACTCCCAGGGGAATAGAATAGTAGATCAGAGGCAAGTGCTGAAAATTTGGGAAAATTATATTTCAGAACTATATGATCGACCTAATCGGCCAGAAACCTTAGAAGTTGAACCGGAAGAAGAAGTAGATACAGACGAGAAAGGACCATATATTTTACAAAGTGAGGTGGAAAAAGCTATCAAGGAAATGAGGAAGGGAAAGGCTACAGGAGATGATGATGTACCTGGAGATGTGCTCAAGTTACTGGGAGAAGGTGGTTTGAAAACACTGACAAAACTAATGAACACCATATATGAAAGTGGAGAGTGGCCCAAGGACTTTACAGAAGTTACAATGATTGCCTTAAAGAAAAAGACAAAAGCTACAAAATGCAGCGACCATCGCACAATAAGTCTTATTGCACATACAGCAAAGATAATAGCAAAGATACTTAAAAGAAGAATTGAAAGGAAAATAGAGGATGTACTTGGAGAAGATCAGTTTGGATTTAGAAGAGGAAAAGGAACCAGGGATGCAATTGGGATGATGAGAATTATAGCGGAACGAACTTTGGAGATAGATGAAGAACTGTGTGTTTGCTTCATAGACTGGCAGAAGGCATTTGACCGGGTAAACTGGACCAAATTAATGCAGATCCTGAAAGAAACAGGTATCGATTGGCATGAAAGAAGATTGATTAGCAAATTGTACATGGATCAGAAAGTTAGAGTACGACTGGACACGGGGGAGACAGGAAGTGTGCAGATTGGAAGAGGAGTTCGACAAGGATGCTGTTTATCACCAATTCTGTTCAACTTGTACAGCGAATGCCTTACCAAGGAAGCTCTGGATGGGCTCGGTGACTTCAAAGTAGGAGGGCAAATTATTCAAACTGTGAAATATGCAGATGACCTTGTGTTAATGGCTAAGGAAGAAACTGTGCTACAGGGCATGATTGATAGACTAATTGAAATTGGAAGGTGCTATGGCATGGAAATGAATGTGGAGAAAACAAAAGTAATGAAAATTTCGAGACAACCAACCCCAGTCACAATAAAGATAGACCAAAAACAAGTGGAGAATGTGAAATGTTTTAAATATTTGGGTAGCTTGTTAACAGATGATGGAAGGTGTACTTGTGAAATTAAATCCAGGATTGCCATGGCAAAAGCTGCATTTAGCAAGAAGAAGAATCTTTTTACCAGCAAATTGGACTTAAATTTGAGGAAGAAACTAGTGAAATGCTACATTTGGAGCATAGCTCTGTATGGGGCTGAAACATGGACACTTAGGGCAGTAGATCAGAAACATCTGGAAAGTTTCGAAATGTGGTGTTGGAGAAGAATGGAGAAGATCAGTTGGACCGATTATGTGAGAAATGAAGAAGTGTTAATTAGAGTCAGTGAGCAGAGGAATATCCTACATGAAATAAGAAAACGGAAGGCTAATTGGATTGGTCATGTTTTACGCAGAAACTGCCTTCTAAAAGAAGCTATCGAAGGAAAGATAGATGGGCGGATAGAAGTGACAAGAAGACGAGGAAGAAGACGTAAGAAGATGCTGGATGACCTTGGGGACAGAAGAGGGTACTGTCATTTGAAGGAGAAAGCTCTAGATCGCATTAAGTGGAGGAATTGTTTTGAAAGAGACTGTGGACCTGTCGTCTTGACAGATTACTGATGATGATGATGATTACAGTACACTGAAAGCAGTTTAGTGCAGAATTCTTAGTAAGAAATACACACAGCTCCACCAACAAAACTGAAAACTAATAACAAGGAACATCTGTATTGCATAACAATTCAGATGTATTCACCCCCTCTGTTTTAGGTACATCAAAAATTGTAAGATGTGCGGAAAAACTATTCTGCCCATAAAATGTGGGTTTCATTTTGCTTGACATTTTTTTAATATTATTTGTGTTGATAAACGTTTGGGGAACTGCACTGAGTTATGTGCAGTAATGCATGTAGGTTTTATGTAGTGTCTGATGCTACCGACCCATCTTATCCAAAAACTGGAATGCAGACACATATTTTAGAAATACTATCCAGTAACAAATGAAAGGAAATTCTGCAAAGAAGTTCTAAAGTTCTTACATGTGGACAAATGGATCAAGTTGAAGATATGAGGTGCACATCTAATAAGTTTGCTGTGACCACACCAATACACAAAGGAAGTCAACATGTTTAACCTTTCTATGCCTCAAGACACTTAAACTGGCTCACTGTTTATCAATTAGTGCAGAGTTTCCACCAAGTGTGACATACTGATATGCAGAAGAAAGAACAGGCTTTCATATGATCTACAGCTATGATCATTAGAAACAGTCAATTGAGAAGGTAATGTGGGGTTTTCTGTGTAACTGCAATTACTACCAAGCAGCCTTGGCATTTCTAGTAAGTAGTTCTATGGTAGGGCTCATAAGTCAAAGGGTTAAATGCTCACAAGTACCAAGTGCTGCCTGAGGCAGTGACAAAGTGCTTACATTAATCTCACCTGTTGTAGCTCATGAACTGGAACTGCATAGTATGGTTTAGTGGTATTATTTCCCAAGCCAATGGCTGCTTGTAGCATGCTGTGGGACACTCTGTCCGCCTCTGTGCCTGTGTCCGCTAGATATGGCATCCCAAACACACTGCAGGGAACATGATCATTAAATAGTAAGCTGTTCTAAGCATGCCACCATGTCCCTTGTTATGTCTGGTTCACACAATGCAGAAGGCATCTTTTGAGGTATTCACTGTGTGAGGTATGAGGCTCTCACAGTAGCATTAAAATTATGATCTTCCTTTCAGAATCCACACTGAATACGAAGGCAGTATAGCCTTCCAAAACACTGGTGCCTATCTACCAAACATAGAAGACTGTAATCACAGCATTCATTGTTTTCAGGGATTCAATATTGGAACTATTAACTGCTATAAACTGTCTTGTACTTCACATGACCTCTGAGCTACATATTATGTTCTGCAAATGATAATCCAAACTTAATTCTATCAAATAAAAGTCCTGGACACATTCCCAAATATGTATGAATTACTCACTCAATAAGGGTGCGCAGCTGAACCTGCTCAACTCCCTTTTCTCCAGGAGTCCAGTACCTGTAAGTCCATACTGAGCATCGGAGAGGAAATTTGGGAGAGGTAACAGCAGGACCTGAAGAAGCCAGTCTTTGTGTGTCTACAGTCACCTGACCACTTTCAATTGCTGCAACGAGCCAGAAATGCCAACTGACTGGGTATGAACAGTATGAGAATCAGTCAGTGATACAGTACGAGTAATTCTTAGCTCAGTTGGTATAGCAGCTATGCCACAGGCTGGACGGTTTGATTCCCAGCAGGGGCAAGAGAATTTTCTCTTCTCCGGAAGGTCAACACCAGCTCTGCAGCCCACCCAGCCTCCTATCCAATGAGTACCAGGGGTAAAGCGGCTGGGGCATGAAACTGACAACTCACCTACATCTAGGGCAAAGGTTCAATCCCCTATATGTCTTCATGGCATGGTGCTTAATTAATTAAGCTCAGGGAAAGACCCCCCCCCCCAGGATGTATCAATTAATTCTAGATAGGAGGGTCTTGATTCCTACACTCTAATGTCTCTGTATACTAACATCTGCAACGAAATGACAGGAGATTCAGATGCACTAGACTGCTGTAACCATTCCTGCCTTTATTTATTTCACTTCTGCAGAATGCTAAGTTCAGTCCTCATGAAACGTTAACCACAAGAAGTGGAATTTCAGTTTTGAGATTTCCATCTAGCTAATTGATAGAGTTGTCATGAATGTGACTGCATATTAGCATGAACAGCAGAATAGAGGTGCAGAAAGTTAACTAGTTGTAACCCTCATAAGGAGTCACAATTCACTGCTACTGTATATTTATTCACATAACAGAGGAGCACTGCTATACTGATTATTTGCACTCTTAGCCAATGCAGTTATTGCAAAACATGAGGCTGACTTTAATTTGAATTGTACTGTACTGTGAGTATGTTCTCACTAGTCCCTTGTATGATATATATGCCCAACTAGTGAGAACAGACATACAAACGGGGCACAAATATGGATACTGCAAATGGAAAATAATTCAGAATGGAGAGAAAGTTTTATTCTCAAACAAACACATTTTAGTGCAAACAGCAATAATGCAATAGCATGGAAATATTTTAACTTAAGATCTAGTGCAGTGCAACAGTTTCAAAAGTGAACAACTTCCAAAAGATGGCCAAGTAAGGCTGAAACATGTAGCAAATGGTATGAATTTAATGTTATTTTAAATTAAAGAGAGACTGTGAACATTTTTAATATGCATTAAAGACAGAGGTAAATGAGTGAGGGAACATGATAGGAAGTTACCTGAAAGAACTGACGAGCGCAAATTAGTGGACTTGAACTTTGCCCAGTCCCCAAGAAAGCATACACCAGTGGATGCTAGCAGAAGAGCTCCGGCTTCAAGCCAGCTGTTGCCTTGCTCATCGTGATGTGCGGTGCCATGTAATGGACCCCAGTGTGATGGGGAGCTGAGTGTGACACATCGTTGGGCCAACAGAGTGGCATGGCGCAACAGGTGGTGAGCAGCCAAAGTATCTGCTCCTACTGCCAATATTGGCACTGGAGGGTGATTTCTACCCTTAAAACACAAGCAGTATTCATGACAGTATAAGGAAGCCATTTATGAATTATGATGTGAACTTCTACAATACAGAAGCCTTCCACAGCAATACTCTTTGAGTTACGGTCATCTGCAATAATACTTTTCTTTCTTTGTTGCTTTGTGGCTCATATAACAATTCTGTCAGAAAATAACACTTTGCATTATGTTTTTCACCATCCACACTAGTGTGGATGGTGACTACAGTAGTAGTCAGTGTTGTGCAACTCGAATGGAAACACCTAATTCTGAAGAAGTGAGGGAGGAACCATAAATGCCTCACGAAGTTAATACAGACAGTTTAAAGAAATACACCCAAACTATCATAATTATACATCCAAGAAATGTGTTAAAATTTGTCTATTTAATTACCTTCATTTTATTTTTTATCACTGTTATGTTGTTTTATTGTTAAAATACACTGTGTGATATTGTTTTTTCTTTTTCATTTTCAAGAATGGGTTATGGTTGAATAAATTAATCTTCATCTCACTGTACCATATGAAGAGTTTCCATTCAAGATGTGATCAACAAGCTCAGGCAGGGTTTGAGGCCATTCCATGCAATGTGCATGTACTGCTAAAAATATTTCAAACAATACACAATCTGATTACATTAACAGAGAAGAATCAAAGCAGTATATATCTGTCCTTCTTCATCAACATAAATATGGGTTTCAACACATGCAAGTTAAAATTGTATTAAGTCTTGGCACACATGTGCTGTCATCAGGTCATGGAACACATACAGATCGAAGCATAACCTGGCCTATATTTACTGTTTCATCTGCTTCATATAGCTTGAACACAGGCAACTCATACAGCAGTCTGAATAACTACCTAACTCCATGAAGTTGAGACATTCTTGAAATGCTGCCAACTGTGCAGCTAACTCAAGAACTTCCCAGCAATTTATGTAACATGAAGGTTCATTACCGTGTTCACAAGAGCCCTCCACTGGTCCCTATTCTGAGCCAGATTGATCCAATTCATACCATTCCATCTTATCTCTCATAAGATCCATATTAATAGTGTACACCCACCTATGTCTTCGTCTTCCTAGTGGTCTCTCTCCTTCTGGCTATTCCACCAATATCCTATATGCATTCCTCTTCTCCCCCATTTGCGCTACATGCCCTGCCCACCTCATCCTCCTTGACTTTATCATTTTAATTATACTTAGAGAAGAGTACAAGTTATGAAGTTCCTCATTATGTAGTTTTCTCCAACTTCCTGTCACTTCTTCTCTCTTTGGTCAAAATATTATCCTCAACACCCTCAGTCTATGTTCCTGCCTTAATGTCAGAGACCAAGTTTTTACATCCATACAGAGCCACAGGCAAAATTATAGTTTTCTATATTCTAATTTTTATGTTTTGGGACAGCAGATGAGAAGACAAAAGGTTCTTGACTGAATGGTAGCAAGCATCACCCAAATTCAATCTCCTCTTAATTTCCTCCTGAATCAGGTTTTGATTTGTCATCCTCATTCCAAAATATCTGAACTGTGCCACATTTTCAAAAGATCTGTTTCCTATCTTTATACCATGATCTTGCCCTGCATTCTGGTGATGAGACAGCAACATATGCTTAGTTTTCTCAGTTTACTTCTAGACCAACCTCTTTACTTATGTCATTTAAAGTCTGCGTGTTTTTCTTTATGGTATCTACATTATCACCCAGTAGATTCACATCATCAGCACAGGCCAATGGCTGATGTGTTCCATTTAATTTCAGTCCTACCTGGTATTCCTGGACCTTCCTAATGGTATGTTCTAAAGCAAATTTGAAAAGGAGTGGCAATAAAGCATCCCCTTGTTTTACACCAATCTGGATAGGGAAATTATCAGACAATTCTTTATCTATATGGACTTTACCATACGTTTCGTTTAACTACATTTTAATCAGCCTAACTGGTTTCATGGCTACCCCAAACTCTAACAGAATATTGTTCAACACTTCCTTCCTAACTGAATCATAGGCTTTCTTGAAGTCTACAAATAGCTGATGTACTGTCTCACTGTACTCTCATTTTTTTCCAGTATCTGACAAATGCAAAAGATCTGATCAGTAGTTGATCTGTTACGTCAAAACCCACACTGATGATCCCCAATAATTTCATCTATGTATGGACTTAACCTTATGAGAAAAATATTGGATAAAATTTTGTATGAAGTTGATATCAGTGATATCCCCCTATAACTACTACAGTCAGTTTTATCACCCTTCTTGTGAACAATAATAGATTCCTTCCACTGATCAGGCAACTTTCCTTATGCCAAACAAAAGTAATTAGCTTATGGATCTTAGAATGTAATATTTTGCTTCCTGCATGAATAAGTTCTGCCAGAATTTGATCAATACCTGGCAAATTATATCTTTTCAATTTTGCAATAGCACTTTCAACCTCAAAAGGGCTAGGTTCAGGAATTAACGGCTCAGCTGAACATCACTGACCCTACGTAAATCCTGAGAGAAGTAGTTCCTCCACCTATTCAAAATATTGTGGGAATCTGCAAGCAAATCACCATTCTCATCCTTCACTAAGTTACTTCTCTCTAATGTTCTTGTACTTACTGTTTGTTGCAAGCTCATTAATTGTGTCTTTCTGCTATTACCTCTTTTTATTCCTGAAATGCCTGCTAGTTTCATGTCTTATATGGTTCAGATTATCCCCATTTAAAACGTCTATATATAACACAGTACATCAATAATGCAACAAACGGATCTATTTCTTCCACTTATAGTTTAGCACAACATTTTTCATCCTTAGATGGCCATCTTCAGGTGTCTTAATATATTAAAACTGCTACACTGCATTACTATGAACTAAAATCACATGCTGTAGTGCACTTAATGAAATAAAATCCATTAAAATTTGCATTGCTTTTGTCAAATTCTATTTCACCCCACAAGGAGTGTCGTCCATTTGTTTGGAACTACTCGTATATGTTTATCTCCAGGTGTTTTGTTGCAGCAGCTTGTTTTTATGTTCATTAGCCCATTGTTCAGTTACGTCTGCAATCTGCCCCTTGCTTGTGCGTTGTTCCCTCTAGCAGCGTGTGGTGTTGTCTTCATTAGTGCAGATGCGGTGTGTTTGCTTCCGTGTTTATATGCCCTGGTTTTGAAGAGTGGGGAGAGGTGGGGGAGGGTGTAGTGTTATTTTGTGTACATTTTATATAGTTCTTTAAGTATAGGGTTGTGTGTATCAATACTAGTGTCATTCATGTGTAGATTTTCCTTATTGGTTTTTTAAATATGACACTTCTCAAGAGTATTCAAATAATGTCCTTTCCTCCCTGCTGTTATAATTTCCATGGTATCTGTTACTGTGCTGTATGTCTGTCCGGTGTTCAATATGATTTGAATATCCGGAGTTACTATTGTCACTTTTTATGTCGTGAAGGTGTTCTTTTTATCTGTTCTTAAATGTTCTTCCTGTTTATCTGACGTGCTTTAGTGGACAATCCAGGCATTTCATATGATAAATTCCACTTCTACTATATTTATCTACTTGCAGCTGTGAACTTGTTAAAGTATTTGTGCTAGTCAATGACACAGATTTTCACATTTTGTGCATGTTTAATGGTCTGATGATGGCAAACCTGTGCTGAAACATGTTACCACCTTGGCTCATATATATGCTAATCCTATGCTGATGTAAAATGAGAAGAAATATATTGTGATATAATGCCTGAAAGCCACAATAGTGGAGATGTCTTTTGTTATGCAACAGCTTGACCAATCAAGTCCATTATGGGCTATATGGGGCTTGAAACCAAGAACAATTGTGCTGGCAAGGGCCAGCAGCAATTTGACAGACAGACAAACAGACGAGTCACAAGCCAAGAAACAGTAAAATATGGTCATGGGTTCTGTGGGGCCCCAAACCAAGAATGACTCAGCTGGCAAAAGCAACTTGGAATGAACTGCAATTATTTTTAGATTGAACAGACAGAGAAACTCTTGTAACTATCTGAAGTTACGAGTAATAAGCATCCAATAAATTCAATAATCAATCTGAAACCTGTGTCTAGTAACTCACATATGACAAATAAATGGTTCAGGAGAGCACATGATGATATGTTACAATCAAAGCCAAGGAGAGACACTGATGAGACTTTTACAGTACAAGACCAATCAACAACATGGGAAACTGACACAACTGGAAGTGATTCAAGTGACAGAAAACTTGTACCTGCGATGCAAGGCTGAGGATCAGCCCCAGCTTGAGGTGCAGCAGTGCTGGGGTGGGGAACATGTCTGCAGCCATCTGTGCTGCAAGTGCTGCAACCAAAGCCCAAGGGGAACTTGGGCAACAATGGCTGCAAGTACAAAGAATTATAAGCAGCTCAAGGGGTGTGCCATCAGCACTACACAACTGCCAAACTGACATCTTCTGGAATGTGACACCATGTGGCATGGTAGATAAATATCAAGAATTTGCAGACACCTTGTACTCTGGAGGCAGAAGGTTTCGCCAAGACACTGGTGCCCAGCCACCAATCTACATGGTGACACATTCCAAATGATGGTAATCTTCATAATCACCAATGTGAGAATCCCAAATCTGTATGCAACTTGGTAAGTAAAAGTAAAGCTATCCTTGTAACAGGCCGTGAAGGCCCATAGGGTTGTGAGACGTTGAGGGTCCCACATTATCCAGATAATCAGCTCAAAGTTGGCGGTAAGGTTGTTGTCAGCCTTACGCATCGGTCGCGCTTTACTCCCCAGGAAAATTATTTAATTAATTCCTGGTACTCATTTCTGTTACAGGCTGAGTTGACCCCAGGGCATAGTGCGGCCGGAAGGATTAGGTCAATTGAAAAAAATCCAATGACCTCATCGGTATTTGAACCCGTGACCTTCCGACTTGTAGCATAGTGCCTCAACCAACTACACTACCGTGATGCAACTTGATTCAACATACAGTTATCACTATTTCATATCATTATATAAAATACAGACCTTCAATACATGACTGGATATATTTTAGATGTTATCACTATGTAAAAATTACATATGCAAAACAGAGCAGAACATTTCTTAAACAGTATGCTGGATAATGGTTGGACAGAAACAAAGACAAATATTGAAGAATTATACAAATCCTACTTGATAAATCAAAATTCCTTTCACCAAAGCAAAGTCTTTAAAGTACACCTTACTTGTGACTGTACCTAAGAGATGCCACATTACCCAAAATTATGAATTCTGATCTACAGAAACGATTTCTAGCCTTTAAAATAGAGAGAATTTTGAAATATTATTTTCCATATTCTTCAAAAGTTTTTCTATTGCATAAACCTGCTAAAACAGACAGTGGAACATTTTTTATGATGGGTACATATATTACAAGAATTAATTTACAAAAATAATTTGAAAGCATATAAATGGAAATATTACAATGTTAATACCAATGAGGTCATCCGGAAAGGAAAATGTCTATTTTTTATGACATTTTGAACTATTCTTGGGACATCTGTTCCCACTAAACTTTGTGGAATTAAAAAAATATATAAAAATATTTTAAATAAAGCATACATTTCCAGTTTTCATAATCAATGAACTTTGTCTCTCACAGACAATCTCACATAATACATATAAATAATGCTTATCACCTACTAATACAAATTACTACTGTGAATTTCCACTCCCAAATAATTCACATCAGGCAAGTTCACAACCACAGTTTACAAGTCCTGGAAATACAAAGAAATTCAGTAAAACTGTCACAGAATATTTTGACTGGAAGGCATTCATAATTTTCTCTCTTGCAACAGGTCAGTCTGCTTGCTGACTTGTGGAAAGCAGTCCTGTAGTCAACAACAGTACAAGCTATCAGTAACTCTGGGTTGCTATGGCTACTGCCACTCCTCCTCCTCCTAGCATACTTACCACTGTATATGGGTCAATGAGCAAAATGTCTCCAGTCTCTTTCATCCCGCAATCTTTCTTTCAAATTTCTTACCAGATCTATCCACTCCTCTGGATGCCTTTCAGGACCTGCGTGAACTATCTTCTTCTGTGTCATCCCATTGGTCACTCTCCTTTAAATTTTAATTCCAATGCCTTCTCAGTATTCCTGTTCTATCTACCCCTTTCATATGGCAAAACCATTAAAATTATTTATCTCTTAACTCCACTAACAAGTTCTGGATGCCATCAACTTCTCCAAAGATTTCATTTCTAACTTTTCCCCGTCTTGTTTTTCCTTTGATACTTCTCAAGAACGCCATCACCACTGCTTGGATATTGCTCACTTACCTTTGCAACAGTTCAAGTTGCAACATTAAATATCTTAATCAGTTTACAACAGACAGGGACCAGTGAAGGGCTCTTGCGAACACAGTGATGAACTTTCCAGTTTCCTAAAATCTGAAAAGTTCTTGAGCAGCTGCACAGTTGGTGGCTTCTCAAGAAGGATTTAGTTCCATGATTGAATGAGTGAGAGAGTGAATGAATTCGTCTATAATACACTTTACAGATTGTCATTTTTGTTTGTTCTGGGATCTGTCTTTGTTCCATGATACAGTGAAACCCCAACTTAAAGATCTCCATATCTGAGGTACATTTGTGTAGTCATGGCCAAAGCTCCACTTGTCCAATGTATTGTCACAATTTAGGGGTGTGACTGTAGACAGGGTATGGATTGCATATCGGATTCATTGACCACTTATACACTTCACTTGGAACTACAAGTAACTACAGTGCCACTGCTAATCTCCATACTTTACAGATCAGTACCGCAGCTGCTAAGCCTTTTCCAACCTGCTATGTCTTAACCAGACATTTTCTGGCAATGGCTTCTAACAGTGGAGATTCTTCAGCTTCCCACATTCAGGTCAACTTGTCACAGTTGCCCATGCAGAACTCTTTGTCAATTGTAAAAGTGCCATCCTCCCTAGCAGAACTCAACTGAACTGCCAACCCTCAACTAACTGTCAACTGCCAGGCTGGTGGCCATTTCACACCAATCTCCTAGTCTTCTCTTTGCAGCCAAATTTTCAACTGAGTACTGAACTCTCAACTGACAACTCTGGAACATGAGTTATATTTCTCAACTGCCTCAGTTCAATTCAGTTCAAGTCCAAGTTCAAGTCACATTGCAACTGACGTTCAGTCAGTCAGTAAGTCTTGGTGTCAAGGCCTAGATATTTATTACTGTTGAACATTACGGTTTTGTTTTTTGTGGGGTGTCCTCTCTGATGAGAGGACGGGTCTGTCTTTTTTACATGCTACTGGCCCTTGCCAACGCAGTCTTTCTCAGGTCCAAGACCCTTGAGACTCGTAACCGTATTTTACTGTCTCAGATTTGAGACTTCCGTTTTCATCGCCTCCTACGAGTTGCAGGGTCACGGTGGAGGTATTCAACCCCGCCTCCATATGGGTGTTCAATTCAGCTGGCATGGGGTCTTGTTATACAGCCTCAGGGTGGACCAAAAAGAAAACATTAACCTCCAACAGTTTTTCTATTGTTGTTATGGGCAGTTGTCCAGCAATAGCTCGGATATCATTGAGATGTTTACCGTCTGTTGCCAAGCAACACTTGTCATCTTGTTTATTTTGAGGTCTTTGCCTAGCAAAGGGTCTATACACCACAGCATTATTTTCCTCTCTTTAAAGTTTCTCAGTTTAAGAATTTACCAGCATATTACTAAGACACTTTGGTTCCTCTACATGTACCAGACCTCTATGTAACACTGAAGGGGATTCTTTTGCACAGTCCAACTTTTGCACTGCCAGACTTTTATCTGTCTGGTATACCACACAGTGTATCCATCTCTGCATATATGTAAGAAATTATTACTGTGTGTCTGACTGTGCTGAAAGCAAGTATCAAAGTTCTGCAGAAGTCATTTTCAAATAAAGAATGGCCATGGCATTGCAGAAATAGAAACTGACAATATGGAAAAAGTTAAAACAATTCAGGAGCTGGAAAGTGACCCAGACGTGTCACAGATTGAGACTGCAAAGCATCTTGGGCTGAATCCTTCACCATTAAGTAGCATAATGCTACATAAACCCTCAATATTTGTAAGGTTAATGTAGGGCACACATTCAAAGCAAAGAAATGAAATGCAAAGACCACCAAATGAAGAATTCCAAACTTCATTAATATCAGTGGTTCCAGCAAATGATATTGGAAAATATCCAGCTTAATGGACCTGTCTGACAGAAGAAAGCCACTGTGATGGATCTCAAGTGGGTGGCTTCACAGATCCAAAAAACTGCATGGTGTACAATGGAACCCCCATTTAGTATTCCTTGATTTAGGGCTTTCCCTCACTGAATGTCCACTTTCAATGATTCAATTGTTAAATGGCCTCCAGCTAAGATCTTCCTCAGTTCAGTGTTCAAATCCACTGGTCCCACAACAAATGTTAAATGGGGTTTAAATGAAGACAACGTGGAACACACTGGAAGAAATCCCTGCCTGATCTGATTAACAGGAGATGGCGTTTTTCATCCACTGAACATACCAAAGAAAGCAGACTGCCTTTCTGATTACTTCCACATGTAAACCTTCTGGGTAACACACAAAGTGGAAACTCGTTAATCCATATTACAGCCAAATGAACAATAAAGCAAATCACACTGTGTATTATTATTTCTTCTTATGGAGCAAAAGAACTCTATGACATCAGCAATTGATAACAGTGTAAGACAAAGAGACCAGGCTGTGAACATGAGGAGGGTCTGCTTCATCCCCCACCACACCATAGGCTATAGTGTGACTTTTCCAAAACTTCAGAGATAACAACAGAATATCCTATCATACCTAAACCACAGTGTTGTGATGACTGCTTCCTTCCACATCCCTCCCAATTCATTATTCAATGATCATACTGTGACGCGTTATCTTATGTCCATCGCTGCGACAACTGCTACAACTGCTTCAGCACGTTACAATACTACTGTCCGACAGTACACAGTCTCAGCTACTGATATCTCCAGTAAATAAATCATAAATAAATAAAACACTGAAAATCATGTTAGAAACTTCAGGACATGGGAACAAAAGTAGCTATAACATAACATACCTAAGATAAGCATTAAGGGCAGAAATTGCTGGAGGCATAAGAAGCGAAGGAAGTTCTTGATGGCGTATTTTAGCATCAGTGTCTGACACCCAACGCTGAACATTCCATGCTTGAAAATATGCGTTAGTCTGAAGACCAGGAACATCATAACGGACGCCCAACTCCAAATCCACCATTAATTCATCTGAAAGAGCAGAATGAAATTCAAAGAGAATTTACAATGCCTGCTTACCCTCTCAAACACTTCTTACCATTATAGACAGACAAACAATTGAATGATGTAACATACCCTGGAAACAAACAAGAGTGCTCTGGTGTCGGACAAACTCTTTTGAGCCTGGATTCTCTAATGCAGATGGACTGACAAGGAGACCAAGTACCTGATCCCCTGTGTCACGAGCTCTACAGTACTCCTTCATTTCTCTACCACAAACACTGCAATGTGGCACACACTGTATTACATTTCCTGCTACACGTTGCCCCTGCTGACTGCGGCAGAGGGAATCTGGACATCGGAATACTGCACTCCGTCTGAACAGACAGAAATATTAAGTTAATATTACACAATGCACAGCAGTGTTTCAAAATATTTCCTTGTCACAGGACACTGAAATATAGTTCTGCACACCCATGACACACTAAAACATACACTGATGTAAAGTTGTGTGCGTGCATATGTATCCAAAAACAACAATAATTCATATTTTGCTGTGTTTTCCTTTGTAGGTTATTTCATGATGTCATCAGTAACTGGATTATACTGCATTGAATGGCAATGTAACAGATTATCGATGAAATGGAAAGTATTTGGAACCAAGCAGTAGTGGTCTACTTGATGTTCTATCATGGCAAGACAGCTGGTGTCCTGCCTGAGATTTAAAACAGGTACCTAAGGTATACAAGCCTGGAGTACTACTGTGATGTCAACCTGCTTGGTGTTATGCTTATTATTTGTATAATTTGTTTCAAATATTGACTGCGCAGTTAACAGATAATTCTGATAAACTGACAGCACTCTGAGAATGAGTTATAATGAAACTAAGGTTGGCAGACAAATAAAATATTTAGATTAACAAGAATGTAAATGTATATGCTTAACAGGCACATTCAACAGAAAGAAATATAAATGAAATGATGTTCCTCACAATTACCAAATGTTAAATCTGCACACAACTGTTCACTGTCAGATGATCATACTCAAATTGGTGACAAGTCGGAACTACATACCGAAATAATAAACAACAAGTACTAAGGCTACAATGTTTACTGCCATTACACACTTTAAACAAAAAATAAATACATATAAATTGAATAATATCTGCTCCAAAATGCTACTGCAACAGAGAACATTATGAAATAAAACATCTGATTTTAACAGAGTCCAAAATAGTAGAAAAGTAAAGCTATCCCTGTAACAAGCCGTGAAGGCCCACAGGGTCATGAGACGTTGAGGTTCCCACATTATCTAGACAATCTGCTCAAAGATGGCGATAAGGTTGTCAGCATAACGTGCCGGCCATGCTTTACTCCCCAGGAAAATTATTTAATCAATTCCTGGTACTCATTTCTGGTAAGAGGCTGGGACAACCCCAGGGCCATAGTGCAGCTGGAAGGATTATCCAATGACCTGATCGGAACTTGAACCCGCGACCTCAACCAACTACGCTACTGCGTGCCCCAATAGAGTCCGTAATCAATAAAAAACCCCTCACTAATCCGGATTAAATGGGGGGGGAGGTCATCTGAATGAACGAAGAAAAAGATAGCCCTAAAAGAAAAAAAAAATATATATATATACAAAACAAATAAATTGAAAATGTTATAATACAGGCAGTGCTGATGGATATTTTCTTGTATGGTTTCAGTCTCTCCGGCTGCCCTCAACACAGTCCGAAAGTCCTCTTGCTCCTAAATCCCTTGTTTCTTTTGAAGCATGCACTCAACTGTGAACAGAATTCTTAATTTCTCATATTCTGAACCGAATTAACTGTAAACAGATTAGCAAGGGTCTACTGTAGTTTTTTTTGTTTTTCTTGACTGTGGTTGTATTCCTGAAGAGATAGCTCACTCCTGGATATGAAAGTTAAAAAAATGTACTCACAACATACCATTTACTTGACTATTTTGAAAACTGTATGACTTATGGAGAAAGTCCATTAGGCATGAAATGTGTTCTATTTTTATCTACAACTTTTAGCTCAAATTGCCCTACCTAATAAATATTTAGATATACATGCAAAGAAGCACAATTATGCCTTCATGCAAGGTGGTCATTAAAGTTGTCTGATTTAAATGAAAACAGAAATAGTATGACACTTTAAAGAATTCTTCAATATCAACTTTCATGAAAATCCACCCAGCACTTCTCAAGCTCCTCCATGTGCATGAACAGACGGATGGCTAAACTGCACAAACTTTACAGGCACTTCACAGGATTCCAAATGTGCCAAAAATGGATGTTCCAAAAGAGTAGAGTATGTCATAAATGTCACGTGATAAAAAAACTAGAGACAGAGTTTGGATTGGTAATTGGATTTATTGAACACTTACAGACTATAACTACATGCAACTATAGCGCTATCACTAACTCACACACTCTGAAATTCACTACAGCATGTACTAATTCTTTTCAGTCTGCTGTCTTTCCACCAGTCATTGTCTGGTCATCGTCCTATTTCAAATTTGCTTTATAGGGAACCCTCAGTACGCTCCTGAAGTATGGCACCAAACACCTGGGACACCTTATATAATGTACAACTAAAGGGCGTTCAATCATTCAGTAAACCTAGCAACAGGGCTGAGCGGGCACAACACTCCTCACAGATTGCTGCTGTAACTGCCGATAGTAGAATGAGTCATTAGCGCTGATAAACATGGGTCCTGTCACTGCAGTAAATCACATTAATAGTCAGTCTGTGTTAGAGGTGCTGATAGGCAGTAGACATTTATAATGAAATGAAGTTCACTATTGAACAGCTTGTGTTTATTGTCAAAACTGAACAGCCCCCTTCCCATTCTTCTCTCAAATGCTACTCATTATGAGAGATGTGAAGAGAGAAGAAGCAGCCCATCATTGCTGGCTCTATTGCTGTGTTTACATGCTCCCTGAGATAGATGTGGGGTATCCAAGCTATGTGGAGGAGCTACAGTGGTATGTTGGCCTCACATAACAATAAAGAAAGTTTAATAACGAAGCAAATAAAGTACAGACATAACAAAGAAACACATAATCCTGGCAGAACATGGGGTACAACAACCCAATACATGATTGCTAAGCAATCTCTTGTCGCCGGAACTTGCGACACAAAATAAACCAACTTACCCCAGTTTCCAACTTCCTTTGGGCTTTGAATGGGTTACCCCCTAACAAACACAAATACTACAGATTCAGGTAAATACAAAATGATAACACGCATCGCAACAGTCCTACCCAACAGCTTGAGATGCGGGCAGCCTTACTTTACCAGCCAGCCAGATACCAAACCAAATTTTGAAGTAACCCAGCCGAAACAGAATTTCCAACAACGAACCCTGCTAGCTGGTAATCGTCTTCTCCAGTCCACGTCATCCGCCAGATTGCACAGTAAATCTCTCCTCGTTCCAAGACTAGGAGGTGGAATGGGGTCGGCTGATGAGGGTAGTACATCAACAGTATTAGGGATGGGGATGGAATCCGGGAATGGCAGCCGCCATGATGTCACGCCGAGAGCGAGCCGACCTTCAGCATGGCTCAAAACTTTTGCAAGGAAAAAGAACTAACAGAAAACGTATCTGTAAGTTTCGTCGTAAATATTCTGACTAGCCAGTTCCCACAAAGTCGTGTGTATCCGTGCTTGTGAAAAAGTGGCAGGCCACAGGTTCAGTGTGTGACATAAAAGAGCAATTGAAAAGGACTGTGCTGACTTAAGAAAAGGTCCAGGATGTTGAGGCACGACTACAGATCAGTTCTAGAAAATCGTTAAAGACATTTAGCACAGGAAACCGGTTTTTCACTAGGATCTGCTTTCAAAGCCACAAAATTAATCAAATTTCGTTTGTAAAAAACAACAGTTGTGCATGAACTGAAACAACCAGATTATGCAGCAGAAATTCATTTTTGCAACTGGCTCCTGCAAAATGTGCACAATGGAATTGTGGATCCACAGCTTCTGTTCCTGACTGATGAAGCGTGGTTTCACGTTAGTGGTCATGTCAAGGCACAAAATGTAAGAATATGGAGTGATGAAAATCCTCACACTATACAGCAAGTGCCATTAAAAAGTGAAAAGGTGGGGGTGTGGTGTGCTGTAAGTCTGCGGCAAATCATTGGCCCCTTATTTTTCCATGGAACCGTGAACTGAGATTGCTACATTAATGACATACTGAATCTGTTATTCAATCAGCTGACTGCCGAAGAAAGACAATATGGGTATTTTCAGCAAGATAACGCTACAGCATATACGGCTAATGCAACCATGGCCACAATACAGGAAGTGTTTGAAGACAGAATAATCAGCACGGGACTGTAGCCTCCCAGATCTCAGTTTTGTGATTTTCATCTTTGGGGAAACCAACAGGGAAAAGTCTATAAGAATAATCCTTGCACTACTGAAGCTCTGAAGAATGAAATAACATGCATAATTGGTTCAATTACCGTGGACCAACTTCAGAAAGTGTTGCATAATTTATTTATGCGATGCAAGCCATGTTTGCAAGCAGAAACCTGTTATAGAGCACAGTAAGTTTGTGTTATCTTTTTATAGTATTCTTATAAATGTGTGCATGTACAGAAACTGATGTGAGGACTCAGCAACATAACTGCACTCTCGCTAGCGGAGAAGGACACAGTAGTTGTGGAGAAACATTCCATCCACTCTACTCTAGCAAGAGTGGGCATGTTTATCAGTGCTAATGACTCACTCTGATATTGGCAGTTACAGCAGCAATCTGTTAGGAATGTTGTGCCAGCTCAGCCCTGTTGCCAGGTTTCCTCAAAGATTGAAGGCCATTTACTATTATAAACACCAGCAGCAACATATCATTAATCAGCACTGCAACAATGTAACAAACAAACAAACAGGAACACAGCACAATAAGATGGAGAAACAGGTCTGCCCTAGATGCCACTGTTTAATTAAAACATACACAAACACTTCTGAAACAAAATGCTGCAGCATATATGGCATTACAACCCAGAAGGAAATAAAGTTCCACACTCACTGCCATGAGAAGCTCAAACATTACTGATGTAAAGCAATTAATTATATACATGCACTGGAATCATCTATGCCTTATTCAGTTTGTTACTTTCTTTATCTACACTTCTGAAGTTAACACATGATGGCCTGCAATTGGCTGAATTCAGTGTGGATACTTCTACACATCTTCTCCATCCCTTACCTCTGAATGGGGAACACCAGATTCCCACAGCAGTCCAGGCTCCACAGTCCAACAGGTATTACACATAATAATGCACCAGATTTTTGTTATATTTTGAAATTTTCGGCTTTGAACAGGTCAGCAGAGATGTGCGGTTCTGAGTTTCCTTCAATATCTTAAAATATAAATGTGAAATTGGAACTCACATATATTTTATAGGAAGAGTTTGTGCAACAAGAATGCCTTGCAGGAGCATGAGTCCAGATGAGGTGTTCTCAGGACCTGTCTTCACAAGGCCTGGGAGGGGAGGAAGAGATTTTAACCTGAGGAGCACTTGTATGTCTTCTGACTGCAGATCTGGAATACCACCTGTAGTAGATGCAGCACAGTGCACAACATAATGGATAATGTGTTGCGCTACACTGGGTTCATTTAGGAGCAAGGTTGAAAACAGTGCTGCAATGGATGAAATACAATTAAATTAGTACACAACTGCAATCCAAATGCGCTGAAGTTTTCACACAACAGATCTGCTTCATATCCATCTTAAACATATAGCAATTTCACAGTCATAAATTTCAATTATATAGACATTTACCAAGCAAGTGGCTCAAGCAGTATCACTTCAGACTTTTATTTTGGGGGTGCCCCGCTTGAATCTCAACTAGACATTAACTATCCTGACCATGTTTTTTCATGGTTTTTCTCATTTCTTGCATAAAAATGTCAGGATAGTACATCAAATTATGCCATGAGCTTCCATCTGCTTCCTTTACAATTGATTACTCACTGTCATCCAATCATACAACCCTACATAATTCAAATAAACTACAAATCAATAAATACATAAGTCCCCAACTTAAATTATGAATTCATTGAAGATGTATCAGTGTAAGTTGAAAAATGCATTAAGTCCAACATATACATTCATTTCAATGGATAGTCAAAGTTAGATAAGGTATGCATCATGACATACAATACTGTCACATGATTGGGTGACTATAGATGGGGTTTGAATTGGTAACTGGATTTGCTGAACACTTACAGATCTGTAACTACAAGTAACTATAGTGCTATCGCTAATTCACATACTTTACAGTTCACTGCAGTACACACTAACTCTTCTCAGTCTGCTGCATCTTCACCGGTTGTCGCCTGGTAACAGATTCCCAAGATGTAGCTTCCTCAGCTTCTGTGTCCACGTCCTTACTGGCCAGTGACTGTCTTACAACTTACAATGGGGGCTCCTCTGTCTCCCACACCTCCAGCAGGGACAACTGTCTCACAACAGTATCAGACTTGGACTGGTCTCCCTGCTTACAGATTCCCAAAAGTCAAAGTCAAGTCAAAGCTATATTATGACTGATGGTCAGTTGGTCAATCGGCCAATCTGCCTTGGTGTCAAGCCCCATATGGGGCCCAAGACAAGATTTTTTACTGTCAGACAGTTATTTGTTGATGTGGGGTGCCCTCTCTGACAAGAGGATGGGTCTTTTGTTTACAGCTGCTGCTGGCCCTTTCCAGCACAGTCATTCTCAGGTCTAGGTCCTGCAGGACTGATGCCCATATTTTACCGTCTCAGGTTTGAGGCTCCCCCCGCCCAAGGGCCAGATTTCCATATTTATATCTCCCAGGAAGAGAGTGTCCCAGTTATACCCCCAGGTAGTGAGTTCCTTTTTGTCACCTCCTACAACTCGCAGGGCTAAGGTTGAGGTATTTGAACCCACCCCATGTGGGGTGCAGACTCTCTATATGTTGGTCCCTGTCATACAACCTTGGGATAGACCCAACAGAAAACACCTTTCCTTGCAGCTGCAATATTGATTATGCCTGCAGCTGTCAGGACGGACCGCACAGAAAACATCACTTTTGACAGTTCTTCTACATCTGTGTGAACAACTGTTGCTATGCCGACATGGCATTTACTGTGCTGTAACCTACTAACATGTCTCAGCTTTCAACAAACATGTCACAATATACAACCTGGATATCTTGCACTAATGATGGTATAAGTCAAAATACCTATACTGCTCAAATAAAAAATCTACTTGTGTATCCATGTATCTATGGACTTGAGTAACTTGAATCATTGACATTAAGGATTTACTGTCAATAAATAAAATACATGAATTTAAATTGATCAAAAGGTTACCCATAGTTTTGTATGAATGTAAAACTTCGGAAAAAATAAATTGAGTTTTCTAAAACAGGATGCTGAGGAGAATATTTTGACATAAGAGTAAGGAGAAAACTGCAAAATGAGAAGCTTTATAAATTATACTCTTCATCAAACATTATTAGGAAGATGACATCCAAGGGGCGCGTAACACAAATGGGATGATTAGAAATGCATGCAAAATATTCTTATGAAAATCTGATGGGAAAAGACCTCTTAAGAACTAGGCAAAGATGTGAGGATGTGGGCCGAATTCATCTCCCTCAAGATAGGGTCTAATGGCAGATTGTTGTGAACATGGGAATAAACCATTGGGATCTATAAAAGGAGACAAATTCTTTGAACAGTGAAAACTCACTTCTCCTGAAGGACTATTCCATGGAGTTTATTAGCTACTGTAAGCTTCACAAACAGAAAGAGAGTTATCTTGTAATAGTGAAATGTAAAGTGTAGTCACATGCTATATCAAAGAGTCTGATGAATAAAATTACAAATTCAGACCCAGTATATAGTCACACTCAATCATATGACTACTACTGCCAGAAGTGGGAACTGGAACACCTGTTGGCCAGTCAAGAAGCAAGATCGAAGCCCAAAATAGGCACTGATAATGAGAAGTTTCAGGTCCTTCAATGTACTCTCATCTCCCAGATGGATATCCACCAAGACAGGAAAGAGTCCACTCAAGATCTGAAAGCCAAGATAAACACACATCAAGAAAAGATAAATGCCTGGCTAGAAGATATGATGGACGTCTTCAAAGACAGGTTGAAGAAATTGGACACCATTACTTCTGAGGCCAATCAAAAAAAGACGGAGGCTATAGCAGTGCATCAGGGCATCTAACCACACGGGGTCACCAACAGCAAAAGAAATGGACCCAGGGAGATAGTGGGTCCCAGAAGTTAGCCGCCACCTGCAGATGGATGACTCAAGGTTCCATTCCTGCATGGCATAAGGGACGCAATCATAAAGGACCAACAGTCAAGGGGAGGCAATGGAAGTGCCCAGAATGGAACAAAAGAATAAAGGACAGTGGTGCAAGATGGCAGCTATGTCTGAGGAAGGAGAGAGCATCTGACAGGACCTTCAGAATCATCGTAAAACTGGAGATCAAAAGGCAAGAAGTTGTGTATTCCATCCAGGTGAGGAAAATGAGTGACTGGACATTTTGGAGGACCTGGCTCCCACCCAAATGAAAAAGAAGGATGATGGTGATACACCTGGACTGAGTGGCAGCTTATGAGGAAACTGCTCAGGGTGAGCTGCCTTGAGGAGGAAGCAGCACGAACAGCTGGAGAGTAATCACCGTGAGAAATGGGCCAAGGGGAAGGGAGGCTAGGCCAATCACAGATGTCACAAGCACAGCACTTGGAAAACAAAAAATGGCAGTACACAGTGGCAATCATGTGGGCATCCCAAAAGACATGAATGCAACAGAGGAATGGTGTTTTGTGCATGGTCCAGGCTGAGAAGTTATAAGCAGGACAAGTCTAGAGTTCAGTTAGTTGACAGTCAACAGTTGCAGCAAGGAGTTAGTTGAAGCAGAGGATCCATCATCAGGCAGCAACTGAAGAAGACACAGTAGACTGTGAAGACTTAGTACACACTGTAGTGAATTGCATTGTGTATGTGAATTAGTGACAGTGCTTTAGTTATTTGTAGTTAAGATCTGTAAGGGTTCAATAAATCTAATTACCAATCCAAACCCCGTCTGTAATCACTCTATCACGTGATATTATAATCAAACTAGTATGTAATTACCAATATGACATAAGGGCATATTAAAAAAGAGATATTTCTCTGATATGTTATGATTAAGTTATGAGTTATGGGAAGACGTAATTAATGAAAAAGATATAAATACTGCCTTTAACTTTTTCCTGAATGTATACTTAACAATATTTCACTCTAGTTTTCCCTTAAAAAAGTTCATACCCGCTCTGCCAGTAAATCCTGGCTAACGCCTGGAATCAGGATTTCATGTATAAACAAAAAAAAAAAAAAAGCTTTATTTAGCTCAAAGAACTAGTGATGATATAAATTTAATTAAGTTTTATAAGAATTACTGTAAAATTTTAACTTCTGTTATCAAACTTGCAAAAAAAACAAAAAAAAAAACAATAATATTATAACTCATTCAAATAATAAAATTGCAACTGTGTGGAATATTGTAAAGAGTACTTCAAACATAAAATCTAATGTACCCAACATAAGTACTATAAGGGTAAACAGTAATTTATCCTCAGATTCTCAGATTATTGCTGAGGAATTCAATAAATATTTTGTATCAGTTGTTAAAAATAATCGCTCAGCTAATGACACTTCCAACCAAGAAAATCCTATATCTTATCTATCTAGGGCACGTAATCAACCTTTTCCCCCTATTACATTAAATTGTGTATCGTCAAAGGAAATAGAAGATATTATAAAATCCTTGAAAACAAAAAATTCATATGGATATGATGGGATATCCACTAAAATTTTAAAAGTTAGCAGTCCCTATATTTCTTCTCCTCTAACTTATTTATGTAATAGAATGCTAACAACTGGCAATTTTCCACTAAGATTAAAGTTCTCTGAAATAAAGCCCATATATAAAAAGGTGATAAAAATGACACATCAAACTACAGACCTATTTCACTGTTCACATCAATTTCTAAGATCTTTGAAAAAGTAATCTATAATAGAATGCAACAACATATCAAGAAGAATAATATTCTTGCTAATGAACAGTTTGGATTTAGACATGCACGATCAACAGATGATGCAGCTTACTATCTTATTAATAATATCTTAACTGCTTTAAATAACAGAGAAATTGTGGGCGCTGTTTTTTGTGATCTTCACAAGGCCTTTGATAGTGTCAACTATGATATTCTGCTTTCAAAGTTGAATCATTACAGAATTAAGGGAAGGGCTAATGATGTAATTAGATCCTATTTATCAGACAGATATCAGAGAGTACTAGTTGTTTCTGACTCAATTATATCTACTCTAAATGGGAGCCTGTTACCATAGGAGTCCCTCAAGGATCCATACTTGGTCCCTTGCTTTTCCTTTTATATATCAATGATTTGCCTAATGCCATATCTGATGTATCCTATCCAGTCTTGTTTGCGGATGACACAAGTCTAATAATTAATAATCCTGAC